AGATGCAGTGCATCTGCGCCAGTTGATGTGGTCATACCCAGTGATGAAAGGGCAATGGTTTTTGAGACAGTTTTTAAGAAACAGCTCCAGGTGCATGCAACCTCAATACTAGAGGCCTCTATTGAGAATCCAGAAGCGTACGATTACGAGTTGGATCTTAGTACACTCATTGCCAGTTATACTCTCCATAGTGAGGAAGAGAAGGCAGATCAAGAGGCAATAAACCTGGTGCAGAAAATCCTATTTGCAGGTACAATTCACCATACTGCCAATGCTCTTGAAACACTTGAGTACTTAACCATTGAGGACGCTCAACTTCAATCCGATTTTACCTATCACCGTGTCAATAACACCAAGGTTAAGGCCTTCAAAGTCCCCCAGTTTAACAAGTCAGCTCTGCTTTGCCCGACCCTTGGCCCGCTTTCACAATTTGGCGAGCACCCTATGGAGCGATACTGTGCCTACACATGCATCAGATACCTTTTGTACCAGACAACCGCCTCTAAATTTGCTGCTACTACGACAAAGGTCGGGAAGAACACATACTTTGCACCTAGCGAAGTGACTTTAGATAGGCTCCCAGCTTGGATGAGCAAGGACACGGTGTTGGAGACCCCAGGGGCAGAGGCAATTATTGATCTTATGCACCAATACAAGCCTGCGCCCAACCAAATTTCTCTCCGGCTTGTTCGTGAAGATGTCACTGACGATGATGACAAACTCACTGATCATATCAACACCTTCCTCCGGCGCTGCAAGATCCATCTACAAAAAGAGGACACTACCTACCAGCACGATACAAGTGAGTTCAACGTCGGCCCTCAATGGCGTGACCACCTACGACACGTGTTGTTGCTCCCTCGTCTCTGGTGCGATTTCAGTACCTTGACGTTATTCTCACTTAACGAGGCTATAGCAATCGAGCCAGGCCCTGTACATGTTCCAAAGGAGTGTCCGTGGACTATCTACAACAACGACAATCCTGAACAGGTAATTCCCTGGACTGACGTTCAAGAGATCCTACAAGCTGGGGCCAAGTTTCAGATTCAATATGCCCTCAAGGTAATTGATACCAATGAGGACGGTCCATATCCATTTGAGTTTAATGGGGGACCTATCCAGGTGCGCAGTAACATTGCTATTGCTACTACTGTATCTACAGCAATCCGGGATACTATTATGGCAGATGAACCTGACAACACTAGACCTCAACCTATGGAGAGCCTGGCATTAGATGACAAACCCCAGTGTGATGATAAGGGAAAGGGGCCCAAAACCACAGAAGCTGCTACCACCACCCCCTCATATCTAGAGGGGTCCTGTCTGGGGCAAACACACACGGCATTCGAGGGGCTATAACCCCAGATAAGTTATTTGGCGACAGCCAATTGTAACGCTGACTTCTAAATGATAGAAGACACAGAGGTTCTCTTGCGTAAAGGTTTACTTATCAGAGGAGGCAGGGGATCAGACACAAAGGCTTCAAGTAACACGTTACTAGTATATAACAAATACTGTATTGAGTTGAGCACGAAGCTCCTATCTAAGGAAATACTATCTACTTATATAGTGGCGTCGTGCCTAGTGGACTCTTGGGAACTCACTCGAGTCCTTGGAGTCCTGGACTCTTAGGACTCTTCTCATCATCCTGCGAGTCCATCACGTGCCTAGTGGACTCCTGGGAACTCACTCGAGTCCTCGGAGTCCTGGACTCTTAGGACTCTTCTCATCATCCTGCGAGTCCGTCACGTGATACTTTCGGAACTACTATTCCCCGCTGCCCCTCCAGGTACCAGGGCCGGTCTCATGCGACCTCCCTCCTTCCTGTCCTGTAGTTGGCCAGCCTTCTTGTTCCGTCGTAACACTCGCTCCCTTCCCCTGGGCATTCGTCTCGAATCCTATAAGTACGTCCATGTCCCCGGGACTCTGCTGCTCCTCAGCGAGTCCTTCAATATGCAACATGCCTACTGACACTGCCCGCAAACTCCAGGAACGCAACGATCTTGTCCGTCGAATAAAGAACCACGGATACGAACTACCCGAAATGGATTCTTGCTCGAACTGCGTGAGGCGAAACATTACTTGCGTGTCGTCTCCAAATGATTCACGGCGGTGCGCCGAGTGCGTTCGTCGCAACTTGAAAGAAAAGTGTGACTGTATGGGTCCTGAGCATCCCGACTGGGTGAAGCTCGAATGGGAGGAGGATCGCCTGGATCGCGAAGAGGAAGAAACCCTTTCGAAGTTACTTCGTCTGCGAAAGCAGAAACGCCTCATCCGAACCCGTGGTAAAGATATGCTCCGACGAGGTTTGAAAACCCTCGACGAGCTTGATGCGGCAGAGGAGGCCGAACGTGTGGCTGCTGAGAAGCGTGACGCTGTTGAGGCTGAGGAACAGGCAGTTAGCGCTGCCTCCTCGTCTGTGACCGGGACCCTCGCTTCCTCCGATCCACTGGCCTACTCCCCTGCATCTTGGGATCAATGGCTGGCGGATGGCGGCGTCGATATTCCTCCAGCAGTTCTTTGCTGATGTTCCTTGTTGGTTCCCACGAATTATCCGTAGGTTCGTAATTTTTCCCATTTTATCAAAAACTCTTCTCGACGTCCTACTAACCTTCTGTCTAGGATCGCTTCGACCTCATATTCGATTATCTCATTCTCGGGTTGGAGTTCGGTGTCGGTCGCAACTGGGGTATTTCCTCTTGCTGGTTCCAGTAGTGAGACATGAAATACCGGGTGTAGTCTAGACTTCCTGGGTAGCTGCAGTCTGTAATTAACTGAGCTGACTTTGTTCAATATTTTGAATGGTCCCAATTTCTTGAAGTCCAACTTTGTGCTTGGTCGTTTCGTTTTGATATGTTTCCGGAGTAGGTATACTTTATCCCCCTCCTTGAAGGCAGGTTCCATACTGCGCTTCTTGTTTGCGTATGCGGCGGATCGTTCATTTAAGAATTGGATGTCCGTCGCAAGTTGTTCGTGGAACGATTTCAGTTGTTCCACCACGATCAGGGCTTGTTCAGCTCGTGATTCATCCGGTCTTGGTTGCCTATATGCTTCTGGCTGGTAGCCATAATTGGCAAAGAACGGTGAGACTTTCGTTGCTTCTGTCATCGCGCTGTTATATGCAAACTGTGCGATGGGTAAGATCTGAACCCAGTTATCCTGTTGATGATTGACATAGCTTCGCAGGTACTGTTCAAGGGTCTGATTTAATCTTTCTGTTTGGCCGTCTGTCTGGGGATGAAAAGCTGTTGATAGCTTATGATTTGTTCCCAGTAGCGCCATCAATGATTTCCAGAATTTCGAAGTAAAGAGCTTGTCTCTATCTGAGATGATTTCTTCTGGCATCCCATGATCGGCTATAATTGACTCGAATGAAGGTATATGCGAGCGCCTCGGCGTCGCTAGCTTCTAGATATGGTATAAACTTCCCATATTTCGTGAGTCTTTCCATGATGACGAGGATAGAGTCGTATTCTATTCCTGTTAACGGGTCCTTGGAGGGTAGAAGCTTGACGATGAAGTCCAAAGCTATTGATTTCCACGCTCCTTTTGGTACTGGTGTCGACTTGAGTTGTCCGTATGGCAGATGCCTATTTTGACTTGCTGCAAATGTCGCACTCTCTTACCACTGTCTCTACCTGCTTCCTCATACCTGGGAAGTAGTAGTGTCGGGTGATTCGTTCGAAGGTTCGTGTTACTCCCTGATGACCGTGTGCTGGTAACGAGTGTTGTTCTTGCACCAGCGGGCGTCTCATTTGACTTGGGACATACACTAACCCTTTGTATCGAATCAATCCTTGTTCGTCGATGGNCCGTCTCCTCCCCCGTCTCCTCCTCCGTCTCCTCCCCCGTCTCATATCACATACCATCCCCATGTACTTTCCCCTGCCCTGCTGTCATATCCTCTTTCTGCTCCACCTGGCTCCTTTCTGACTTCCCTGTTAGGGCTATTTTGTTGGTTTGGTGTCCTCGGGCTTTTGCAGGCGGCTGTGGCTGTGCAAGCTGTGTGCGCGTACATCCACACCATGTTCGAGTCAAGGCGAGACACATGTCGACACTCGACAAGGTCGAGACGGCAATAAAGTGGGCGGGAACAAGTGTACGGCTGGTTAATTGCAATAACGTGCAGTAAGTAGAGTGTTGGCGGGTTTATTGGCGTATTGGCGTATGGCGTAGGGCGTTTTGGCGTTTTGGCGTATTGGCATATTGGCGTTTTGGCGTTTTGGCGTGGCTTTGGCGTTCTGGCGTTCTGGCGTTCTGGCGTTCTGGCGTTCTGGCACTCCATCGGGGAGGTGCCAGAGTTTCACCTGCCACCGTTCTTGGGGGGAGGAGGGGGGAGGAGGACGTAGGGACGGGCGGGAAATATTGATATTACAGGAAGAGGAAGGATGGATGGATGTGTGTTACATACTGAAACGACGACCCTTGAGCGTCATTATCATTATCATCCACAGCAGGCGCAAAAGCAGAAGGAAAGAAGAAAGAAAGAAGCATACGTACGTACGCTCCCTAAAATAACCCTCCCTGGCCTGTCAAAATGCAGCTTAATCTCAGTCCATCCCCGAACGCGCAAGGGGTGTGTGCACAGCGGACGTCTAGCAAGCTACTAACGCTACCAACACCACTAACCCTGCGAAACTCCACGTACACCCTTGCTAGCGCGCCCTGAGTAGCCTGTGCGAGCGTGCTGACGCCGCTGAGGTGTGGGCGCAGTCGCTCTAGTGGCTGGGCACGGCGACTTCCAGAAAACCCAAGAATACAACTTCGATTGTGTGACGCTGTGGACGGACGAAGGGAAAGGGAGAAAGGGAGACGGCGATGGATGTGGCCCGCCCGCCATGGACGCAGGGTCGCGATACGACATGACTCGCACCACGCAAATGCGACTCCGTATCGTGGCAAAAGGAATGAAATGTTTCCTCGGCTGATTGTCACCGTTTTGGCTCCACACCCTCTTCCTTTTTCTTCTGTTTTCTTCTGTCTTGCAGGGAGAGGGGGCGTACGGACATGGAGGCTGCCCACCGTACAAAGTATATTAATTAGGGCCGTCGAGTAAATAATCAGGTGACTTAGAATGTCGATACTTTGTATCACGTGATTACGTTCTGGATGGGCACATGACCTCAACACCACCACCCCAAGTATTAGATTATCCACCTCCTCAAACTCCCCTCCATACCCCTCCCCAAAGTGACGAGATCATGGACAAACACCACGCGGTTCCTCGTCTCATCGAGGTGCTGGAGTCGTCGTACTAAACGGACGGTCTCCGCCATCGTAAAAGGGCGTGGTCTTCCCCTGAAAACCGACAAAGAACCCCTTCATCAAACACCAATCCAGCAACGGCCCGTTGCGGATCAACGTATACGTGAACAGCTGATTATCGCTCGCCAGTCGCTCGAGGAGCTGATACACCTCGATCTTCGACTGGTAAACGGGCAACGCGGCGCTTTTGGGATTACCTATGTTCGGAGAGAACTCGGAGGGGATGAACCGCTTCACGCCCGCGGCGATAGAGGCCTTGATGAGGAGGGCTTGCGTCTCCATCGCTTCACTGGTAAGGGCTGATACCACGGCATCTTGGTTGCTTAGAGCAGCGGCGAGGTCGGGGATGGGAGCGTAGTCGACGCGGATGACGCGGACGGAGGGTGGGGATTGGGCTTGGGATGAGTGGCGCGTGAGGACGGTTATGTTGAAGATGTTGCTCGAGATGAGGGCGTGGAGGATGGGGGCGCCTAAGTCGCCTGAGGCCTGGAGATGTGTTAGACTGCGTTGTGGGTGGACAATCACAATCCCCGAGCACACCATTTTCAACCTTCCCATCCCTACAACTAAGTTACCATGCATAAATTATCACATTTCTAAGCCAGTGCGGGTGCGGATGCGGACGCGGAGGCTAAACTAGATTAGGCAGCAACTATGCATTCCCATCTTTAATAATCAATTCGGCGTAAGATTTATAAGAGTGTTCCCCTCCGCACCCGCATCCGCACCCGCACCCACAGCAACAACGATTATGTCCACCCGCGCCGACCAATCTTGCCTCCGCTGCAGTAGACAGAAGCGGCAATGTGATAAACTTCTTGCCAATCTGTTCCCTCTGTAAACGGTACGCTAGTTTTATGTGGGGTGTCTTCATGGTTGCTGATAAATTAAGGTTAAATAAACCCTGTTCTCATCCGGCGCATCCGGAGACTCCACGTCTGCTGCCTGTACCCGATTTATTGGACTTGACGTCATCTAATTTACGCTATACCCTCAAATCCCAAGTATCCTCAGTTATTGGCGATGGTTTGCGGTTACGAGAGGCGGCTGTAATTTTTTTTCGGAGGGTGCATACTTGGTTGCCGGTCGTGTCGGAGACGGGTTGTTATGCGCAACTATCGAGATTCCGTGTTGAAGCCGCCCCATCGGGCTTCGGTCTCTTAACTCTCTCTATATTCCTCGTGTGTGCGATGCCAGTGGATGGCGATATGTCATTGTAGACATGATGTCTGTATATTCTGATCAAGAGCTGGGTAGGTATGCTAAAGGCGACAAGGATGAATCTCTGGCAATGCTACAGGGTCGATTACTGCTGACGACATTCGAAATCGGACATGCGATGTACCCATCAGCATACATCTCGGCTGGAGCCAATATCCAGGCAGCGGTCGCTCTGGGGGCGTGCTGCATCATCTGCGGATCTATCCAGGGCTTTTCCGGATCTGCATTTAGCTGAGGAGGCACGGCAGACCTGGCGTGGCGTTGTTATCACTAATAGGTTGGATCCCCTCGTGATGCTCATCAAGTAATGTTGAAGCTAAGGATGGCACTTAATAGATACGCATCTCTTGAGAGTAGCGCTAGACACAGTGCATCTCTGGGACGATCGATAAAAGGGGTATGCGGCAATAGTGTGCTTGATATAAAGCCATCTTTATAATTTATACAGATAACTGACCTAGATATCAGAGCTCTAAAGATTTAGCGCAGATGAACCCGTCCACTAAGATGGCCTACTCATCACTGCTGTTAGATCAAGTGCTTTCTCACATCCACGAGCGTACATCGCAACAGGAGTTTAGAAGAGTGGAGGCAATGCAGATCCTAAACTCGTTAACCTCGTTCTTAGCATCTTTCGAGGGTGAAAATAACGCCCTGCAAACTCTTTCGAATAGTTCCCTAGCAATATGCAGAAGGTAAATCCCAGGAGTATGCATACAAAGAACAGGGGCTAACTGAAACTCTAGTGCTATGCTGGAAGTCCTGGAATTCGGATCTAAGGTTGAGCCACTGGATAATGAGTACTGTATTTAAGCGTCACTTAATATCTTGACGTCCCTGATGCATGCGATTGCACATGGAGCAAGGGGTGTGAAAACTGACTCGGCAGGGTTGGCAACTCTGTCCAATAATATGATAATTATGGGCGTGTCAACCAGGTTCAGAACAGTGATCTGTGAAAGCATGTTTTTATTCATCTAGCCACTGTAACTTCTTTTATATAGCAGAAAAACTCTGCTTCTGAGCTAGTCTCAGAGCAGTGGTGCCCAGTTTTATCTTCTGAGTTGGGTGATACTGGGCTTGGCCCCGGGTTGGCGCTTGGTGGCCTGGGCGGCATCACTGCCTCTTATCCTGGGCACGGAGTGAGAATTCCACAATTTTTATTTCACATTGCGTATATAAAGCCGCCATCGTCTGTCTCCATGATGCGAAGGTATCCAAGGATGGTGTAAGGAAGGCCATCACGTGCCACCACGTGAGGTCCCTTTCATAAGCAGCCCATAGGGCTCGGTAAAATAGGGCACAAGGTGCATAGATAAAAGGGGTTGGAGGCCTCGGAAGAAGGCCTCCAGTCAATAGTCGATGTATCTACGTAGACCTATTGTGCTTACAGAATACGATACCTTCCTGCCTCCTGACCTGGTTCCCTGGACTCCCGTGAGACCCTTAGGCTTACGACCCTTACAGATGGTAACTTAAAGCTGATACAGCCACTGAAAGACGTACTGGGGTATATTGGTTTGAGATGGGGTGCTGGAAGTAAGAAGCTCATGTTATATGATTTGGTATTGTCCTAGAAAATTGCTAATAATCACAAAGTATTATGCCGAGAAAATTGAACAAGAACAGAAAAAATTCAACTTGTGAATCAAAGAATACATTCTCGTATAGTGACACCCAATGTCTATGTTGTCACGCTCTCAGTTAAACCGTCTATTCCTCTAACTTCCCCCTTATCCTCCAATTATACACAAACGGATATTCCGTCTCCTCATCCCCATTTCTCTGAGTCGCAACTCTCACATTCAGAAGGTATGTCCCCGCGACAACATAAATACAGGTAATCTACTACCGGAATCTCGACATGGTCAATTTCCACTTCCGTCTTTGGACCTGAGCTGTTGCTGCTTTAACCTGAGCTTTGGGTGAGCTAGACTGATCTGTGACTGAGCCCGGCTGAGCAAGCCTGAGCAAGCCTGAGCCGGGCCTGCATTAGCGCGGATGACCGCCACATTATGCTCTTCGGCAGTATTCGCTGCCCGCAAAAATTGGAAATTTCCATTTACGCCACTTCTGCCTCTCTTTTAATAATGGCTCTGAACGGCCAATATCTGCCGTTCTACTTTCCATAAGAATACCATACTCAACGCCATTAAGTGCTTCCTTTCTGAAGCACCTGTGGTCAGTCACTGAAGCAATACGATACAAACTCAAAATAGCAAGGTGCTTCAAAACGCAGCGTAATCATGAATATATTCAGGCTACGAGAGATCGACAATAAATTGTTAGAATATGCAATATGGCATTGCTTAGAGCGGGGGCAGTGAGATACCATCATCGTATCGTTCAAAACGTGATGGAGAAGCGCAGGAGCTGAACTCTCCGTCAAGGCAGAATGGCGATGCTGCGAGGGAGGAACATGACCCCAACCCGTCCAAACCAACGCCGGCAAAACATACCTCCAGAGGCCCTAAATACCCATCAATGAAAGAGCCAGTCTCAGGACCTAGCTGCTTGATATTCAGCTGGTCAGCTCCGGCTGCATGGATTAGCGGGAGAAGAGACGTGATGGTGAGCTGGTCAAGGATGCGACGAATGTCCTACTGAAGGGGAGGGGAGGCAGGGGAGAAGTTTATTGGCCGGAGGAGAGGTCAGGCTCCGATTCTTGCTGCACAGTTCAGCTGGAGGGGAGCCATGCTGACAAGCTGATCAGGATGCAAGGATGTCCTGCTGAGCTGTGGGGGTCATCGAGGAGAGGTCAGGCTCCTATTCATGCTGCACCGTTCAGCTGGAGGAGGGCCGTACTGATGAGCTGATCAAGGATGCAAAGGATGTCCTGCTGAGCTGCGGGGGTCATTGGCTGGAGGAGAGGTCAGGCTCCTATTCATGCTGCACCGTTCAGCTGGAGGAGGGCCGTACTGACGAGCTGATCAAGGATGCAAAGGATGTCCTGCTGAGCTGTGGGGGTCATTGGCTGGAGGAGAGGTCAGGCTCCTATTCATGCTGCACAGTTCAGCTGGAGGGCCATACTGACGAGCTGATCAAGGATGCAAAGGATGTCCTGCTGAGCTGCGGGGGGTCATTGGCTGGAGGAGAGGTTAGGCTCCTATTAATGCTGCACCGTTCAGCTGGATGAGGGTTGCAATGACGAGCTGATCAAGGATGCATAGAATGTCCTAGCGAGCTAGAGAGGGTCATTGGCTGCAGCGGAAGTCAGGCTCAGGCTCATACTGCACGGTTCAGCTAGAAGGGAATGAATCACTTGATCGAGGACACAAGGAATATCCTTTCGATGAGCCGCTGCACCCTAAATTTGCTTAGGAATCCGATTAAGCGGAACTGATTACTGCAGGGTAGAAGAGACGAAATAGGGGTCCGTTTTGTTGAACAGAGTGGGAAGGGGGGGCGTCATGGTATGAAAGACGTCAGGGCGATATCGACACCCAAAAGCTAAGAGCTCTGCTAGGACTCTCTTCCTAAATTCGGGTATGCGCTATGGCCTGCTGGTTAGACAGATGTGGCTTCCCTGAAGCCATAAGGCGAATACCGAGGAGGACAAACAAACCGCAATCAACTTCGTTGTTTTGCTTGGGATTTGGTAATGCTGGAACCCTTTGCTTTTTGGGAAACCAATTACCAATCCAGTCTAAAAATACTTGGGGTGGTTTCCCGCCAAGGCTATCAAAGTATTCCCACTGCACAATGGTGCCCTTCTCCTGCGATTTGATAACAGCAAAAGTCCAATGGAAAGCATCATTAAAAGGAATAAATATAGAATACTTTCCTGTGTCCGTCAGCTTTATAAAAGGTTTCCATGGCCTTTCTAACACCATTCTTAAGATAAGTTTGGATACCTTGACCGTGAGGGAGATTAGACCTCTGAAGAAGTTCAATATACGCATTGATAACCTCATCATCAAGGTATTCTCCATGTTTTAGACGCCAAAGTGACAAAGCTATATTAGCCTCATAACCTAAGTTCGTAATTGTTGTAAGGACTGACAAACTTCGGTGGTTCTTAACTTTGATTCCCCGGACAATAACACTATCTAGCCTCTTTGAGGTTTCTAACTCCCAACCAGGTGTAATTTTTGGTACGATCTCTAGACCACTATGGGCCGGAGTCGTCATAAAAGGGTGCAGCACACTTGATAAGACAGACGTCGGTAATTGTGAGGCCTGGGATGCAGAGATAAGTGAGACGTTAGATGCAGATGCTTGTGCAAGTGAAGCGATGGGTGCAGAAACTGGTTTATGTGAGACGTTAGACGCTGACGCTTGTGCGGCTTGGCTCTGAGATGCAGATAATAACAAATGAGGGACTATGGACGAAGTAGACTGCCATAATGGTGGGATTATAGAGGATGCAGATGAAGTTTTAGGCGGGACTATAGATGAGGGTGCTTGTGTACGTATGGTCTTATGAGGTAACGCTGGAGTTGCCTTCTTAGCATTGTGATTGATGGCTTTAAAGGTAATCAATTTTGCTGCCTCCCCAGAATCAAGAAGTATGTTCTGCGTCGTGCCAAGTGCTGTCGGATCCCTCTTCTGGTCCTGCTCCAAAAGCCCACGAGCTTCCTCTGTTGACCTTGCAATGAACAGCTTGTACTTATCTTGTAGGTACTTTATGTTTGCGTTGCTTATAATATTAGGACAATCCTTCAACCACCAGCTAGACACATGCATTGCTATTGTGTCAGAGTCGCCTTTTACGACTATGTTGAAGCATTTAAGTGGTTGTGAAGGAGGCTCAAGGTTAATCCAGGCACTTAAACCACCGCATTTTCGAACTGCTGCGCACATATCTATTGTAAATTTTCTTCTTGACTCGACTTTAAGTGCAGTTCCTACAACAATCACCGCATCGGGTTTTGACCTGAGATCTGAGGCACTAACCATGGCAATAGCTGTCGTATCTGCATAGTCATAGTCTGGGTTAAACGAACCTAGATGTGTTGGATTCCCTTGACATTTAACAGTCCTTAGGTCTCCATGTAGCTGAATCGTTGTCGGCCATGGCTTCGTTTCTGGCAGTGGTATTTTAGTTCCGAGGGACGGTAGCTGCGTGTCTAATCCATCAATATTTTGAGTGTACAAACGATGCAAGCGGTCTTCTTTAGCAAGCTCTTCAATAACGTGGTGAAACTGAGTTGGGTTTGCAGATCTTATACTGCTGTACATTCTGCACATTGTCTCGTTAAGAAGCGTTGTAGAAGCATCGTCATTATATGAGTTCATGCTAAACACGTCTCTGCCTTTCACTGGCAAATCTTGGAATGTAGCGACTATATTGATTAGTGACTGTAGATAGAAGGGAGGGGCTACCTACTTCCTGCGGATGCTGAGATTCCAGCTCCCGCAATGATTACAATTCTCTTTCTCTGGCGAAATGCATCTATTAATGGACGCAGCTCTACATGTGCCACATAATCTGCTACGGAGCCGAGGTCAACTTCCAATACCATGTTTCTTTTGGTTTTTTAGCGGTGTGGAATTATGGGATTATAATGAGAAGTCTAAAAATAATGGGAAGTCTGAAGTTGTCTTATGGTAATTATTACTAATTAATGCCCGCAGCCCGTTTTGGCTCCTCATTGTAGAATTTACGGCTTCAAAAATAGCCCTACTCTAATATAGATCACAATTTTGCAGAGACTCTAGTTCTTATCTGATGGCTGATAATCTAGCTCCATTAGAGTAATGTCTTTGCTAAGAGAACTATGTAGAATCAATCTCAGCTCATCGCAAATCTTTGTCGATGCAGATACTATATGCTGTAAGCAAAAAGCTGCCTTATGGCATTGCAGACTTACCTGTAATAAGCATTCTGTCATACTGACATTCGTTGCACTCAGTTTGCTATCAAACTCAAGAGCAAACTTGGAAATCTCCTCCTCAAACCTACAAGTCACTATACATATTTTGTCTTATCACACCAACAACAAGAGCAATACTACTCAACGATTGCTACAACCATCTATGATTCATTACACGTCATCGCTCCTTAGTTACTGGGCCGATATTACCACATAGCATATCTCTACAACCCTCTATGATTCATTACATGACATCACTCATACTACCACATGACATATCTCTACCAACTAGAGGCCTAGGAGCATGAACGATAGCTCTAAAAGCTCCTACAAAACCTCTATGATTCATTACATGTCATCGCTCTTTAGTTACCCACAAGATTGGTTAAGTTATGACATAATTTTGTCTATGACATAATTTGTCTATGACATAATTTGTCTATAGGGGTACTCTGACTTGGACCTCCTTTTACTTCCTATAGGCTACGAACCTAAGAGATGGTTCTATGGGATTCTCTTACGTCGACTACAGTTACCAAGCCTGGTTAGTCATGGAAAGTCATGGAAAATGAGAGAACTACACTCCTTTGGCATAAATAGGATTGCCCTTTCCTTAAGAAAGGGCAAGCAGGCAATACAGTAAATCGACTAGCACATACTTTCTACGTCTTTTCCAAGCTTCCAAGCATTGATCTTGTTATTCTCTGTTTTTGAAAAAGTCAGTGAGGTGCTAACCTCTGACTTACCCCTGAGTTCTCAGACTCAACATTTGTTGCAACTTGTCTAAACCACTTCACCACATCATACACCTGATTGCTGCGTTGTGGAATAGTCTAAGCTACGACCCTTTGGCTCTGTTTTCTAAGACAGTGTGTTGTCTTAGTAAATTCATCCCTTCCTTGGGTGGCTAGATTCTCATATCTGGTGCACCCACCATTACACATTCTAGGTGATTTCGTACACAGGGGTAAGGTTTCTAACTCGTCAATTTTTCTCGTCTGGTTGTTGAACATCTTGAGGCCTCATTCGTGATGTTGCCTTGCCATCTTCCAACCTTCCCTACTCTCTTCTTCATAATTTCTTCCATAATTTCTTCTCGTCCCCTTCCTATTTCCTGAGCTCTTTTCTCTGCTGCTATTTGTGCGGCTTCATTTTCTCCCATTTTTCTAGCGTCCATCGGCGCTATTTCAGCGTCGAATGCTCCTTTAAGTAGGATATGCGTGTCATATACCATTGCTCTTTGGCTGAGTTTATTAAGGAGGACCAATTGCGTTGAGTAGAGTGAGATTGTAAGTGCCTAGCAGACTTAGTAAGACAATACGTATAGGCATACTTTTTAAACATACGCAGTTCTTGCCTAGTTTCTGAGCCTCATACAAGACCCAGTTAAGTATCGGAACCACTGCATCGTAGAGATCTATTATATAGAGTTAGACAAGTAACCAATTTGTAAGTCAGACACACCTGTGTCTTCAAATTCCAAACGAGGGCGAATTCGAAGGGCTCGAGCTCGCGGGCAAGTACACCGTGTACCAGTCGCTCTAAAAGTGGCAACTGTGCTACAATGCCATAACCACTTGCGACCATAAAGAGGTACTCGTAATCTCCCACTGGTATGGAAAGCACCATGTGGCCCAGTGAATAGGACCCTTCCTAGTCCCATGGCTGGCCGCTCACATCCATTGCCTTCGACTGGAGCCGTTTAGTCCAACCACAGCGAGGTTCAATGATGAGCATTAACTTTGTCTGCTGGTTACCTGTCCAGGAGGCTACTACAAATGGATGGGTCTGCATAATTCCAAGAGAGCCAACCCACATATTAATGTATTGTCCCGCATCTATTTGCAATGGCTTCGGGCAGTGTATTATAAACTGGACCGGATTTTTGTAACCATCTGAATTTTCGCCAACTGGATATTTGAATATCTCTCCAACTCTAGGCAATTTTCCCCACCTAGTATTCGTGAATATTCCTATTTAATACTCCATTGCGGCGTACTAAAAGCAGCACTTCAGCTGTTAGGGTTGTCGCATAGATCCCTAGGCTGACGTAGATGTATATCCTAGGAACCAATTCTGACGGGACATGCAGCAGAGCAGAGACAACAAGTACAGCTGCTAGTGTATGGTGCAACTGGAGAAAGATCTCGTAACACCACCTGTGGAGAGGATACCAAGACAGTAAAGTAATCAAGACAAGAGAGGACCCGCCCTATTACATACAGTAAGCAACACGGCACTTAAGCATCAAGGCAGACTTACAACTACTGCAGAAATTCTCTTCACACCGCGTAATATGAACCTCCTAGGTGACAGAACCATGACAACTGCATGGAAAATCACCATTGCGCATGACATTAGCCCAGCGGAGTGATGTAGTGCGCGAAATGCAGTCAATGAGACACCAAAGATATCAGCAAGAAAACTTATATGTGGGCCTAGAAATAAGGGAATCAAGTTTATTAGTGAGAGGCTACCAGCTCGTAGACCAGCCTGCATAATGGTCGGAACGGGAGGTTGGAACACAAGGCAGAAGGAGTTGGCAACTATGTATACAAGGTGGATAATAATGTCTGCTCTTGTCCACGGGCCTATAAATCGATGCCGGTAGATATAGTAAGGATATGTTAGGTACCTAATCCCCTTATGCACAGAGCGCCATCTAGGTGGTATCACAACTGGGAGAATAGGAAGCAGATTCATAAGAACTGGGCTGAGGAGGAAGCCGCCCAAGGCGATGGCATATGCTAAAGTGATGTGCATGATTGGGAAGATGTAGATTTGATAGCAAAGATACTAGGCGTCGTACTTGTACTCTTATAGTATGCCAGTGTTAATAAGCCGAGAGCGCCACCTATTGCTGATTGGTAGCAAGCCACACCTACGATTTGTATTTATACATTAAATTAGGATAGAGGAGCCAAAAAGTGCGCGTGGCTTACAATGCAGGATGCCGGCTGGTAGAGCCAGAACAAGCCGCTAAACTTATATGTCAAGGTCTTCTTTGTAGCAGAGCTTAGGAGTTGCATGGATTTTAGAAGAAAATTTTGATATTAATAGGCTAGAGGACTAATTAAACACTATCTAAGCTACAAACTTCGGTATTCTAATGGGGTAGCAAGGGCGATAGCAGGGCTCGTATTAGTTATGACCAAAACTTGTCGGAGGCTTCAACAACTTAAATTAACAAAAATTAATGAAGTAACCAATTTAAAGGCATTGATGACATATTCCAGTGAATTAATGGAAGCCAGAGTTAGCCTAGGAGATTGAAAGAGTGTAGATTATTAGACTAAAACAAAAAGGAATGAATAAACCTAAGGTCCTTGAAACTCTGAAAAACATGAAAGCAAAAACAAAACCTTACCATTAAATTGTGTTGATATTTGGCCTCTACAGTGTCATATTGTGTAGCCGTTAGTTTAGCCTTTGGCGCTACCTTATTTTTAGTCCGGTATTTGGCCTCTACAGTGTCATATTGTGTAGCCGTTAGTTTAGCCTTTGGCGCTATCTTATTTTAGTCCGGTATTTGGCCTCTACAGTGTCATTATTGTGTAGCCGTTAGTTTAGCCTTTGGCGCTATCTTATTTTTAGTCCGGTATTTCCCCTCGATTTTCAGAATAGTTCTTCTCGACGTCCCAGCTCTGCTTCGTCTGAATCCTCGTCCAAATCATCTGAATCCTTGTCTGAATCATCTGAATCCTTGTCTGAATCATCTGAATCCTTGTCTGAATCATCTGAATCCTTGTCTGAATCCTTGTCTGAATCCATCATCTGAATCCTTGTCTGAATCCTTGTCTGAATCATCGTCTTCTCCTTCTGTGCTCTGAATTGCGAAGACCTATGTCATGTACCCTGCCGAGACTTCCTCCCCGGGCATATTAAGGCGGTTTCGACCGTCGCGATTTCTCCGTTTTTTTGCTAGAACGCTTTTGCGACCGAGGTGTTTTTTTGCGCCCAGCTGTATTCTTAGGTGTAGGTGTCACGTCCGATCCCGGCGTCATTGAACTTCCTGCCCAAAATATCTCAATAGTCGGCATTGGTTCGTCTTTATACTACCCACCAGAAACCTTTTGATACCAACCTTTGATCAATCTGGCCACATAAAGCAAGTAATTATCCGCATTCTTCTTCCAAATAAGACGACACGTTGCCCTACTTTCCCAACTTGAGAAAACTAAGTTACCGTTGTCTAATATTAATGGCTCCTTCCATTCGCAGTAGAGTTGTACATCTGGTTGCGTCAGAATTTTCATATTAAGTGCCTTGAATTCATCTTTTTCTGTACCCGTCATCTTGGGAATTAGCTTGACTCAATTTACCGGAGATGATTTATAATCATCTGGGACATCTATTGCTATCAGTTTAACAGCATCAAGGTCGTCAACCGCCCATTTCTCCTCAGAGTTAGGTTTTAGCTCGCCCCCACGTCTCCATAGCATAATGTTGGGACTACTCTTGTCATGTCCAATGTCCTTCCTGATTCTGCAAATTCTTGCTTGGGGAAATTCTTTATTAAGAACAATAACTGGTGTTCCAAACCCTTTCTTGTGGCCAACAACATGCTCATGTTTTGACGAGAACTTCTACTGATATAGAAATATCCTCCTTTAGTTTGGTAATAGTCTCCCCATGTCGAAGTCTATTAACTATGTCGTCATTGTCGTCATCAGAAGGCGGCTCTTCCTTTTCTTCTTCCTCTTCTTCCTTGGGCTTTTTTTTAGCCTCTTCTTCCTCTTCTTCCTTGGGCTTTTTTTCAGCCTCTTCTTTGGCCTTTTTTGCTGCCTTCTCTTCTGTGGCCTTTGTAGCTTCAACTGTTTCCTTAGCTGCCTTTGCTTTAGCTTCAGCTGCCTTTGCCTTTGTAGCTTCTTCTGCTTCCTTAGCTGCCTTTGCTTTAGCTTCAGCTGCTTCCTTTTCCCTAGCTTCCTTTTCAGCTTTTTCAGCTGCTTTTTCTTCCCTAGCAGCCTTTGCTTTTACTTTTTTTGCTTTAGCAGCCTCCTCTATAGCTGCATTTTTTTTTGGCAATTTCTGCCCTGACCCCGGCTTCTACACCTAAGCGAAATTGTTCTAGCGTGGTACCTTTTAGTTCGAGTGGTTCGTTCTCTTTCTTGCTATTATACACGATTGTAGAGGTTTCCAATATTTTCGTTTCTAGACTTTCAAGCTCTGCCTTGGAAGTTCTAGAACTTTTACCCTCTAGCTCTATCTTCTTAGCATAATCGGAGACAAGTGAATCCATTTTTAATTTGCATATGATCCAAGCATAGACCAGATATATTTTGGTCTAAGAGGGAAGGCAAATGGTCTTTATATTTGCAATAAGCCAATTTCAGACTGTGCATGAGCAAATATTGGCTTTCATTGTACACTAGTTATAGCTCTTATAAGATGGGGAGCGATTGTCGTGAGGTGATTGGCAAGCGCAATTATGTCCATCAACATGTTCACTTCCGGCTTCACTCACACTACTGATAAACAATACTTCCACTAACAAATGCATGACTACAGGCCTTTGCGGGACTGCAACGGCTAAACCGAGTCAGTTGGGGTCGAGCACTTCAGGGCCTCACAGCAGCGTTGTTGTTGGGTCAGGGGTTAGGCAAGTCTTTATGTGGTCTCACGTGTTCCTTTGGGCAGCACTAGCTGAAATGTTATATTTCTTAAACTAAGGGCTTAAATGGAGGCCTAGTTAATTATTTGATCAATTATCTCTAGAGTGTAAAGTCGTGAGTTAGCACTTGGTTCCATAATAATCTCTCTCCCCGGAGTTGCTAAATCATAGATCTGGTGCTTAGACTCCTTCTCTCTGGTGGTGATGGTGCCCCAGACCGATTAAACCTACTCCTCCATTCAGAAACTGATAGTTCTTCCGTGCTCGATCCATGGCCGTTAGAGGCAATTTTCTATATCCAGTTAAATACGATGCATCCACAAAGCATTATCATTTTGTGCTAACATGCATGTATAACGAAAGTGCCAAACAAGCGAAAGTGCCAAAATCATGCAGTGACCAACCCCCCCAACTAAATGTTAAATTCCTCCACAACAAAACATGCGCCATAAAAATGATGAAAGCAAATTAGTGCTAGCTATCCAAGCTATGCAAAGCGACCCAAATTTGCGCCTTCGAGTTGCAGCTAGGATCTATTCCGTAGACCACCGCAAGCTACGTCACCGTTTACAAGGTGTACCTTCACGACGCGATATCCAAGCCAACTTACGGAAATTAAGTAACCTAGAGGAATCAGTTCTTGTTCAGTATATACTTGACTTAGCTGCTAAAGGGTTCCCTCCTCAGTTGTCTATTGTTGAAGATATGGCAAATCGACTACTTGCAACACGTGACGCACCACGCGTCGGGTCACGTTGGGCTTCAAACTTTGTTAAGCGCCATGTAGAGCTCCGGACACGCTTCCAGCGAAAATACGACTACCAGAGGGCTAAGTGCGAAGATCCAGAAGTCATTCGTGGCTGGTTTGAGCTTGTATGGAACACAATTCTAAAGTATGGCATCAACAATGCAGATATCTACAACTTTGATGAGACTGGGTTTATGATGGGCGTCATCTCAAGCGCAACGGTAGTAACGAGCTCAGATGGGCGGGCAAAGGCAAAAAAGGTGCAGCCTGGCAATCGAGAATGGGTTACAGTAATCCAAGGCGTTAGTTCTCAAGGTTGGGCAGTGCCGCCATTTGTCATTGTGGCAGGTAAAAACCACCTTGCATCTTGGTATGAGAATAGCAGATTTTCAGCAGATTGGGTAATCGCTGTTACTGCAAATGGCTGGACTACAAACGAGAGTGCACCCCTGTCCAGTTTCTACTCTAGGTACCAGTCCTAGTTGTCATCACAGAGCGGAGCCGATTCTTGCCAATTCTACACTTCACGCTCAAGTTTTACAAGCAAACAGTCTCATGACTTTGCACTAGAAAATATAACCTAACTTACTAACTAACTTAATAGCTTAATTATGTTTTTGTGATACTGCTTTTAATGTTACATCCCCGTGAAGCTCATTGTGACGTTACTTACTCCAAAACTGCCCCAAGTTTGTCTCTAACGTACAGACCAACGTCATTCCCTTCGCAGGAAAGAACCCACTATGCGGGAAAATAGATTGCACAAAAAATATTGGAAGTCAGCATTGCAGTAGCACATGTCTATGTGCAGAATTAATCTTAATTAAGTTAAGTTAACTTACATCATTATCCACAATCTTTGCCCTTACAAAGCGAGACTAAACTGCACCTTTGTTGCTTTGATTGTCCATCCACGATTCTCCATATCTGTTATAAAATTACTTGGGTTGTTGTTATACACACCAACAATGATCCTTTTTAATAAGGGCGAGTTAGCTATAAAGAGAGTATCAACTAGCGTCAATACCTTAGAAATGCTCTCGGGGTTGTCTAGTTCATTGAGCGCAAACTCCATAGTAAGTGCACCCACGAACGCTGTAAGTGTGCTTAAGTTAACGCAGCTGCTTTGGATGCTCGCAAAGATGCTAATACTATCGTCCGAGAGGGTGACATCACTTGGCTCTTGATGGTAGAAATTCGGAAATTCGACACAGACATGTTGGATATAGCCTGCGTTTTTACGGCCGATTGTCTGAAGGAACGAGGCTATGCATTTAGGGGTAGCTATGGTAAAATCAAAGCGATTCTGGGCGTAAAAGAGCGAGTTGGCTTCGTGGTGGAGGGTCTTGTTCACGCGGAGGAGGCCAGGACTAAGATCATGTCGGTGATTGAAACCAGTCCAAAGGGTGAGAGGCTCTTTATTCAATAAGCATAGCTCATATATCCTGTTGCGAAGTTCGCCGGGGAGGTCGAGAAAGTTTACCAACATGTGTTCCGTAGTTGTGAGCGTGTTTAAGGTCGTTTCAATACCATTCATCGCAAAAGGGATCTAGGTGAGAACGAAATGCGGCGATGGGTTTATAGTAGGTTATTTTCTCTATTGAAAAGAGTACAGTATCATCGGACCGTGACTTGCAATACTTGAGTTCCAAGCATAAATGGGCAAGAATCGGCTCGGTCTGTGATGATATTGTAGCGGTTTCTTTGGAGTACAACCAGGCAGGGGGTGCACATCCACAAGCGTCAGGAAATGGACCCCGCTAAGGAGAAGAGAGAGTTTTGTGATTACTGTACATATGTACATGCATATTTACTTTTCGTTTATGCTAAATACGGTAGAAGGCAAATTAATTGTCGCTAGCTTTTTTCCCTGTGGCTTGTTGTGGCTTTGCAGATGGCTTGTACCAGGGAGATATCGAGGGAGGTAGAATCGGCAGTTCAACGTACTACTGAACCACAAGTGTCTGGAAATGGACACTGCTGAAAATAACTAACTAAAAAACCAGCAACACCCAATTCGTCTTCTACATGGATCAAAATGTGGCAAAGAGGCAGTTTTGCAGTATACAAGGATTCGCAAAAAACATGATATGTGCATCTTTACCATACTGATAAATTTGACAGCCCTTAGCGCAGAGTTGAAGAGCATTTAATTATGTGCACCCGTCTTCTAATGAGAAGTCAACCACCACCTCTAGCGATAGATTGTCCTGAAGCCATGGAAGAAACTAGCCAAGATTCGTGCAGCAATCCATTACGGGCGGTATCCGTACCCCAGGATGACATCATCGCCTCAAACGCCAAGGATATTTCCACCAGCCCTTGTGATAACTTTCTCACCCTGAAGGTTTTTGGGAGACTGAAGCGGGGTCTTGGATGTCTGATGAAATTTGGCCTTTGGCTAATGACGAGGACGTGCTATGCGGCTGCACCACTAAAGGAAGCAGCAATGTGCTGAGAAATCGTGGTGACCTGGGGGTCAGATTCTCAAACGAGATCCCTGATCATGCAATACGGATGCCGCTTACTCGGACAAGAGATTTAAACTACCACGATCTAACCATAGCCGTGCCTACAACTTTAAGTCCCCACTCAGCTCATAAATTGAGTCATCAAGCAACGCCTGATTTCGAAAAAAGTCTGGCCATTTGTAAAACAAAGAGTAAGAGTAATCAGACTCATCAGCAGAGCTACAAAGACAGCCCAATATCACCGCTAGATATAGGCTCGGATTGGGACCTCATAGGAAGTGACGATGACAGCGAATGTATCTTTTCCTTCAGCCCACATGCGGGCAATGATACGATGGGTAGCAGCTCTAACACAAAAATGTTCAATAAAATTACTAGATAGATATGGAATATGGGGGAAAGGGTGGATTACGAGCGGTTTAGGTTGGCGGTTTGAGGTTGGGGCTGGGGTTGGGGACAAGTTTTTTTGACGGCAAGGAGAATGTAATTCTAGGAGAGACACTTTTAGTCGAGATTAAAACATCAAATAATTTGGGCCTTTTAATTAAGAATGAGTTCCACACTATTTGCAAATTTTATGTCCTCTGAAGACTGAAAATTCAGCCATGTATACATCAGCCTTTATATCGTCACTATCCGCCTTTGTTGTCTTGCGGTTCAATAGTGGCTGCTTTACACTTGTCAGTGGAAAACCTGTGATTGATGCTGAGCTTCCTACCTGTCTTAATTCATCGATCGAATGCGCAGATTCCGCACTTTGAACAAACTTTGAGGCATCATTGTCTAGTGGCCAAAGGATGGGGTCGCGAGTATTCATAGGTCCAGTATATACAGCGACTTTACTCATAAGCTCCATTGTCACATAACCAACTCCTCTAATATCCTTAATAGAGTCGCGATTTGACACGAGTCTGCGGCAGCACTCTTGGCCCGCTACTTACTGTTAGTTGACGCCCGTGACATAGCCTGACGGCCTACCTATTCTTATAGATCCCTCAGTACTTATAAGGATGTTCTTGCATGTAACTTCGCCATGCTCTAAACCTTTTGATGCAAGGTATTCGAGACCGCTAAGGATCTGTTCACATATTAAGATGTGAAGGCAGCTCAGGGTAAGGCTCACCTGTCGAAGTATCACAGCAAGCTGTGACTCGGTAGGATAGGTTACAAGTGTGGCATAGTGGCTGAGACATATAGGCAGCTTCTCGCCTCTGTTGAGTTCATGCTCAAAGACGGCATATTGAGATCCTTCAAAGCTGAAGCTTTCTAAAAACTTCAGAAAATTCTCATTTCGAATTCGACTCAGCATGTCTCGTTTCTTCTCTATATCTGGATCATCAGAGAATTTTCTAACAGCAACAAAGAGGCCATCCTTTTGAGTAGCAATGATAACTGATTTATGTAAGGTCAGGTTAAATCGCATTTGGAGGCGCTCCCAGGGTGATGAATCCTGGGACTGAATTGCTTCTGGAGCACGGAATCTGCTTCTACCCCGACCGCTCTCCCCTGAGCGCCGACGACTCTTTTGTGATGATTCATCTTCTTGTATCCTCTTCCTCAGCTTGTTTGGTGGGGGATCATTGTCGGATGATGCAGGAGGGGAAGCCGTGCCATTCGACCTGTTTTCGTCGGCACAGTCAGGGGTGGCTCTAAGAAACCCAAACCGGGTGTTACTCCTTTTTAAGCTCATACTTATAATAACTTATTGTTGACGCAATTTTTTTTATGGTTGGAAGAGCTATAAGGCTTTTTAATACTGATATAAATAAGCCAGATATTGCACTAAGCCAGTTTCGGCTGCTGCACTTAGATAGCCCATGTGAAAAGCGGGCATTCTCCCAGAGCATAGACATCCATACCTCAATATGAAAGCGCGAGTACATGCGGAAGACCTAAGATTTGAGACAGAGTGGCGTCTCTTCTGCAAAGGTTCCGCTCTTGTCAAGCTTGAGAGTCTAAATTGGGAAGAGCATAAAACTCGCCAACATGACCCGAAGAATGTACTACGACTTAAAAAGGTCTTTGAGAAGGAAGGATGCCGTTCGCTAAAGGTGGGAAACCACATACCTGCTATTGTCGATCAACATCATCTCGACACTGCCATAGAGAATGCGAAGCAAAATAAGACGTGGAAAACGGGGATTTTGCCAAGTAGTTACGCCACGATCGACTCAGAAAACAGATACCCAGAGCTTGACTTTCCAGGCGGAATTATCTGTCTCCATGGATTACATAGAATTCAAGCGGGAAAAGCATTGCGCCCGGCTGAGAAATGGTGGATAGTAGATCTATACCTTTCAGGAATCAGCTACGAGATGAGGGCAATTCTAGATGAAGAGTATTCTAATGAAGATAGGCCTTGTGATGGTCAAATATATCGCAAAATCCGTGAATACCAGTATCTACCCCAGAAGGCTGATGCCCTAATCTTACCAGCTACCTGTGTAAGCTTCGAAATGCGTTGGTGGTCTCGTTTTAATGAAAGTAGACAGAAGAGACTCCGCGGCCTCTTCCGACACCGCTTGGTTGCCGCTGGATTTGATGCTCTTACTAAGATTCCGGCTCTCTTTGACGCTGGAATGAAGGTCACTACACTGCATACAGTGATGGCAACGAGGTGCTATGAGGTAAGTCGAATGCTATGCCTAATCAATCTTTTACTTATATTACATGTAGGAAATACAGCATTACCTTAAATCATATTTTCTCCTCAACAGTTTTGTGATTCTTGAATGCACCACTTGAGATCATAATAGATAGTAAAAACAAGAGAGCGTTGGCACAGAAAGGAGGTGGAGGATCTAGCCTTTCCTATATGGAATGTTTTGGTCTATATGCGATCAGTGAAATGCCGCCCAAAAACGACGGAAAATTTTGATTACTTTTTAAAGGTGTCTGCCATGCCTTTACTGTGTTCTCTCTTGAAGGATATTATAATGTCGGGCTCTCCATCTTTCCATACAACCATGCAAACGAGTTCCTGTTGGCTAGTTAGCACTGAACCTGTCCTTTTATTTCTACTTCAGGCGTGTATCTGACCTTATACTTCGCCTTGCATATTTCCTGTAACCTTGCTGATGTATAGCAGTGCATCTTCAACAGAGCACTTACATCCACACGGCAGCCTTCGTGGATGTATTTATGGTGGTCTCTCTGCCATAATAGCTCCTCCATGTCGAGGTAGTTCTGTATAGTTAAGAACGTAGGTTCCTTCTCTTTTATCGACAGAGGGATCTCGTATCTGAGTACATCTGTGATGTACTTTTTTACTCGTTAAAAAGAGCATTATGGGGTATTGCGTGAGCTTGCAGCAGACTTACTGGAACCATTGAGTCATGGACGGCTTTAGGAATAGATAGATTGGTCTTCCGCTGCCATTCTGACACCGCGCTATCACGGATCTGTTGAGACGCATCTTCGTCTTCTAGAATTCGGTCGCGCCGTCATAAATAATATGTCCAACGACCAGCGTGTTCGAGACACGGCTACGCCAACGCTGTTTCACCCTGATATACACAAAAGAAACATATTCGTTTCTGATGATGACCCCACTGTGATTACAGGCATCGTTGATTGGCAGTCCGCCAGTATTGAGCCAGCATTCTGGTACGCAGAGGAAGTGCCCGACTTTGCAACAACTTTACCTCACCCATCGCTCGAGAATCAACTTGAGCCCAACAGTGAGCGATGTGCGAAGGCATTTGAAGTTTGCACTCAGTTCCACGTTCCAAAGCTGGGTAGACCAAGAGTTATGGATGACGCCCTTTTCCGGCCGTTCCGCTATTGCTACAGGACGTGGAAGGACGGTGCGATGGCTTTTCGCCATGAGCTAATCAAAACATCTGAACGCTGGCAGGAGCTTGGACTTATGGGTTCCTGTCCATATCCCGCACCTACCCCGGAAGAGTTAGCCATCCACCAGAAGGAATATAAATACTTTGAGGCGGCACATGACTTGAGAAATAACCTCGCAGGCTTGCTCAATACTGCATCCGACGGCTGGGTTCCGCCAGAAGACTGGAAAGCGACGAAGTTGGCCAACAGGGAGCTGTTTGAGGTGATGTTGCAAACTGTCCTAAGTATCAAAAACCCAGATGATGATGAGCCAACAAAAGATGAAGGAGACGTAAGGGAATTTGGCCCTTTGATTTATAACAGCGCCATTAACGTTCGATCATTTTCAATAGACTCTGCTCTCTTGAGGAAGGTGGTCACTATCGTGTTCCTCCACCCCTTTCGCGACTAGAGTACACCCGTGTAAAGAGAGTCGATTTTTAAAGAGCGCTCCTCGAGCTCCTTTGGCATAGAGCGGTTTGCAGTCAGCTTTGTTACTGCGGTCTTCTGCGAGCTGGATACGGATGCGACATCTGCGCCGTATAGTACGCGGAACTATACGGCGCAGATGTTGCCTTGATCATCTATCAGAAGGGGCGCTATTATACTTACGTATCTCCTGGCAAGCCATGTTTTCCACCATCCAAGAAAGAAATCATAGGTTCTCTACTGACTTCGATGGCAGTTTACTAAATGGTGGCAAGATGAATTCTTTTCCAATCCCTATAACTATGTTGCCACATGACACCGACACGAAATGCCAACGGAAACGCAATCCAGAAGATCCAGAGCAAGTGGGGAGTAAAGAGAAGGAATGAGCAGATAGGAAATATTGCCACGCGCCAAGAAGACGGGATGAGGCCCTCACTCCATGGCATCACTGTGTCAACATTTCAGGTTTATGCACGTAATTTATCTTGAAACCCGTCACGCTGGAAATCGTCAAATGATACATGTCCTTGTTATCGTCGTTATCCAACTTTTCATGTGTTCTAAATGCTTCAATTGTTCAAAGGCATCAGATTAAACAGTTGATAGCATTAGTTATTTATTCAAGCACATTAAACCCAACCCCTCCAACCCACACATCCCTATCATACTCAAAACCCAACACAATCCCCCAGCTACATACTACGCCCCCCTACCTAACAACCTAATCATAAAACACCAACGTCCTAACCTCAATACTCTCCCTCACCCCCCCCCCCCCAAAAAAATGCACCTTATCCTCAAACGCCGAATGCCGCACCCTCCTCGCCCTCCCATCCTCCAGCGAATCAAAACACTTAATAAACAGCGGCTCGTCCGGGCGCTGGGCGTACTTGAAGTACCACCTATGCGCCGCGTTGGGGCGCACGCTGTAGGTTTCGCCCGTGCGGTCTGGGTAGATCAGCGAGACGGGGATGAGGTCCGGAGGCAAGGGCGAGGGGGTCGCGGAGGCTGGGTTTGATGGGACGCCAGACCTGTGGGTGGTGCGTGTTAGCAACCGTCGTCATTGCATTAAGTTGGGGGCGGGCGACTTGGGGCGGGTGAGTTTGGGGGGGGGACTTGTGTGCTCGACATCGTCTCCCGCCCAATAAGATGGATAATATGATAATCGGCTTTGAAATCAAAGTGAGGGGTATTATCGCGATGGTGCAGTGTATAAATCATATTTCATGACGTAGATGGTTGGGTCTGCTGGACGTTGGGGGCATTGTTAAATCTGAGTGTAATATCACATCATTCTATTATTAGAACTTAGACAAGCTTTGTAAACTGCCATGCCATCGCCTTCAGTTGCTGGTATTTTTTTTAAGAGTGAAAGCTTTCTGGCGGGTATATATACTGTGTAAATATACCGATATGTAATGTTTAATAGAATACCACAGATTAAATGCCATCTTTCGGACCAATGCTTTCACAGTGAGAATTATATCCTCTTCCAATACGATGTCAATGAAACATTCGTCCCTACGATAGATATCAAACCAGCGTTCTTTATTAAATTCTCTAGTATATATCATTTTCCATTAGGCCAGTGGATACAGTAGCTAGCTCATGGTTCTGTAACCATGGTTGAGGCATCAAATATTTGAGGAAGACCCTCTGATCAACCCCTGAAGATGATCGGACGAGACGATAAAACCAGATATATCTTGGGCGATAAGACCCCTCTTCCATTTACTAATCTCAAGTACCACTCGTCGCGAGCATTTGTCAATTAGCCAATTACACTTTCATATCACAATCAAACTTTTCACTTCACAGGGACGGACAACGATAGGTCAATGCAAATATGTGTGTAAGTCTTACATTCCCCCTATCCTGCGCTGTATGAATCCCTCCCCATCCACATCCCCGGAGCCACCGTCGAGATGATCAAAGGAAAACAACAAAAATGCTATCCTAAAAGCCGAAAGAAAGAAAAGAAAGAACAACAATGGATGGTTATATCTAATGTATGCCCGCGCACACGCCTCTTTCCCTCGGTTCGGTTTGTCATCAGCGTCCATCCATTACACGCACCACCACTCTCTCTAGCCAGCGGTGTCTTTTTCGTCCACCACCCAACTTCCCTCGGAATGCTGGGTAAACCCTCCCCTCCAATTCATATCATAACATCATAAAAAAATGCGCTCCCTTCGCAACATCCATCGTCGTAACCCAAAAAACAAGAACGAAAACGTATAACATCCCAAACAAGATGAGAAACAAGAGAGAGAAAAAAAGAAGAGATGCGACGTCGTAATAGCACAGAGATCTAATCACCCCCCTTCTTCCTTCTCACTCTCCACTCCACCACCTTCCTCCTTGAGGAAAAGGCAAACATGTCCCCTCACAGGCCACCCCATTTTCCATCAAACCCCTCATCCCCTCCCCACTCCGCCGGCCCGGCACCACCCGCCCCGTAAAAAGCCATAAAGATCTCATGCGACGCCGTATTCCCGCCCTCATGCTGGTGCCCTCCCAGCGGCGCGACTTCGCCGAACAACGCGCCCTGTCCCTGCGGCGCACCGGACCCGAAGAGTTGGAAGTCTGAGAACTGCGTGCCCATGTTGTTGTGGTTCTCCGCGTGCTGACGACCAGGCATCAGCGCCTCGAAGGTCTCGCATGATGAGTCGGGGGTGTAGAGCATTGTGTTTCCCTGTCCTACTGGGCTGAGATGCTGAACCCCTTGCGCGCGGGCGGGGGTAACAGCATCAACACATGCGTACGATGGATCGTAATCGCGTTGAAAGATGGCTGGGTCGGGAGTAGGGAGCTGCTGCGGGACGGTCACACGTGCGGAGTAGAGGTCTTCGTAAAGTGTGAAGTCGTTCCCAGACGGAGCGAAGGCGGAGCCGAAGTTTGCGGTTACGTCGTCGAGGAAGAGGTCTGAGGTGTCGACGTAGGGGGATGTGTTAGAAGAGGGGAGCGAATTGAGGTGTGAGTCAACGGGGGAGAGGGTGTAGCTGTTATGTAGGCTTTGCTCGGCATTGGCGTTGTTGTAGGCGAAATCGGAGGGGTAGGAAGGGAAGTCGAGCGGAGAGTGGTTGAAGCCGTCGTCGAAGCCGTTTGCGTCGTTCCCGGCGTCCATCTCCCAGTTCATCTGATCTGGAGACGAGAGCTGAGCCTCCGAGTCTGGAGTGCGGATGGTAGTCGTCTGCGGCGTGGGCAGGGCATTCTGCTGCTGCGCCGGTGCCTGGTCACGGTTCTTTCCGTTGTTCTTGGAGCGAACGTACACCCAGTTGTGGCTCTTCTCCATGTGCTGCTTGCAGTTCGACTCGCGCTTGGACTGGTATGGGCACGGCGGGAACTGGCACTTGAAGAGGCGTGGCGACGCCGAGTGCTTGTCGTTGACGTGGCGGTCCAGCTCCTTCTCCGTCGGCCATCCGTACTCGTGGTACTTGCACAGGGGCTCCTGGCACTTCCAGGGCCGGCTGTGAGTCTTCTCGTGCTTGGTGAGGTCGCACGATCGCTTGAACTCTTTGGTGCAGCCAGGCTCGCTGCACTTCTTCGCCTGGATCTCGGCGGTGGCAGAGCGTTTGCGGCGCGCCATCGAGCGCATGATGGACTCCTCGTCGTCGAGCTCCTGGCTTAGCGAGCGCTTCATCATGACGCCGTTCTTCTCGTCATCCTCGATGCTCTCCATCTTGATCTGCTTTCCGGTCGCGAGCGAAATGGCTGTTCCGTCCTTCTTCACGCGGACGAGCTCTGCTGGGCGGCCATTCTTGGCAACACCGCCGTAAAGTTTGATCTGCTCAGATCTGGAGCGCGGGTGGTTAGCAGTGGTCTTCTTATATCTACGTGAAGGAGCCCTTGCACCACTAGACTCTATGCGCAGAGTCATAGTGCTGACCGACAAGGCTGTGGCTTCAATTTGGGGCAGTGAAACATACGGTTGGACATCCATGTCGTCAGTCTCTTCCTCCTCCTTCTCGCGGCTAGCCTGAACAGACTGGGCGTAGTTACTAATCTGGTCGACCAGGTCAATAAAGTACCCGCTCGTATACGGGCGGTCGTTGGGTCTCGTCTGCTCTCTCTCATTCAGGAATTCGACGGTGGCCTGAATGCAGCGGATAGAGGTGACGCAGAACTCTAGATATAGTTTTGCAGTGCGCGAGTGTTCCTTTAGGCGCGAAGAAAACCAGTGAGTGAAGGCTCTCACGGCGTCATCATTGTTATGGATATCACTTACAGGTGCCATGAACATCAGTGTCTTCTCGAGGTCTCGCAGACACACGATCTCCTTCTCGTTGATTCTGCGCGGGCAGTCCGCGACGATGGGGTGGAAGTCTTTCAAAGACGGCATGGCGAGCAGCGGTTTCAGGATGAACTCGTAAGTCTTATTCGTCGCGCGCTCACTCAGGCGCGGCTGGGTGTATTGCGATGAGCGATGCGGCGCGGCGGAGCGCGTGATTGCAGATGCCGAAACGGTCGATTTGGCGCCCTGCTGGTCGGTGAGACAGGTGAGGCCGCCGGCGGCGGCGACGCCTCTCTTCTCAGAGGAGGCAGACATGATGGAGGATCCTAGACCGCTGTCAGATGCGTGGTGGGTGGACTGGCGACGGTTGTGTCGACGAGGTCGCAGCGAGCCTCTGCCGATGCTGAAGTCGGATTGCGAGGCAATGGGCGACATGGTGCTTCGGGTCTCGCGGCGGTTTGTATCAACGGTGTGGTTGAGGAAACCCTGAGGAACGGGAAGGCTATCGTCACGGAAATTTTGAGTGTTCGGGGTGGGTGCACCAAGGTCGATAGCAGACAAACCGCGGTCAATATCTCCGAGTGTCAGGGCAACACGACGCTTGTGAGCCTCGACAACATCCTCAAGCGAGGTTTGCGAACGGCGTGGAAGACATGGTACGATAAAGTGATCGGAGGCTGGAGAGGATGGGTTGTGAAATGTGGCACCTTTGCGAAGCTTATGAAGGGTCATTGAGATTGTGTCAAGCATCGAAGCGGAAGCGGTAGCGGAAGTGGCAGACCCAGGAGTCATTGGTGACGACGAAGTGGTCTTTGAAGAGCGTCGAGGATGGGGAGGGGTCATCGTGGGCGGTCTTATTGGACACGTCTGATGAATCGACGGCGAGCGGACTGTGGGGGTGGGAAAAGAACCCAGTTAGCCCAGGCGTTCTCCGAGAGCATGGATGGCAAGATGAACGGTGTTGACTCGAGGAAGGGGAATGCACTGCAACTCCACTACACCGGAACAGTACAGAATGATGTACAGGCTGGATGTTGGAAGACCCAAGCAAGCAAGCATGAACCGGGCTAAATGAGTCACCTCCGTCACACCTTCGGAAGCGGGCAGAGAAACCGGCAGCCCAAGTAGTACACCGAAGAAGAGGAGCGACTCGGTGACCCGCTCATTCGTCAATGCGGACGTGCTTTGAAGCAAACAGTCCGGGGAATATATAAGAGCGAGGACGGAAGGGGGATTCGGAGCAAGCGAGGGGAAGGAAGCTCTTACAATCAGTCTTTAGACTCGCGACCGCAGGCAAGCTGAGCCAGCAGGCAGGATAAAGGCGTTTTCACGTAAAAAAGAAGATGGCGGGTGATGGTGGACGGAAACGAGGCTCGGAGATGTCGGGATTGTCGAGTTTGCTGGAACGGAAAAGAACCAAACGAATTGGTGAGATGGCGGCAACGCGGCGAAGAAGGAGATAAATAACGATAAAGCAGTTGGATCGGAGGCCTTGTTTGTGAGGAGTGTTGAACGATGATTTCGTGGAGTGGCAAACACGATGTTGGAAAAGGGGAGAGAGAGAGATTCGAGTTTGGAAAGGATGGATTGGAAGGTGGTGATTGTGGTGGTTGTGGTGGTTGTGGTGGTTGTGGTGGTTGTGGTGGTTGTGGTGGATTAGGCAGCAGTCAACATGGTGAGCGGGGCGGGGCGGGGCGGGGCGCGGCGGGGCGGGGCGGGGCGGGTGTTGACGCGAGTGGAGACGTCACGGCGAGAGGTACCGTACTGTTTGTACCTGTTTAGCGCGGAGTCACAGTTTTGAGCACCAGATTCCAGGCAACAGCCCCCCAACCGCAAAAGGTACGAGTACCCTCGTACTCCCAGTGGATCCCTCACCGGTCGCCGCTATCCCCCCGACCCCGACCGCACCCCTGCCATCCGTGCATGTACGTACTAGCAATCATGGAGGTCTGACGTCTGATGTCTGATTCGTCGGTATCCATTTTAAGCTCACCGATGTCGTTCGCTTAGTATTCGGACAGCGCTGTCCGAATACTGGAACTTGATGGGATGGCCCCCCCGTCTAGCCGCCCCCAACACCCACCACCGCCCACATTCAATAGTTCCCGTGGCGCAGCACCTGTCGATGCAACACCACAGCACACAGCTCGCACCACCAGCATATGCACCCACAATACCACTACCGCCCACCACCGCCGCGCCACGAAGGATCGACACGAACGGGTCCAGCTTGGCCATGTTGCATGTTGCACCGTGAGGGAGGGCGAGGGGTGAGAGGTGACCCCGACCGGGGTCATCGTCTATAGAGGGGGGTCCTATAGGTGTTAGAGTTGTAAGTTTACATCTAGCTTTGAAATGATCACCTATGGATCAAACGGTATTAAACCAGCTCTACAGAATCTAGCTTTAGCGTTCTAAATCACTATTAACTAGTTATAAGCTGTAACGTGCATGTATAACGAAAGTGCCAAACAAGCGAAAGTGCCAAAATATCGCGACTACCCCATAAGAATTGCGATAAATCCACCACAACAATATAATTAAAACTACTCAGAGTCCTCTTCCTCAGACCTGTCTATTACAATCTGACAAGTGCGCGCATTGTGTCCAGTCTCGCCACACTTGCCACAGCGACGTGCATGGGTTTCTTCCCTTGGCTTCCGACCACTACTTGCCCTTATTTCTTGCTCTACTTGCTGCACAACGTCCCTCTCGTCCTGTAGCTCCTGTGCTACCTGTTGACTAAGTGATCCTCCTTGCTGTAGTCGTGTTTTTTTAGCTCTCCGGCGCTTGCTTAGCACTTCATTTGCCTGTCACAGGTTTTGGTTCTCTGCTTTTAACAATGCTAATTGATGCATTATTTGCGATGCACCCTTTGTAAACTGGTCAACAGCTGCATAGATTAAGGTTGGAGAGCTATTTTGATGATGCGCAATTCAGTTTTTAATGAAAGTAGACTGTGATACAGCTTCAGTTGGGTTATTTGGTGTCTGAGAAACCCATGGTTGAGCGGTGTTTGGGCGAGAGGTTGGAGGTGTTGGCGTCTTAAACCTAAGGTCAAGTGTAGATATTACACTCTCAGGGCTAAATGGAAGAAGCCCAGCACCTCGGAACCCTCCCTGAATATTGCTTTCTGTCATTGCAATGTTAAATGCAGCGTCGAAGGTAGGAAAGAAGTCATCCTTAGTAATGTGAATAATATGAGCCCGCATCATATCTTCAATTTGCCGACCGTAAGCTCTCTTTAATGGGCCAAAACAGCCAACATCAAGTGGTTGGAGTATATGGGAAGAGTGAGCAGGCATACAAAGCGTAATAATGTTGTGTTCTTTGCAGTACTCCTCAAACTTGTCTGAGTGGTGGCTCTCATGACCATCAAGGACTAACAAGCGATAACCACCAACACTCCAGGGCTTTGTGTGCTTCTCAAAATGCTGAATCCAATCCATACCTCTCTCGTTTGTAGTCCAGCCATTTGCAGTAACAGCGATTACCCAATCTGCTGAAAATCCGCTATTCTCATACCAAGATGCAAGGTGGTTTTTACCTGCCACAATGACAAATGGCGGCACTGCCCAACCTTGAGAACTAACGCTTTGGATTACTGTAACCCATTCCCGATTGCCAGGCTGCACCTTTTTTGCCTTTGCCCGCCCATCTGAGCTCGTTACTACCGTTGCGCTTGAGATGACGCCCATCATAAACCCAGTCTCATCAAAGTTGTAGTTATCTGCATTGTTGATGCCATACTTTAGAATTGTGTTCCATACAAGCTCAAACCAGCCACGAATGACTTCTGGATCTTCGCACTTAGCCCTCTGGTAGTCGTATTTTCGCTGGAAGCGTGTCCGGAGCTCTACATGGCGCTTAACAAAGTTTGAAGCCTAACGTGACCCGACGCGTGGCGCGTCTCGTGTTGCAAGTAGTCGACTTGCCATATCTTCAACAATAGACAACTGAGGAGGGAACCCTTTAGCAGCTAAGTCAAGTATATACTGAACAAGAACTGATTCCTCTAGGTTACTTAATTTCCGTAAATTGGCTTGGATATCGCGTCGTGAAGGTACGCCTTGTAAACGGTGACGTAGCTTGCGGTGGTCTACGGAATAGATCCTAGCTGCAACTCGAAGGCGCAAATTTGGGTCGCTTTGCATAGCTTAGATAGCTAGCACTAATTTGCTTTCATCATTTTTATGGCGCATGTTTTGTTGTGGAGGAATTTAACATTTAGTTTGGGGGGTTGGTCACTGCATGATTTTGGCACTTTCGCTTGTTTGGCACTTTCGTTATACATGCACGTTAACTTATCTTTTTTATTCTTCGCTCTATTTAGGATATATTCATATTATCTAAATATGAATCCGTCTAATTCTCCCCTAGCACGGCGCACAATCATGGTAGCGTCAGTGAGCTTAGGCGTTCTTTGTCGTAGGGTATGCGCGCGTGGCCGCATTAGTGACAACCGCATTGGTCTGATGTGACGGGAGATGGAAAAATAATCCTGGAGCAGTAATACCGTATCAGCTCCGTCTGGTATGCGACTACTTTTTGTTTTCTTTGTTCGATCTCTGGCTTAGTGCTGATGGTCCGAATGAGCATCGGGAGGTATCCGCTACAGGTACGCGTCGAAAGTTCCCCATCGCACAAGGAGGGTGGCTGCTGTTACGACGGAACAAGAAGGCTGGCCAACTACAGGACAGGAAGGAGGGAGGTCGCATGAGACCGGCCCTGGTACCTGGAGGGGCAGCGGGGAATAGTAGTTCCGAAAGTATCACGTGACGGACTCGCAGGATGATGAGAAGAGTCCTAAGAGTCCAGGACTCCGAGGACTCGAGTGAGTTCCCAGGAGTCCACTAGGCACGTGACGGACTCGCAGGATGATGAGAAGAATCCTAAGAGTCCAGGACTCCGAGTACTCGAGTGAGTTCCCAAGAGTCCACTAGGCACGACGCCACTATATAAGTAGATAGTATTTCCTTAGATAGGAGCTTCATGCTCAACTCAATACAGTATTTGTTATATACTAGTAACGTGTTACTTGAAGCCTTTGTGTCCGATCCCCTGCCTCCTCTGATAAGTAAACCTTTACGCAAGAGAACCTCTGTGTCTTCTATCGTTTAGAAGTCAGCGTTACAGCTGCGCTAACCCGATTCGGGTGTCATTGTTGTAAGCCAAATCTGAGTTCAGAGCTTCGCCCACTTTCTCGTTTTTTATTCTTTACTTCACAACAACAATGCCCACAAACCGCCCTCTGAGACCAGTAAGTGGCCACTCCCCGTCCGTTTCTTGATCGTCTACTAACTGATTGTATAGTATATCCACAATCTGCACGAACGAGTAGGTGATGGGAGCGCGTTGGCGCGATGGTGATAACTTGGGCTTGGCTAACGGAATCCAGATTCCAAAAAAAATATCGAAGATGTCGGTTCCCACCCTCTCCGGGGACCTTACGGTTGCCTTCCGCGTGCTCTATCTGCGCTGCCTTCGGGCCAAAGCCCGTGGGATTCAGTCTGACAATGAAGTCCAAAGCTATAGATTTCCACGCTCCTGTTGGTACTGGAGTCGATTTCAGCTGTCCATATGCGTCTGGTTCCCGACCAGCTCGAAGTGTGGGTACTGCACCGTGCAGCACTCGCCTTGCGTCCCAGTAGGTTTTCTTGTGGGGTTCGGTGTTTGGTTTGGTTGGCAGTTGCTGACTTTGGTGAAAGCTGCCCTGGTTCCTTGGGGAATAGTTCGCGGCCCTCCTGGCCGCTGAAGAGGCCACCCCCCTCATTCCCGCCGACGTCGTCGCCGCCGCCACCGAGGCCAATCGGGTGGCCCTCCTGGCCGCCCAGAGCATGCCCAAGTTCCGCTCCGAGGCGGAGCGTGACCTCTATGAGGAGGCACGCGCCACTCGGGCTGCCCTCGAGTTGGGGCTGGCCGTGAGTAGACCCCCTTCCCCTTGGGACTCGAGGTAGTTTTGATACTGACTCTGGGCAGCAAATTCAGTCGTCGCTGCGCCGTCTCCGGACGGAACAGGAGAGCGTTCCTGCTCTCTTGGGTGAGTTGGTGGTTGCTGTGGGCAAACTGCCCACCACTGCCGCTCCCGCAGTCGCTCCAACTCGGGGTGATGGAAGGAGGGAGGGGAGGATGGGGAAGTTGGGGCGGCCTACGGGGCCTAGATGGGGGAAGACCCTGTGTCGGAGGGGACTCGGGCCTGGCCCTTCGCGTGGGGTCACTTCGACCCTTCGTCTCTCATGGTGGTAGCCGCTTGTTGCGACGCCGGTGAGACGTTTGGGAAGGGTGGCTCCCGCAATGGTTACGGTGGTGAGTGCGCCCTGGCTGGGAGGGTATTTTAGCTTAGAGTCGCAGACAGTAACGACTCTGTTTCTTCCGCTTTGTCTTTTCCTCCGTGATCGTAGTTTTGTTCTTTTCCCGTCTCCCCTGCCGTAACCCCTCCGAGTAGTTCTTGAGGTGGTCCTGGTAAATCTGGGTATTCCGTATGAAACTCTCTGAGTTTATGGGGAGAGTTCGTGAAGTTTGATGTTGGGTACCACTCCGGGTCCGGATCATATCCAACCCAACTAACCCGGTATTGCAGTTGTTTCCAGTGGAGCCTTACGGCGAGGATCTTTTCCACTTCCCATTCCTCTACGCCATCTATCACTTCGCTGCTAGGCTCAGGCGGATCCTGACCAGGTAGGGGGTTGTTCGGGTCCTTCATGAGGACGTCTGGTGAGAACACATTGTGTATTTGAGAACCGGTAGGTAGTTCCAATCGAAATGCGTGCCCAATCCGTTCCAACACAGTATATGGTCCGACCCATTGTTGGCCCAGCTTGCGGCTAGGACGAGAGTTTTTCAAATTTTTGGTCGATAGGTACACTCTATCTCCTACGTCCCAGTCGATGGCCCTTCAGCGTCAATTCGCGTGCTTAGACATTTCCTCTTGTGCCTTTGCCATGTTTTCCTTTGCATGGACCCATGCGGTATGCATTCGGTCTGCCACCGCCTTGGCTTCCTCTCAGTTTAGGGTCTCCCGGGGGTTGGTGCTTTTCGGAGTGTTCCAACTCGTACGCGGATCAGTTCCGTACTTGAGTCGGTAGGGGGTCATGCCAGTGGATGCATGGGGGAGTGTCATTTGCACGCGGTCATTATGGGGATGAGTTCTCTCCAGTTATCCTGATAATGGGATACGAAGGGCCTCAGTCTCTGATCGATGTATCGGTTCATGATTTCCGTCTGCCCGTCGGTCTGCTTATGATAGGCAGTCGACAGCTTAACCTTAACGCCGATAATTCGACAGAACTCTTGCCAAAAGGATGATAGGAATTGGGGTCCGCTGTTGCTTACAATCGACTCCTGAGTGTGTCCGAATCGGTATATCCATTCGATGAACAATTGCGCCATCTGCCGGGCAGTTGTGGTTTTGTAGCAAGGTATTGTCACTGAACTCTTTCCGAGTCGGTCCATAAACAATAAGATGCTATCATATCCATGCTTGTCCCTTGGGAACTCCTTAAAGTCCATGGTGAGGTGTTGCATAGGGTATTCGGGTACGGGTAGTGGGTGTAGAAATCCTTGTTGCTTAGTAACATTGGTGTGAGAAAGCCGGCATGTCACGCAGTTTCGTACATACCGCAAACAGTCCGCTTCCATCCCGACCCAATGATACTTTGGGGCGAGCAATTGGTAGGTTTTCCTGCCGCTTGGATGTGCTGACGACACTTGATCGTGCGCTTCCCGGATCAGTTTCGTACATAGGTCGGTGTGGCGATTCACACATAGCCAGCCTTTGTACAGGAGGAGCTGGTCGTTCATCGCGAATCCGTCCGGTAGGGGTTGTTTTGCGCGAGTCTCGGTGAACGACTTCCGATTGTCCGCACATAGCGCCTCTATTAAATTGAAGGGCACCTGGGGCTTGGGGGTGTCCATCGAATTAATGGATGCTATGTAGCTCTCGGCGAGTTCGGTGCTGATTCGGGGGTGCAGGCGGCTTGGACCTAACAATACCCTCGCCCTACTATCAAGTTTGACTTTCTGCTGCGTTACTAAGTCCTGGTCTCTTCGGCTCAGAATATCAGCCTTCTGGTTATTCTTGCCTGCGGTGTACGTAATGCAGAAGTTGAAGTCGGAGAGTAGCTCCATCCATCGAACCTGCTTCGCGGTGAGAACCTTGGTAGACATGAAATATTCCAGCGAACGGTGGTCAGTGTACACGTCAACTCGGTGGCGCACTGAAGCCAACTCGGGCCTCCATTTTCTGAAGGCCTTTACTATTGCGAATAGTTCCTTCTCGTGGATCTCCCAATTGATCTCATGTCCGGATAGGACATGACTGTAAAAGCTTACGGGGTACCATCGCTTGTCAGGGTGTTCTTGAGACAGGACACCAGCTACCACTCCATCAGAGGAGTCGGTCTCCAGCTTCGTAGGCAATTCGGGGTTGAAGTGGTGAAGTGCCTGTACTGCTAAAAGTTGTCGTCGCAATTCCTCGAACGCATCCTCACATTCGTCTGTCCACCGGAACGGCTCCGAGGGACTAGTGATGGTGGTGAGGGGCTTTGCTATTTTGCCAAAATTACGAATGAATTGTCTATAGAAGCCACAGAATCCCAGGTAGGACTTCACACCCATAACAGTGGTTGGTCGGATCCAGTTACGAAGGGGTTCAATTTTGTCAGGGTCCGCTTCGACACCGGAGGTAGTGAGAACATAACCCAAGTATTTTGTCCTGGTGACGTTGAACTTGCATTTGTTCAAATCGGCTTGGAGTCCAGCTTCTCGGAGATGCTGTAGGACCTTATGCACATGCTCTATGTGTTCCGTAGGGTCCTCTGAATAGATTAGGATGTTGTCACGGTTCACCAAGGCATAGGGCGCCAGTTGGGTATTATGAATTAAACTCAATCTAGAGAAGAAAGGAAAGAAAAGAGGAGCACTCGAGCAGTGGCTCAATCTATATACAGCTATGTTGTTGTGGAGTGAATTCTCTTTAGCGAGACCAGTTCTGAAAATTCACTCCACAACTGAAAACTTCGCTCCAACCCCGGAAAGCTTCCCACACCCCTGAACCCCCACTCGAGCTGCAAGGCGCACTTGATATCGTAACAGATGTCATCTAAGTATGCGGTGCAGAAGTCGTCTAAGTATTGCATCAGGACGTCATTCATATACCGCTGATAGGTTGCGGGACCGTTCGTCAGTCCAAATGGCAGCACTTTGCACTTATAGGATCCATAGCGAGTCCGAAAGGTCGTGTACTCTTCCGAGTCGGGGTGCATCCGTATACGATGGAAGGCTTGTCTGATATCTAGCTTCGTGAAGATTTTTGCTTTTGACACCCGTCCTAGTAGTTCATCGATACGCGGGATGGGGTAGGGATCGTTCCGGGTGAGACCATTTAACTTCCGGTAATCGATGCAAAATCTTAATTTGCCATCCGCTTTCTTTACGAATAGGATAGGGGACGCGAAGGGGCTGTTGCTGTTGACGATGAATCCCTTTTCCAGGTTTTCCAGCAGGTATTGCTTGGTAGCCTTAAGCTCTTCGGTGCCCTGTCGATATAACAGGGAGAAAGCGTTTGGTAAAGGGGCTTTGAGCTGTATCTTGTGGTCGTATATGCGGTGGGGGGGAATTTGATCCGATTCCAACTTTGAAAAGACATCGGTGTACCTCCGGTGCATATGCGGAAGCTTCTGCTGGATGAGGTGGAGCGTTTCTTTGTCCTCTACCAACTCCTTTTTATAAATGATCTGATCGATTTCGTAGATGCTAGTCTGAAAAAACTCAGAGTCGTTTCGCATCATCTCATGGTGGAAAGCATTTGCACTGATTTCGCATATATGTATGGGCATAAACCTATGTACTAGGGTTTTCTGCGGTGGGGGCGAAACCTCCTGGTCTCGTAGTGGATTCGATGGCATATCGGCGATCTCTTCGTAGTCGAAAGTTATCACTTTCATTTCCATCGAGCGTCCGCCTGCACGGCGTCTGTCTTCACGGTGGATTGCGAAATCCCGGCGATTCGCATCTGACTGGTATGCAGGATGTTTAATGGACGTTTCGTGTGAGTGGTAGGGCAAGGTGATCTCCTTGCTCCAGCTAGGAGTCGGTGGGTACTCCTTTGGCCATACTAACCAGCTCTTTGCAGAGTCAAGTAGTATTCGGAAGCGGCTGAAAAGCTTCTTCCCAATTATCACATCTTGTGCTCCGAGGTCCAGGAGTACAAAGGTGCAGTTATATATTCGGCGTCCTTCGACTGTTAAGTGTAACTGAATATACTCTGATACGTGGCCTTGGATTTTGTGCTGAAATCCACGTATGGGTACAGAGTAGGGTAGTTTCCGTATAGGGCTCTGAAGCGCTTTCGACAGTCGTATTGCAAAAGGCTTGTTAATGACGAGGTAGCCGTTTGCTCCTGTGTCTGCTAGGGACTTCGTTTGCACCCCGAGTCCATTCATACTCAGGGTCATGTCGACTAAGAACTGGGTGCCTCCCAGGAGTTCTCGTAAGTCTAGTCCTTGCAGGTCACATTTGCGTAGACCTAGGAAGGAGCCTTCTCCTAGGCCTCATCGTTTTCCTCGAGGGACGCATCCGATTGAAGTTCCACAGCTTCTTCCCATTGTTCTTCTGCCTCGGGGTCGTTACGGTCCATTTCCTTGATAGTAGCGTTAAGGGGGCATTTGTCCTGGAAATGGCCAGGCTTGCCACACTTGAAACAGTTTCCTGAGGGCGCAGGGACTGCGGTTCTCAGACGTTCCGGTATGGCTGGCTTGGGGAGGAACGCAGTTCGGGTGAACAGAGTGGATGTGGCTCGAGTCGGCTTCGACGCTGACGACGCCTTTGCTGTATCCGTGGTACGTGTGGACGTCCTTGCGAGAGCGGGTAGCGGATTCAATTCATTGTTCCGGCGCTGTTCCTGGTCGAAGGCGGTAAGCCTCGTATCATGGTCTGGTATTCTCCATTCCATTGGTTTTTGATGATCGCTACGCGGCTGCGGAATTGGGGAGTCAACTTGTTCCACATGTACCGAAACCATTCCGACTCGGAGACTTGTCCTGTGATAGCTGCAGGTCGTCGAAGAGGTTCCTGGCCTGTTCCGTCTCGTTGCCTGTGAGGTAGTATGAACCTAGTAGATCCATCATCTCCTCAGCACTGCGGAACCCATGCGTAGCGGATAGGTATTGGGGCTCTAGGTAGGTCTTCGCCAGGCCGGTCGTAGTTCCCCATATCAACGCTCTTCTCGAGACGTCGGTAAGGTAGTGGTCCTCATTGACAACGAGTCAGTCCCGAATGGAAGCGCTCCATTGTAGGAAGGTATGTTCTACCCCATCGCTGAGAGGAAGAATTTTCTCAGAGATGGTTGATTTCTTATAGCGATTCGGAGGGCTCTCGGTGTGCATTCGTGACGACCCTGGAATTGATGGAGAACGAGTGTTCCGAAGAGGCGGCAATTAAACTATCTCGGGGGTGTTTCGTGTACGAGGCGTTCGTTGCTCCGTAGCTTCGACTGTGGGTATAGGGGCGTCCACCAGCGGTGTGGACGGAATTCTGGTCTGGGATGCCGACAGGATAACTAGTAGATCCTTGACCTCCTGTATCTGTGCTTTGAGGTGGTCCATTCGACTCGGGATGTCTTCAGATGGCCCAGCGGTCATAGCTGCAGCAGTGGTTTGTCTGGTAGTCATTCTGGGCAGTTGACCGTCGTTGTCTTGGGGTAAGTTTGATGTCGGCTTTTTTGACATATTGCCTCGGGTGTGTATCGGTACCGATACGAAAGAGCTTGACTTCCAGTAGCTCGTAGCTATCAACGCTCTTGTCCACAATTTCCTCTGTGCTATGAGGGGGTTCTTAAGGATCTTGTATCCTATTTGGCGCCAACGCGTCGGCAACTTTACCAGCTTGTTCTGAAGAATCAAACCCTGATCCACTGGCTGTCTGTGAGATCTCTGGAATCACGGCTATTTGAACTCGTCAGGTCTCTCCTCCGAAACATCACCGAGTCGCAGTCGATGGTGTAACGGTAGTTCTCCTGAGTCGTTCTGGTGTGGGATATTATTTAAGTACGGCCGTCCCCGGCAGGCGTGATCTTTTTTGTATAATGTAAGGACACAGGGCACCCAGCTCACAGTAATAGCATATGAGAGTGTGAGTCGGAGGCTAAACGGATGCTATCCTATAGGTCTACTACGAAGGATACAAAAAAGATGAAGGAGGAACCCCGTTGAGTCTGTTTCCTTGAGTATCTGAAACGGGCCCGACTCGGTTACTCCAACCCTAGCCCTGATCCTTCCACCGCAACAGGTCAGCATCGACCCTGAACCCTACACCCTTACCATCCCCCACTATAGTGTAACTCGCTATGTGCTCCTCTACTGGTTCGAAACCACACCGAATCGGATTTCATGCTTGTAGTGACCGTAACAGTTCTGAGATAAGGAGGCATCCTTACAACGACATAGTGGAGAGAATATGGCTGAAATGATATTCTCATTATGTCAGGAGTTGAATCTTAATTCAAAGCTACTTGCGATCACTGCAGATAATGCGGATAACAATGGCACTATGTTCTCATTTATAAGCTACTATCTCACAACGACATTACGCAATATATTGAGGAGCCAAACCTCTCTATCCGCTTTGAAGGAGATGCTAGCTATGTATGCTGTCTTGCACATGTTCTCAATTTAATTGTGAAAGACATCTTACAAAGTTTAAAGTCAGGGGATATGAAGACTGCAGTTGATACTTGCAACGCTATGGCAAATGGAACCCCTTTCCCATCAGGCCTCGCTGCACTTGCACGACTTAGACTTATTATAGTCTGGATGAATCGTAGTGCAGTTCGTCGGCAAAATTGGAAGACTGTGTGTACAGTTAACAACCTTCCAACAAATATGATTGAGTATGATGTTGATACACGATGGAACTCAACTTTCCAAATGATTGATGATGCCCTTAAGTCATCAAAGCAATTCACACTCTTTTGCAATTATAATTCAACTGCTATTCCCCTATTTAAAAAAGCTGATTGGGAGTAGCTTGAGAAAATCCATAAGGTTCTTATTAAGTTTAATGAGTTCTCAAAGCATATATCACAGGCGTCACCACAAATAAGCATGTCAGTCTACCTCTATTTTGAGTGTAAGAGCTTTTTAGAGGATGCAATTGACCAAAAGGGGGACTTTGCAAGCTTAGATGATGATATCTCAAAGGCTGTGCAGGTTGGGCTAAGAAAGTATGAAAAGTATTACGCATATATGGATCATGGGTCAAATATTCATTACATTGCGATGATGCTTGATCCACAACTCAAATTTGAGATGCTGAAAGAGGAATTTGAAGACGAAGATGCGACAAATGTTGTCAAGGAGCAAATACGGACCTACCTTCATGATCGTTATTCAACTCCTCCTCTGAGCGATGAGCTGGTACTCCCACCATTACTCAATCCGAAGACAATGACATCTCAACCCGAGCTAGATCCATATAAGCGTATGCTTGAGCGCTTTGGCAAAAAGAAGACCACAGTGAAGGTGTCTGATATTGATATATATCTTGATTCACCACCAGTGGCTGTTAGTGATGCAAAGTCAACTGATTGGCTCCTAAAGTGGTGGGATTCTCATAAGGGAGAATATCCGCTAATGGCATGTGTTGCACGCGATTTCCTTGCAATTCCCATTACAGAGGTTAGTTGTGAGCGCCTTTTCAACCAAAATACAGACTTATTAGGTTTACGTCGGCATAGTCTAAGTAGTGAAACTATGAGGACTCTAACACTACTTCGTGCGATGTGGGAGAGGGATTTGAGTAAAGGGGGGCGTTAGAGGCTAGGGCTGCATTCTATGACCTCAATGAATTCAGTTTCTAACTACAGTCTATCTAATTCGTTCAATCCGCGGATTGAATGGATTGACATCCGTATCCGTTAGTAAAAATCATAATTTGTATTCATATTTCATACTCATACTTTTTGGAATCTAACAATTTGTATTCATATTCACGGATACACGGATTTGACGGATAAATTGGTCATCCGTGCCGAGCCCTATATAGGAGTAGGCATGGATTACTTACACCATAACAAAAGTTGACTTGTCATTAATCCACGAGTCCAGCTCGCTTCCTATGAAGTGGATTAGAGAGAGTAACCAAAAACCCAAGCTCGATATACGTACAGTGCATCAATTTCCACTTATAAACCGTTTGCACTATGTTTAGGAATCGCGTGAGGCTAAAGGGTTAGCTTTTGACATCGGAAGCACGTATAGCAATTGTGACATACATAGATCCCAGCCTTTGAAAAGGACTTTCATTTCCTCCACACGAACGAGATTGACGACTAACAGCCTCTGGAAGATCATCCGGAACAAGTAGGACGATAGTATACATCTTCCCCGCACGCACAGAGTAACTAACAGCATGGGCTCCTGGGCCAATCCAAAAATGTACCGACGGGTTGCTCACCCATTCTCTCAGCTCAGGGCTTCAATATCGTCCAACGAGAGGACAACCCTATATCAGATCGCCAGTTGGTAGAGGCGCATCCTTGACATTCAAGAAGCAATTCCGACTTTGCGACCAGAGTCCGAGCTACAATAAGGTCCGATGAGAATTTAGCCCCGGAACTTGTGGTAACTTGTGGGAGGTCGAAATCGACCGATTGTACCCTTTCAGCTCGAATTTGACACCGAGGGCGAGGGCACGCTTATACAGCGCCAGCTGTAGATCGACGCGGTGAAAATCGAGAACGGCGCCCTATCATTGTCACGCATCTTTGTATTGAAATCCTTCTTCATGGCCAATACTTTTCCATCAGAGTATCTATGCACAGCCAGGAACGTTGGTTCGGCGGCTGTGGCCCAAAAGGAGTCTGGTAGGTCCCATTTTTTCAAGAGACGCGTGGCATTTGGTGCGACTTGGAGTCCTGCGCCTACCTTGTAGAACATTAGCGGCCTTGAAAGATATCATCATCTGTTGACAGCTTCAGAGGAATTTACCTCTTGCAATTCAGATGCCGATTCAATAACTGTAACGGAATGGCCTGAGATTGTGCATGCGATCGCTGTACTGAGGCCGCTCAGCCCAGCGCCAACGACGATTACTCGGAGGTGGGCCATGTATTATTCTTACACGCCACACCCCAGGACTGACTTGCTTGCTAAGCACCTCCAAACAGGCCGAAATATCTCCCTTGAATATGTTAGATATTTGTGTTCGCTATTGAGAATGGTACAGTGAAACGATAAAGGCAAAATGATACAATATGAGGCGCGGCGACAATGAGGAACGAGAATGGCGTCCAGCATAAATATTTGGCATACTATCCATCGGAAGCTCCCACGCTCTCACGATCCACCATCCGCTGATCATATGTTTAGCTATCCAGCCTCCATCGTCGCGCATCTGAGCAAGCTCCGTTACCTTAATCTATAGTGTTTTTGACCATGTCGTCTTCAATTCTGCAAGTTTTTCATCCACTCAACCACATTCTCTGCCCATTCTTCTCCTTTTTTATCACCACTCATCAGCGAGAATGGTGGACTAATATGATTATGTCCTCTCATCCACTTCAATTCTATTCCCTGTCCGCTTCCAAAACAGTCATCCCATAGACTTAAAAATCGTTCGTTCGGTTCGACAATTTCGTCCTCGGGATCAAGTTCTCCCAACATCACCAAAATATTCGGCATGCCGTTACGTGCAATCTCAAGCGTCCCCATTGATCCTTTTCTGGCCTTCAAAGTTTGCAGGAGGCCATTTGGACAGAAAAGATCATGAGATGATTCTTGTTGCGTGCCAGATAAATTTGGAGGATAGTAAGTTTGAAGAATGTCGGATCGCTCAGGGGTCGCGGACTTGAAATCGAGCGGGACGCTTATTAATGCAGAGCCACGTAAAGAACAGAGTTGAGACTGTCGTAGCGCATATCTCTGGTTCTCAAAACGCTGATCCAAGAGATACGTAGAAACGTGCACACCGCCTGCAGAGTTGCCCATGAGAAAGACGTCGCGCATCTTTTGGGCCTTGCCATCGCAAGACCGTAGATACGTGGATTCGAGCCAGTCTAAGACAACTCCCACATCTTCGCCTCCCGATGGGAAAACAGCATCTTCACCTGTGCCCAGGGCTACATCAGTAACTCGACGGTAATCGGCAATTATTGTCGTGAAGCCCCTCTTGGTAAAGAAGGCACCAAAATTGTGATAGACTAGCGATGACGGGATAAGAGGGAGAATTTTGTCGCCTCTGTTTAGCCCTCCACCGTAAAAAAAGATGATTATGGGAGAAGATGAAGAGTGGGTACTTTCTTCGTACAAGTCCAGTTGTTGCCGTTTGTGCTGTCCATAGGAGTAAGTCGTTGATGGAACTGAAAGAATCTGGGATTTATTCGCCACAAGGAGGGGTTTGAAAGCTTCCACTGTTGGTATAAAAATAGAAGCAATTGCTTTGCTTGGAAATTGCGCGATGGTATCCATAGCGCTCCAGGATGGTCAGTTTGAAGTCTTTTAACGATACAATATCATGGGTAGGCTGCGCACTACTCGCTCAATACTCGGCTCACTCGCTCAGTGGGTTACTCAGCTGGGTGAGTAGCTGAACCTTTTACTCGACTCGGTGAGTGAGGTCAATACTCAGTTACTCTGTAAAAACCCGGTGAGTACTCGGCTATCACGTGTAAGATTTATGCATCATGTGAACAGTCCCTCATACGATTAATACTGTTTTATGGTTAAGTTAAAGTATTACATCTATTAGCATCACTCTCGCCATCTCTAGTAAGCTGTGAGAACGAATCATGTATATTCCTCTATCTAAGTACCATGATTATCAGAAGATTATCAGAATGCTATTATCTATTATATATGCTTAAGAACATCCCTCCACCTTGCTTGATGAGGCCGGCCAGACCTACTAATACCTAAAGTATTTATAGGGTCTTGACGAGGATCCTTGACTGAGCGGAACGAGCTATGAGTCGAGATAACTGTGTATAGAACTTGTTTGTCATACTGACATTCGTTGCACTCAGTTTGCTATCAAACTCAAGAGCAAACTTAGAAATCTCCTCCTCAAACCTACAAGTCACTATACATATTTTGGCTTATCACACCAACAACAAGAGCAATACTACTCAACGATTGCTACAACCCTCTATGATTCATTACACGTCATCGCCCCTTAGTTACTGGGCCGATATTACCACATAGCATATCTCTACAACCCTCTATGATTCATTACACATCATCACTCCTTAGTTACTGGGCTAATACTACACATGACATATCTCTATCAACTAGAGGCCTAGGAACATGAATGATAGCTCCAAAAGCTTCTACAACCCTCTATGATTCATTACACGTCATCACTCCTTAGTTACCCACAAGATTGGTTAAGTTATGACATAATTTGTCTATAGGGGTACTCTGACCTTGGACCTCCTTTCACTTCCTATAGGCTAGGAACCTAAGAGATGGTTCTATGGGATTCTCTTACATTGACTACAGTTACCAAGCCTGGTTACTCATGAAAGTCTTGGAAAATAAGAGAACTACACTCCTTTAGCATAAATAGGATTGCCCTTTCCTTAAGAAAGGGCAAGCAGACAATACAGTAAATCGACTATCACGTACTTCTACGTCTTTTCCAAGCTTCCAAGCATTGATCTTGTTATTCCTTGTTTCTGAAAAGTCTCTGAGGTGCTAACCTCTGACTTATCCCTGAGTTCTCAGACTCAACATTTGTTACAACTTGTCTAAACCACTCCATTGCGTTGTGGAATAACCCTTTGGCTCTGTTTCCTAAGACAGTGTGTTGTCTTAGTAAAATCATCCCTTCCCCTGGGTGGCTAGATTCTCACATCTGGTGCACCCACCATTACATTGTTCATAAAATGCCTCTTGTGTGAGAATATGATCCTATTATAGGTATTAACCTACATGATTCTGGTAATAATCTGGTAATCCTTACTTGTTGAGGTCACATTTGATATATTCGCATTTGATAGAGACTTCCTTACCCATCCGTGACTTCTTTTTGCAAATGTCTGATGCAATATGTGTTGCCATAGACTTTGGGCCAGCAGACTTGATTGCAGGATGCGTAAGGGCCTTCGAACAATAAGTACAAATGACACATGGTTCTCCAGAAAGCCAGTACTTGGTGATAACTTCTATAGTATTGAGAACTCTGGTTGGTTGAATCCCATGCTATATGCACTGTAAATGCAGTGATGTTTGCAGAGAGGAATGCCCGCTTTGGTCGAGCGCCCGGTAATTGGCTTCAAGGCTTCCTTTGCCTTGGAGTCGTGGCTGGCAATCCTTTTCTGACTGGAGGAGCCGCGCTGAGCGGCGAGTTGCCACTTCCGCCCCTCGTTGGGTATTACTGTCTGCATGTTCTTGCAGTAGCAGCTGGTGATCGATGGCTTCTTGGTCATCACTTTCTTCTTGTTGAGCAATGTTTCTAGACCGCATAATATGTGGCCGTCTATCTACGACCATGGTATCTTCTTCAAGCAGCTCTAGCTCAGTGTTCTGTATAACAGGAGTGACTGTTTCACAGGCTTGCGGGTCGCTTTGACGTCCATTACAGCTGTTAGGGATGCTTCCTTCCTGTTTTAGCGTCTCAAACACATCTAGACGGTCCGTTTCACTGTCTAGATCGCTGATCTCAACGACAGCTGCTTCTGTCAGTGTGGTGATCTCGTCAAATACTACTGCTGACGATCGGATAACCCCATTTGTAGGGTCATATATCCGGTATATGGTGCTTCCGTCATATCCGACGAGGATTCCAGTCCTAGCTCTAGTGCTAAACTTAGCACTTCGTGCCCGTTTCTCTTTGTGGATGTGATAATGGGCATTGCAGCCTATTATTCTCATATGCGAGAGGTCAGGCTTCGATGCCTATCCTTGATCAGTGCTAAGGAGCTTATAGGAGTAAGCCCTGAACTGAGAGTTGCAGTCCGGTTTGTGATATACACGGCCGTTTTGATAATCTCAGGCCAAAGAGCCCTGAGCTGGTCATTGCTTAGCTCAGCTACTATTAGCTGGGCTTTCCATTCAATGGTCTCGATGATCATTGTCCTAGTCTTCTCAATGATGGTCCTATTTGACCGTTCAGAGACTCCATCTTGTTCAGGAGTGTAGATGACTGTATATTCGATTAGTATCCCCTTTCCTGAACAGTAGGCTCGAAGAGTGCCACCCCCATATTCCGTTCCGTTGTCAATCCGCAAAGCCTTAGGATAGCTTCCATATTGAGTCTTGATTAACTCGCAGAAATTGACAATGGCTCGGTGAGCATCACCCTTTCTTTGTAAAGGGTAGACCCATCGGGCCCGGGTTTTATCGTCAGTCATCATAATGGCCCACTCGGAGCCATCAATGCCCTTTGGTTTAATTGGTCCTATCATGTCGATATGGATCCGGTCGAAAGCACGAAGAGCCCTTATTTGAGGCTTCTTCGACTGCGTCCGCAGCGACTTTGCTGTGGTGCATGGCTTGCATAGTATTGTGCTCGATGGCTTGAACTGGAAGCCCCCTTCTAATATTAGCGGCTTCTTCTTCGCCAAGCTGACTGGTATAGCAACACCGGTCGTTGTTGCTGCTGTGCGAAGGACGTTCTCAGGTCCAAGATGACCGAGTCTTCTGTGCCACAGCTCAATTGGCTGCGGCTCCTGTTTTCTAGTGCTGGCGGCGAAGGCCTGCATTTGCGCTTCGGCCGTCAGGATTCTCATATGAGAACTAGTTGCGAGGCACACAGTTCTTGTCTATTCTTCTTGCTTCGGAGGGTCTGGGTAAAACCGTCAATGTAGAACCCCTTTTGCCCAATCCTGTTCGCTGAGAGCAGGTTGACCGTGAGCTCAGGTAAGTGATAAACTTGTATCAAGTCTTACTTCTCTTTCTATGCCGGTAGAGGTAATAAAAGTGAGGCGGACTGTGCCAACCCCTTCTGCCCGAGTCATTCCACCGGCAGTCTCAATTGGCCGTTCGGAACTCTCATTTTGAACGTAGTTCGCAAACAGCTTCCGGTCATGGCACATGTGGTGGCTCGCCCCTGAGTCAAGGATCCATTCCTGACGTTTGGCTGGGCCATTTGTAACGAAAGCTGCTATCAAGGCGATCGTCTCCTGTTTTCTAGCAGTATCATTAGCCCCTATATGAGAGGGCCGCTGCTCAGGGTGCTTCTTCCAGCACTTGGCTTCTGAATGCCAGTCTCGGCCACAGTGGTTGCAAGACTCTCTTGGTCTTGAGGCAGAGGCTTGACGGGCCCCTCCTCTACTGCCGCCACGGCCACTCGCCCTTCCAGTATACCCACCTCTTTTTGGTGGCTGGTTTCCGTATAAGGCGACGGCTCGTTCATCAGCGACATTACGGGACCGGCTCTCTTCTAAGAGCCTGTCCATTAGATCATCCAGATTTCCAATTTTAGGCATGCTTCCCAACTGGTATTTCCGCATTTTGCCCCTATATTTGTCCGCCCAAGTGGGAAATGTAGCTTGAACTGCATTTAGGTAATGCAGCATCGACATGACTGGTGGAACACCCAATCCAGCGCCTGATAACTTTGAATTGATATTCTTAAAGCGTATGTTAAAGGCGGCTATATCTTCTGGATCAAGTGATAGTGAGTGCCAGTCGTCGAAACCTTTGGTGAGCACGAAGTTGCCCTTTCCTTCATACCGGTTATGGAGGAGCTTCCAAGCTTCGGCGGCGCTGACAGTCAGTCGAATCGTTTCGACTGTTTCGGATCCGCATGTGGCTTCGATTATCGAGTAAGCGTGGGCGTTACCGGTAAACCAGATGATATAGGCTGATTCCTTCTTTCCGATACCCAACTTCTCATATTCGTCAGCCGGCTCCGGCTTCACCCCTTTGCCGAGGCCAAGAGCGTATTCCAGTACACTTGCCTGGGCTAGTGTCTGTTCAATTCGTCTCTTCCATGAGAGGTAATTGGCACTGCCCTTCAGCTTCTCTTGACTCTTCAACGTGGCGATGAGTCTTTCCGTCGTCATTCTGGCCAGTGATGCTGCTGGTGGCGACGGGTATAGGCCTTTTCGAGAGACTGATTGGACGTTCTAGACACTCGATGTTTGATATCCTATTCTTGGTTATAAGAACGCTCTGCGTCCGGGCTCATAACCTGTTGAATCTGCGCTTGGTAGGTTCGGTAGAATAGTAAATGATAATTCCGGTATCACGAGTAGGGCCCAATTGATCAGTAGTAAAATGCATATTCATTTAATCTAGCTACTCTAGCTACTCTATACTGTAGAACTCTCCTCTGAGTCGCGGGTAAGCAAGTCCGTAGGCTTGACCGGAGTTTGCCCCCGAGTCTATTTCTCATGGTGCGGAGTGAGAACTCCGCCGCCTGATGCTTCGGGCATGGAGTGAGAATTCCACATGTCTGCAAATAATTTCGTGAACATAGCTGTTGCACAAAACAACATTTGCTTTGATTAGTACCCACTTTAGCATAACATTGGCGAATCACGAATAGGAGTGACGCAGGAGTCCAACCCGTGCGCCAGAGGTTATGTTTTATATGCCATGGGGGAGTGCTGCAGACATTTGGAATCTAGCTGGACTAGTGAGTATACCATTCTCCAGTATCCCATTGCCTCGCTGACATCTTAGTAGATTTGTGACCTATTTGAAGGCGAGCATCTGTTTGGAGACGTATTCGACGCGAGAGGCGGCCATGATCCGTTCAAACATTTTGCGCTTATAGTCGCTTTAATTGGGGAACCACCGAGCGAATTTGTTAGACGCAGTGAGACGACGGGGCACTGTTTTGACACGAATGGTGAGCGCCCTGCCTCCGCGCTGGGAGTTTGTTGACCTAACCGGAAGCATATGTAGGCATCTGGATTGCCCACAAAGACGCAGCGATACCATTGGTCTCCCTGGATGACTTGGAGAAGAGACTCTCTCTGGGCACGAAAAGCAGCTGTTCATTCAGTTTATGGGGTCGATGCTCAAGTGGATGCCAGAGGAACGGAAGACTGCAAAGCAGCTACTAGAAGACCCACGACTGCTGTAATATTTCGACCGGGCATTCTTTGCTCGGCCACGTTCACGGGGAAATTATGACAAGATAAAACTGGGCATAACAATACCATTTTCGATCAAGAACGCGATCACATCGTCCTTTCCCAGATTAATTCCCATGAAAAAACTTGATACTGCAAAAGCATTTTCTTTTGCATCCCTCTCCTCCCAGGATTTAGTCGAGGGGGGATAAATCTGGGCATATTGGCGCCAAGTCTCCAGATCCCAAGTTATATCATCGCGGCTTAAAGTTGCACTACTGTTCCTTCGAGCCTGCAGAATGCTCTCAAGCCCAGAAAGTTCTCCAAAGTATCCAGGGAGTTGTTCTGTTCCAAGGTCATATTCAGGTGGTGTCCGTTCTGTCCCTGGCTCATACTCGGGTGGCGAAGGTTCCTGTGATTCTTCCACCACCCTGTTATCTGTGTCGGAACTCATTTTGTATCGGGTATTTTGTTACAATAGGGTTAAGAAAATGGTCGTCCATGACGAATTGTCCTTTTCTTATCATCGTGAAGCTGGATTTGCATGTGAAATGGGCGAGGTTCAACTCTCAGGGCTGAGTTCTCATGGCGGTGGCTGGTGTGAGATGTGGCGTGGCTTGGTTTCTCCCTAAATTCCCGCAACGGACCATGCATAGTGAGAAGTTGATGGCAAGTATTCGATTTCAAAGTTGCTGGCTGACAAAAACAAATAAATAGATAAAATAATTATAGCCCTGAGCAGTTAAAGGCCTTGACTTGCTCTACAGTCTCCATAAATATTCAAAGCTTAAATGGGGTTCATGGGCTGTTTCTGACCCTTGCCTGTTGTGCACAGTCCCATTTTTCGGACTGTGGGACGGCACGTCTTCAGCCACAGGCATCAGCTCCATTCCACTCACGCCGTGATGTGATATACTGTCGTCAACTTTGAAGCGGTGGAAGAGGAAAATTGTGACTTTGGATGCCCATGGGTGAGCTAGGTGACCAGTAGCCAAGCAGAGAACTGGGCTGCGACGACAAAGGGCGCACGCAAAGATTGCAGGCCAGAATGCCCGCCCATTGTCGCATTTTAGTCAGCTTTATGCCCAACACTCAAAGGGCAAGTGGCCATCGCAAAGTGCGCAAGGCTCGGCCATTAAAATCCCCAATTCTCTGTCCAGTTCCGCCCGCCGTTCCTGTCTCACCTATTCCAATGGTGGAGTACTAAGCTAATCCCTCGCTCTTTCCCCCCTCGCTTTTCCCTCCTCGCTCTTTCCCGTTTGCTCCTTCCATCTCGTCGCCTCCCGCCCGCCCTTTTCCCGTTCTCTCGCTCCTTCCCATCCCCGCTCTTTCCATTTTGCCCTCTTCCCTCTCGCTCCTTCCCTCTCGACCTTCAATTTACGTACATGTTTGCTTAGATTAACACATCCCTCGCAGAGATCTTGATACCTGGGATATCTTGTCGTATGATCCAATATATCAATCACCTACCCGCTCATCCCCATCTCCCCCTCTTCAATGGGATGCGCTTTTCGGTAATAAAGATTTCCTCATGTAGGCCACCCAACCTATCCGCCTTATGTAGGTACTTACTATGCGCTGGCCCGTCCATCCAGGACGGATCCAACCAGTCGTCGGCCGACTTTGGATCCATGGTCAATGGTCTGTTAGGACTACGATAATCCCCCCCTAATTGTAGTGCGGGGTTAAACTCATTGTCGAAACCGAACTTCAACAACTCCCAGCTCTTCCCACCGCGGGCCCATGTTATCATCCCCACCGTACCGCTCTTCCCGACCGGAAGCTCTAGCAAGCGCTTCTCATCGTCCCAGGCAACCTGCGTCGTCGCCAGGTCAACTGTCGACAACGATACCTGTTCGCTCTCTGTCTTTGTCACCGTATGGATCGGTGACGAGAAATTCCGCAGGTAGAACCCATAGAAGGGCTGCGGTCCCAGGGTCATTCCCCACAGATGCTGCTGCACAAATACATTCCTATACATCAATTTCTCCGCCAGATCCTCCCTAAAAACAAACCTATCCTTGCCCTCAAGTGCAACACATGCGTGCTGGTCGGCCTGTGGAAGAAGCCGCAGAAAAATCCCGACGCGACTGTTCGGCACTCCAGCACGCTCGCAGTCCAGCACCGCGAGATGTCTCCGCACCTCACGAAGTCATCTGGGGATTGAGCGAGCAGACCCCGTGCGCGGGGTTCGTTGGAACTCCATGCAAACAGCGAGTGATCGGCGGAGTGCTTCATAATCTCCTCTTGCAGGCGGATGAAGGCCCGCTCGCCCTCACCGTATAGCATTGGTATCTTGACGCCGAATAGCCCGAACAGAGAGTAAGCAGTGTCCTCTGGGACTGTCGTCTCGCGCCCCGCGGCCCAGGACATGCGCCGCGCAATGCTGAACGCCGCCAGGTCACCACCATTGAGTGCATCCATGTCAATCCCTGTCTTAGCCACAATAGCTGTGCCCAACGTCGCCTTCGTCCCGATCTTGTGCCATGACACATTGTAGAATCACACTTCGAATCGCGGTGGAAATGTTACTCCGCTGCATCGCTTGACGACAAGGATGGCCGTCCACGCATCAACTCTTCGTGGATCATCAAGAACATCATGGTTAAGGCGGAGTGTTTGTGAGTTATATTATATATGTATCATGGGTATCATAGGCTCGCAAACATCCCCGGAGGTGTACAACAGATCCCTCAAGAATTTGATGCGATTTCCCTTATCACCTTGCCTTCGGATTTAACCAAACTCTTAATTCATGAGATGCCTTCATGAAACTTTCTCCAAAGCTTTTAACGATTTTCCACAGCTGTTTTGGGATGAAACGAAACCATTCCAAACATCAGTCAGCGTAACTCTCCGAAGGAATGATATGACGGCCTCCACCATTGTTGACAGGAGCCAGACTATCTTCAAGACGACATTCAAAACCGCCTTTGTGGAAGAGGTAATGATGCTCGAGATCCATCGTGCTAAGATGCCAAGGGCTTTCGGTAATCTTTCGGAGGCCAGTTTCCACAACCAAATCGAAATATTTTTGACCCAATGTGGCAGGGTCTTGGTTCCAAAGTTCCAACAACCCCGTGGGATTTTTGCCAAACCTCTGCCGACCCCCTTCCCAAATCGCACAGCCCTTCCCGGTAGCTTAAGTAGTTCGTGCTTGCACCATGGGCCAAAATCCTTTCGGTTTTTCCAGCACCGCGCACACCCCTTTAACATCGGCTTGACAATTGTATAGACCCATTGGAAAGCGGCAGAAGTTACGAGAGAGCCCATACCAACTTTCCTCTGTCGAGTTAGCCTAATTGATTTGTTGGAGCACCAAGTCGCGATGTAAGGAACAGAGCCCAGAAAGCGTCCAAGGGCCCAGGAAATCTCCTGAAGCGAATACGGGAAGATAACAGGGGCGGGGCACCTTCAAGGGGATGATAATCACCAGGCACCCAAACCATCATAATCCCAGCGAAAATATGGTGGTAGAAGGTAATTATTAAAAGCACAGCATACCGAATCTGTACAGAAACTATGTATGGTACGTTCACGCTTACTCCAATGCCTTCGCCGCCACAACCATCTTCCATCTCGATGCACGCCTTCAGACATGGCACCCCAGATGGTTCCAGTGTCAGCGTAGCAAGTCTTATGGTTAAGATCCTTCCAAATGCGGCGAGACCTCTTATTTGCTTTGTCGACACAGATGCTCTGCTGCCGTCCGCATGACGTGAAGTCGGCAACACCCATCATAGCTAGACGTGGTAGAGACGCATTGACCGCAGTCGATTGACGCGGATCTGTAGATGAACCATGAGGTTGTGTTCCACGCTCTCGTCCTGCCAGAACTGAATCATAAAGTCGAAGCTGGCGTTGTTGTCGGGGCAGGCGCCCTAGCTGCAGCCGCTTCGCTCGGAGATCACACTCACATCAGTGGCATTGATGGTGACGCTCTCGGGGTCATTGACGGGGACTGTGGCAACAATTCCAGCCAAAGCGAGGATCGCCACGAAGGCGTTCTTTAAAGTGAACATGGTTGAAAACTATCAAATTTTCGTAACAGTTTGGCGGCTCAATATGAATATTTATTGAGAGATGTTCTAATATCCAGCGCAACATAATGTGAGAGATTCGAGAGTTTTTATACCATTCTTGAGCCCGGCCTGTCGGCCAGAGGGTTCCTGCCATCCAGGTTATGCTTCGAAACCAGGGTTATGGTTTGTCTTAGCACCCGCATTCTAAAAATCTAAAGCAGATCCCTGGCCTACCTCTGATTGGGACTTTGGATGAATTCCGTTCTTGTAGGATCGCCATCCCGACTATCAAGCCACATCGTGCTTCTGCAGGAGCCAAATCCTTACAAACAATGTTCCATGCTAGCCGTTTCCATTCGCCAAAGCGCTCAGTCCCATGAGCTTGACAGCCGCCAGCGCCCAACGCGCATCCTACCGTCACATTTGCGCCCATATCGAGTTCTCAGTTTTGGTGAAGTGTGCTGGATGGTAGGTACCAAGCCACGGGTGGCAAGTTAGCTTAGTGGGCGAGAGGGAAAGATCGAACGGGCAAGGCTGGGAGGGTGGGATAATGATGGTTTTTTCGACTCCTAGGAGGGGTATTAGGTCCGTACGGTTTCTATAGGCTTCAAAATGCGTCTTGGAGTTGCTCCGGGCTCATAACTGTTTAGTAATCTGAGTATTGTTCTGTCTAATTATAGCTGCCTGAAATTACGGTGAAGTTGAGTTGGGTCACGTGACCGTATTACAACACCACTTCCTTGGTCGTCAATGCGGCGTGTCACGTGACTCAACCTATATTATACGGACGACAGCCGAGATCACGATTTTCACCTGTAAACGTTCACTCTTATCCTCCACCTTGTCACTTCCTCTCCACTCCAGTAAGACTTTGCCCATTGAACGTAGCCCTACCTATTCACGCTCACCATTTAGCAGGTTCCCATCCCACTCAATCTTCTGTGAAGGAGAGGTTTTATACGTTGCTCACCGCCACGGAAACGAGACCCCGCACCTGACCACTCCGCCAACAACCCACCCGCCTTCCAAAGCGGCTGCGTGAACCCCCATTTCATGTTTGCCTAAGCCGCCGCAAAGATGATGATCACGCGTGGTTTCTCGCTCACCAACTTCGCCATTGGCACCTCGGCGTTGTGCTTCCAGATCTTCGTCCTGTATCCTTGGCACCAGCAGCTCGATGACGACTTCAAGGAGCTGAAGAAGGAGCACCTGCGCGTGCTGCATGGAGGAGAGAAGGCCCGCATGGCTGAGCTGAAGGAGATCAGAGAGGGACTGAGCATCTTGAACAAGAAATCTACCTGAAATGGCTTATGGTTTCTTCGTCAGCGATCTCTCGTTTCTACTCCCCCCCGCGCTCGTACGCGTCGCTGATCCTTCAGAGGTGGAATTCTTCGCTAGAGATGCTACAGGAAATGGCGCCTGGTTTTCTGCGGTGATATATGCGGTTCTAAACTAGACTTCTCATAGAGATAGAGCATAGAACATGGCAACAATTACCTTATGGGGAATTCGTCTTGAGCGGTTCGTGATTTATTACTTAAAAGCCACGGCTTGGTGCGTAGAGGATACAGGAGCCATGGGAGCAATCCATGCGAGTAGGCCACACTGAGAGCAGAGGGCGAGGAGGCGTATGAAAGGCCGAGTGAGATTTTGCAGCGGCTCCGGCATTGTTATTGTTATTCACTAGTGTTCTCCTACCGGAGCTAAGCATATCCGTTAGATATAAATGCGATGGTAATGTCTCCTATACTTATATCTATCGTTCTATATTAGTGTGCGTTTTGGCAAGTTGGGGTTTGTGAAGTTTCAGTCCCAATCAACATTTACGTGCTCCTCACAAGCCCTAGAGACTGGGACGAGTGGATAGAGACTATCAAAACTGCTTCAATGAAGGCAGGAGTATGGGGGTATATCGATCCATCAATCGAGGACCCTCCTACACTCCTACAGCCCGTTTGACCTATTCCTGAGTTCGTACGGAGTGCCACGCAAGCTGGTGGTGGTGTTACTGCTCAAACAAGACCTGGAGTGTCAACAAGAGCTTCAGGTAGCCAGACCATCCAACCTTCAGTAGAAGGCCAACAGCAATTAACGCCAATTACGTATGCATCTCTTACAGAAGATCAGAAGGAACAGCTTCGAAACCTACAAGCTGATTTCCAATATGAGCGCAAGGTGTGGGAAAAGCAGGAGGAAGCAATTCAGGGGCTTCGCTCTAAGATCCAAGAAACCATCAAACGCGACTTCCTACCCTATACCTACAATTGCGTTACTCCGTACAATATGCTTAGAAAGCTACGAGACCAATTCGCACCTACTCAAAGAGCTAGAATCGGAGAATGGAGACTAGAATGGCAAAAGGCTGCGAAAATGCAAAGAGGCAAGGACCTTGAAGACTGGCTCCTAAACTGGGAGAATCTATACACTCAAGGCCGTACGCTACAGGCAACAGAGGTTATCGACCCTCACGATGCTATCTATACCTTCCTTGATGCAATAGGACCTTGCGAATTCCGAGGACCATGGAAACACAAGCTAGAGAAGCAGACAAAGTCGTACGAATTTGAGGAGGTCTACGACAGTATAGAACCAACCGTAGGCAAGAGAGATTCACCCAGAAACCTAGGGGGGAACATGGAGTTTTCGCACTACAAGAGGATGACAATAGCGACCTACAGCCAATGCTTCAAGGCTGTACGAACAACCTACAACAAGGTCAGCAAGGTCAGAGAGGCAGAAAACAGAAAAATCAGGCTCGACTAGACTGCCCTTGCAGAACAACACACAAGTGGCGGGACTGCCTCTATGTGATGAAGTCAAAGCGTTTGAGGCAATGGCAAATAAAGAGATTGAAGCTAAAGTAGAGGCCTATATAAGTGACAAACCAGGATTCCAGTACGTTATCCAAAAGACAGAAGAACAGAACAATTTCAACAACCCGAATGGAGTACAATCCCGTATGAATACAGATCCACCTATGTTTTTCACTACAGTCTTCCAAGTCTCCCAAGGACTAAAGCCGAAAACCTCAGCCTATGATCTCTCGAAAAGCATAATTCTCGACTCTGGAGCTACAATTCACGTCTGCAACAACCGTACGAGGTTCTACAATATCCAAGAATGTCAAGATAATAGCTACCTCTTAGCTGGAGACCAAAGGGTGAAGATTGAAGTGTTTGGGTCTGTAGATATTACAGTCCAAAACGGGGAGGATAAGAAGTCTCTACGGACTATCACCCTTACAGATACAGCTCTCGTTTCATCCTTCCACACTTCAGTCACTTCTCTTAGACGATTCATCCAAAAGGGAGTTCATTGGAATACCGCCGCACAAGGACTTACGTATGGAGATCAACCGTTCTGCAACACTCCAATGCTTCATGGACAATGGGTTCTTGAATACATCAAAAATGAGCCTAACCGAGCTGTTTATAGCACTCAGGATCAACAGGACAACGTTGTCCTATCTTCGTACGGACCTCGTAAGGACCTAAAAGGCACTGCAAAGGAATGGCATAACTGCATGGGACACCTAAACCAAAACGCCATTAGAAAACTCCAAGAGAAGACCGCTGGAGTTATCATCACAGACCTAGACTCGTACGATACTCAGTGCGAAGTATGCCAACTTACGCATGCTACAAGGCAGATTTCTAGAAGATCTACACCACGCTCAAAAGTGCCATATGAGAAGGTCCACCTTGACCTAATCCAAATGCCAGAGGCGTACGATGGCAGCACACAAGCCTTACACTTCCTATGTGATAATTGCCTCATGAACCACGTCTATACTATAAAGGATAAAACACAAGGAACGCTCCTACAGATGATTAAGGACTTTGTGAGCTACGTACGGAGAAGATGGGGGTTCCAAATCCGCATATTCCACCTAGATGGTGAAGCCTCACTTGGAAATGAATGGGAGGGTTGGATTAAGGACGAAGGATATGAAATCCACATCTCTCCACCCTATACAGCAGAGCCGAATGGAGGAATAGAGAGGTCAGGCCATACGATAATCACACGATCACGCGCACTTAAAGAATCAGCCAACTTACCAGAAGGAATGTGGCCTGAGATTTTCAAAACAGCAGGGTACCTCATAAACCGCTCACCATCGTCAGTCATAAACGATGAGATCCCGTACAGACTTCTACCCCAGTCCTTACCTACAGAGAGCCAAAAGCCAGAGCTACTTAAGCCATTACTCTCTCATATTCGCGCTTATGGCTGTAGAGCCTATGCCCTTATTCTAAACAAGCCAAAGCTTGAGAGGATACAGAGGAACGCCCAAATAGGCTACCTAGTTGGCTATAACTCTCCAAACATATTCCGCATTTGGGTTCCGCAACTTAAAAGGGTTATAGTTACAAGAGACGTTACCTTTGATGAGACAAAGGCTTATGACCCTTCGTATGAGGCTCAGCTTGTCCAAACAGAGCTCGAAAAGACAGTTCAGGTCATTGAAATACCAGATATTCAAGATCAAGAAGATGAGGAGTTTGAGGGGGAACAACAGCCTCAGAACGGGACAACAATTCCGTACGAATCAGAGGCAACAAACACCTCCTCTCCTCAAGAAGAGCCGCCTACTCAGAAGGACCACGGAGCTACAGAGCTACAGGAACAACTTCAAACGCCTGAAATGACACCGGAACGCCCTGAGGACACCGTACGAAGACACGACGTCTACCTAGCTACAATAGCGATACCAGAAGCAAAGCTAAGCTTACACCAAGCTTTCCTAGTAGGAACGGAGTTCAATCGACAGAGCATACACCATATGGACCTACCAGCTGCTCCAAAGTTCTCTAATCAACTCCAAACTCATCCACATCGAATAGGATTCCAAGCTGCAGCTGCAAAGGAAATAGGAGACCTTCGAAAGCAAGGAACGTTCACATCTGTCAACGACAGCTCCGTACGGAACTTTGTGATACCCCTTATGTGGGTTTTCACATACAAATTCAATGACAATGGCTACCTTCTTAAATATAAGGCTATACTTGTTGTAAGAGGCGACCTACAACGCTATTCTATCCATGATGAGACGTACGCAGCTACGCTTGCTTCGAAAACCTTCCGAGCCTTAATGGCAATCACAGCCTACTTTGATTTGGATACACAACAATTAGATGCTATAAACGCATTCAAAAACAGCCGTATTGACGAGGAGGTCTACGTACGGTGTGCAGACGGCTACCAGGAGCAAGGAAAATGCTGGAAACTTAACAGGGCACTCGATGGACTTCGAAGGTCCCCCTTACTCTGGTTTCGAGACTTCTCAGAGACACTCAAGGCTCTAGGCCTCGTACAGGTCCCAGAAGCACAGTGCCTCTTTGTATCTTCAAAGATTATTGTCTTCTTCTATGCATCCTTAGCCATCCTAGCCACAAAATGGAGGCAACACAGTTCCGTACGAGACTGATGGAAGCGTATGAGTTTCGAGAAATAGGAGAACTTCAATGGTTCTTAGGCATAAGAATTGTGAGGGACCGCACCCAGAAAACCCTATGGCTGTGCCAGGACTCCTATATCGACAAGATCACAACTACGTACGGAGTAGCCTCTATTCGATCCACCGAACGCCAATGGTTACAGACAACCTAACCCAATTTGACGGCCAGGCAGATAAGCAACAAATCTATCTTTACCAACAGAAAGTAGGATCAGCAAACTATGCAGCAGTCGTAACGAGACCTGATATAGCCCGTACATCAATCCAGGCCCAGACCACATGGCTGCAGTCGACAGACTTCTACTCTACCTTAAGGATACTAAGACCTTCAGTTTGGACCTAATATTCAAGAGGCTCGCTTTCAATGCTCTAGTGACGCTTCGTATGCAGACTGCGAATCAACAAGAAAGAGCACAGAGGGTTATTTGTTTACCTTATTTGGAGGGGCAATAGACTGGCGCTGCTCAAAGCAGAAGACTGTGTCAACCTCTACAACAGAGGCAGAGCTTCTAGCTTTGTCCCACAGTGCGAAACAGCTCTATTGGTGGCAGCATTTCTTCAACACAATCAAACTCGATCTAAACGAGCAATACTCACTTAATTGTGATAATTTGCAGACCGTACGGATCTTACTTAAGGAGTCTCCAAAGCTAGTTACAAAGCTGAAGCATATTGACGTCCACTCACATTGGTTAAGACAGGAGGTTGAGCATCGGAACCTCAATATCAAATGGATAGCTACGTACGAAATGCCAGCAGATGGATTCACCAAAGCCCTAACACACCAGAAGCATAAGGAGTTCATTAAGCATCTTAACCTAGTGGACATTAAGCACCTCCTTTAGGAGTGTGCTACTATGAAAACAACTCCGTACAAAGCATTGGCAACCTTCTAAACTCGGACAGCAGCCCTCTAGATCGCTATCAACTAGCTAGATCTACAAATCTATTTCAGTCGGCAGGTATTAGGACAACTCGAGTACTCGAAGCTATATAGCTCTGTACGAAGCTAGTACTCTCCAAATCAGCAGCCCCTATTACCATACGCTACGTCTTACTATGCATTCTTATTTCATAAAATCGTCAAGTTTCTCATGAAGATATTTCGAAGGGAAACCTTCTAACACTCATTTTTGCACAAGTAGTACTCCGTACGATACAGATACTACACTATGCACCAATATTTCACAGTCATTTTTCGAAATTTTAATTCCATTTCAAAAAAGGGGGAAGAAAGATGAAAACAGGAGAAATCCCCAACTTTTACTATACAAATCCAGGAGATTTTCACACTTCCTACTACGTATGGACATGTCACAACTAGAAAAGAAGAATCAAAGCGAAATCCATTGCCATTTCCGACTATCTAAGCATCCAAGGTTCACAAACCAGATATCCACCAGTTAATCCACCACAACATGGTTCTTAGCAGCCATAGCTGCGGCCTCGCGGGCCAATTGGGCGGTGTGGGCATGGGTGCCAGCTCTCTTGCCAGCCTTTGGTGGCTGGGGGGGTGGTGGGGTGGCCGGGCGCCAGGTCTTCGCGGTGCCTATCCAGAAAGTCAATTCAAGCTACGTACAATACTAGGAAAGGAAGACTTACTAAAGGAGCAACCCGCCGCGTTGTGCTTGAGCACACAAGAGCAACAGGCGCCGCCCTGAAGGGCACCGGAGACGACACAGAAGAGGAAGAAGAGGCGCGCACGGTTACTACCGTTCGCGTGGACACACTGGTCGCACTCTGGGGAGGTATGGCCTGAAGCTTGAATATACCAAGCCGCAAGCTCTTGGGGGTGCGTAACCACCACCTCGCCTGGGCCCTCGTAGCCCCGCTCCAATTCCACCTCCATAAGAACCTCATCCTCCGAGGAGGGAGCCGAGCCTAAGTTGTAGGCAGAGAGGGAGTCGCGTAAGTCCTCGCAGACTTGAACCATCTTGAGGTTGCCCTCGGTAACTTCGCCAACGACTGGCATCTTGATTGATTAATTGATTGATTGATTGATTGATTGATTGATTGATTGTGGGGGGTGGTGGGTGGCGGGGTGGAGGGGTCGGGTTTGGCGTGGTTGTGTAGGAAGAATGGAGCCGACGGGCCCGAAGCCGAAGCTCTATACCCGTACGGTCTTGCCGGGTAGCTTGGGGAGCAACCTTTCTCCTAATTCCCCTTTAATTTACTACTGTAGAGCTGGGATACGTGGGGGGTGTGTTGTAATACGGTCACGTGACCCAACTCAACTTCACCGTAATTTCAGGCAGCTACAATTAGACAGAACAATACACAGATTACTGAACAAGTGGCAAATCCAAAAGTTTGCCGCACGATTGAATTATGTTATAAACTCCATACCAGGGCTTCGGCGGTGCTTTGCATACCCCATAGAGATTTAAGTAAAATATCCACCGTGTGGCGTTACAGGTGTAACTGTCACGTGCCCACTCTGTATCGAATGGAATTGGGCATCGTGTCGGCTCCGCTAAGAGTGTTTATAACTTACTCTGTGTTCTTTGCGAATGCAGTAAGGTAGAAGGGGTTTTGGCGATAGTCTGGGAATATACGTGGACGTGAGCCGATCGACGGCGGCAAGAGGCGGCCCACCTCCCGCACACTCGGGGGATTTTAAAACCAACGCTTATCAATTTGTGCTATTGACCCTTCTCATAATACAACGCCTTCTCATAGTTATGGGGAAAATTAAGGACCAAATCTCACTCGAACATAGCAGCTTTTTAATTTTGAGAAATGGAATAACGTAACTTACATGTATAGCGAATGTGCAAAACAAGCGAATGTGCAAATCCATTTCACACCTTAAATCACAAATTTCATAACTTAATATCTCAACAAACCTTTAATAACGTGCATGTATAACGAAAGTGCCAAACAAGCGAAAGTGCCAAACAAGCGAAAGTGCCAAAATCATGTGGTGACCAACCCCCCCAACTAAATGTTAAATTCCTCCACAACAAAACATGCGCCATAAAAATGATGAAAGCAAATTAGTGCTAGCTATCCAAGCTATGCAAAGTGACCCAAATTTGCGCCTTCGAGTTGCAGCTAGGATCTATTCCGTAGACCACCGCAAGCTACGTCACCGTTTACAAGGCGTACCTTCACGACGCGATATCCAAGCCAACTTACGGAAATTAAGTAACCTAGAGGAATCAGTTCTTGTTCAGTATATACTTGACTTAGCTGCTAAAGGGTTCCCTCCTCAGTTGTCTATTGTTGAAGATATGGCAAGTCGACTACTTGCAACACGAGACGCGCCACGCGTCGGGTCACGTTGGGCTTCAAACTTTGTTAAGCGCCATGTAGAGCTCCGGACACGCTTCCAGCGAAAATACGACTACCAGAGGGCTAAGTGCGAAGATCCAGAAGTCATTCGTGGCTGGTTTGAGCTTGTATGGAACACAATTCTAAAGTATGGCATCAACAATGCAGATATCTACAACTTTGATGAATATATTGGATGAATTCCGCATCGTTCCTGCCGGCGGAGCCCTTAGTAGCCACGTTATCTCCGGCGGGCCAATTTTAAGGTCATGACTTTTGCCTTCCCCTCTGTTCAAATACTAGAAGGGTGAGCGCTTGGAGAGTTCGTTGCGTTCGCACTTCTAGTATTTTACCACGCATTACATTCTCTTCTCGTGACATTTTCCTCCATTGCAGAGGACACGATCATTTTATATGCTATTGAATCGCTCTACCCTCGCCACCATCCCACACTTCTAGAATCCCGACATCCCACCCCCCTGCAAAGGCACGCGCGCCCTCGGGAAGCCGAGCGTTACTCTTTTGTAATAGGGTAGTGAAAGCGCGTACTACCGAGGCCGGGAGCCGTACCTCCTCCACCGCGCTATTCGGCGCATCGAGGAGGGCGGTCGCTTCGTCTCTAGGAGGAGAAGGGCGGAAAAGGAGTTTGCCTGCTGGGAGGGGTTGTAGTGGTGAGGAGTCGGTAGATGTGTGGGCTGCGGGGGAGGAGGTAGGACGACAGGAGAGGGAGGAAAAAGATACGGTTAGAGATGGCGCGAACAGCCATACATATATCCCTACCTCTGCATCCGTGTCACTTTCGCTCTTGGCATCAGCCGGCGGTGGCGGTGGCCGGATGATGAATTTCGAGACGCCGAGGGCGGAGGATTGGGCGTGGAGTTGTGGAAGGAGGAAGTGGGGCAGTGGTGGGGAGGTGGGTGCGAGTTGTATGGTGGGCGAGGAAGTTGCGGTGGTTAGGGGGGCGCTGAGCGAGAGTGACCATTTGTACAGTTGATAGCCTGCGGGTGTGGACGTGCCGATGAGGGCGGCGCAGGATGTGCATGCGAGGGAGAGAGAGGAGGGGTTGGTCTGTAGTTGGTTAGTTTGGTTGTGGCGGGGTAGTTTGAAGGGATGGTTAAGGTGTGAGGACGGGGGATTGGTGGGTAATGGTTATGTTTCTCGTCTGTCCCAAGGCGTTCTCTCATGCTAAAGCCAGCGAAGCCCGATGGCAGAGTAACCCATTCTCGGTGTGAGAGGGTACACTCGCCATCCTGGGACGGAGTGGAGGGGTCGCTCTGGGGCATTTGTATCGGTGACCTTGCCACTGAAGCGATGAGCTGGCAGGCCACCTTCTTGATGCCCGAACATATCAAAACTAAAAGAAAACCAGCAAAAAAAGAGGCATGTCAAAAACCCTTACCTCGAGGCCACTACAATCTTCGCTATCAAGGAGGAAGTACGTCAAATCAACCTTCCCCACCCCTTTCTGCGCCATCATTCGCGTATTCGCCCCATACCCCTTCGTCGTATTATCACCTCCTTCCTCGTCCCCCTTCTCGCCCACCGGCACGTCGGGTTTATGACAATGCCAGAACTCCATCATCTCAGCCCAGTTTTCGCTGGGGAGGTCGCGCCACGTCGTCACGCGCCTGGGGGACAGGATGACCTGCCCGCATCTTCGGCAGGAAAACGAGGATGTGTTTGCGAGCGCGCCTGCACTCCACGGCGCTGGGAGGGAGGGCGCGGCGCGTTGTTGCGACGGGGTGGCCGCGAGGGGGATGCGCCAGGAAAGCTGGGCGAGGCTCGGGTGTGGTTGCGTCGCGGTATATGTCGGTGCTATCGTGCCGGGCAGCTGGAGGGAGGCCGTCGCGCCATTGTGGACAAGTGTGAGGAGTGCGCGGTCTCCGGAGAGGGAAACGCGGGTTGTGCCGTCGGAGGGAGTGGGGAGGGCGGCGAGGACGGAGATCTGGCGGATATTAGGGAGGAGCTCGGCGTAGATTAGGGGCGGGGAGGAAGGCATCATAGTGGTTATTTGGTGGAATTCGCGATGGCCATCGCAGAGGAGGGGTGCGGGCGCGTTGGGTTGAGGCGCGTTGAGGGCGCGGTGCCTAGATACGGAAGAGGCGAGGTTGGGGATTTGGAGAAGCTGGGGCTAGTAGGTAGTGATGTCGCTAGATGTCGCTAGCGCGATCGGCGGACCTGCTCCCCGCATTCAACAACTTTAGCTCGTCGTCGTCATGCAGGTTACACATGTCACACCATGCTACGAGGATTGATTTATAATATCTGAGTATCTCCGATTCATCTGATATTGTGTATGCCATTTACTATATCATTTATTATATCAGAGCATAGTCGGACAACGCCGCTGCGATGTCAGCCCCCATGATAGCTTGGGCCCCGGTGGTCAACCGCGCCTATCGATTTATGACCTCGTTCAGTATGGCGTCGCATCCTTCAATTGATATTCCCTCGGTCAACATCCACGATGTAGAGACGGCCCCGGAGAAGAGGGCAAGGACGCTCAAGCACCTGATAAAAGCTAACCATGTGAACTTCGCTATCTTGTTCCACGATCTACAGTTCGACAACCACATGGCTCACATCTTGTGCTCTGCATATATACTCGGGGCGAACGAGGACCACCTGAACCATATATACATCGAAATGTCAAAAATCCTGGAGGAGTGGACGGATTCCCCAGCTGAGATAACAGACCAGGATTGGAGGCAGTTCTTGGGGGACAGGAGGTACCAGAGGGCATATGTGGATTTTTTCGAGGACGAGCTCGCGTTGAAGCATGATTACGACTGGAAGATAGTTGTGAAGGAATTCTTTTTTGAGGGCGAAAACCCCTTGATAAACTGTGTCATCAGCGGCCGTACGTTTTTCTGTGAACAATATATTGGTCTGTACTAACTCGTACAGTTGGCCATCCTTTAATACAGCTCGGTTATGCGTTCGAATTCAACAGCAAGGAGATCGCCATGGAAGCTCTCGGGCTTGCCGCAGTTTCCTATAACCACCTGCATAAGTACTCCGACGATACATCATATACGAAACCTTCCGAGAACCCGACTGCTTCTATCTTTGAAGTCCTGCGCAGAATTGGCGTCGACAACCGCTTCGATGGCATCTTCAAGAATAAAAGTGGCAGTAACTCTTCCTATCTTTTCGAGCACCATGAGAGCCTCGTCCTCGAGCACTGGAATTCATGGGCCATCGAGGACCCCATCAAGCAGTTTGAAGAGTCTCAGAAGGCTGCCGCATCGTTGCTAGCTGCCACCGTTGCGGCCGGGGCAAAGGACTACGATTTCTTCCTTGTCCATATTCTCACCTCCAGCCATGCAGTGAGGATTCTCCTCCCTTTTGTTCCGAAGAAGTTCCACGTCGGCGTTGTGAGACAATGGTTTCTTCTAGCTATTGCCGTCTATATTGGCCAACTGAGGCCGAAAATCGACTGGGCGCCAGTGGAGAAAACGCAAGTGGGAGATAAAGGGTGGAAGTACGTCGTCAACAAGGCAGTTGCGGGGTCATTTTCGACTGATGCCCATTACGTGAAAGGTAGGCTTGCCCCGTCTGGCAGTACAGTAATATGTGGCTGACAATCGAATAGCACTTCGCGCCCTGAAAGAGGCTGCGTCGACATGGGGTGATGCTGATGGACTATATCTGTCTGCTGCGGTTAGGTTTGCCGACGAGTTCAACGGCTGGCATGGCTTTGGTGCAGACAGGAAGGAGCATTAATGAGGAGGGAGCGGATGCGTGTGCGTGTGCGTGTGCGTGTGCGTGTGCGTGTGCGTGTGCGTGTGCGTGTGCGTGTGCGTGTGCGTGTGCGTGTGCGTGTGCGTGTGCGTGTGCGTGTGCGTGTGCGTGTGCGTGTGCGTGTGCGTGTGCGTGTGCGTGTGCGTGTGCGTGTGCGTGTGCGTGTGCGTGTGTGCGAATATAGGGCTCGCTCGGTTTTGGCGCTATGGAGTTCAACGATGTCACGAAAGGGATGAACTGGGGATTTCTGTGAGTTTAATTTCCATGACTATGTTCCGTGCTAACCACAGGAGTAGGCATGGAAGTTTGCTGCAATGTATTTTACACGGAATGAGGCTACTCACTACTCAAAAAAATTACACTTCCGCAGCCAAAAATACCCGCACTGCCTCTATATACTGGAAATTAGGAGCAGATCTAGAGTCGTTTGGCAAGCTAAAGACTCCTGTCGTCGTCTTGTTTTTGCAGTAGCAGGATTACAATCGCTACATGTCTACGAAATAAAGCCTCCTCAAAAGCACTACTGCTCCCGTTGTCGTATTTCTCGTTGACATCAGCGCCGTGGTACCTTTTGCATCATCGATATGTGTATCCACACGATCGCTTTCTGACCATTTTGAAGACTGTATAATTGAATATTTCGAGCTCGTACCGTATTTCGATTAGTGGGGCTCGCTGTCATGTCTATTGGAGGTGATTCTTGGATCAGGTGATTTACACTCGGAATCGTATGAGAGTCACCCACAAGGCAGAATAGTATCAACTTAAAATCCCCATCTCGATACAGTATTCGACCTCTAATCCCGTTCCTACAAACGCGCTCGCTCACTATCCTGAGATGTACGAATTGGCATTTAATCCAGACTGGGCTATTGTGCTCGCAGCCATCATAATCATCTGGGTGATCACCGTGTTCACTTTCGTTTACAATTTGTTGAATTCTCGGCCCGGAAGCAGGGATCAGGGCCCTGATACCGAAGCTGTGTCAGCCAGCTTCGTGATCCTCCGCATACTGGATCTTCCAGTTCTAAAGCTTCGATTCTGAAGCTCTAGGGAAACCAGGAGGGTTTCAGGATCCGAGCCGCGAACAGGCACAGGAATAGAGCCCGTAACAGTATATATATATAGTAGTTAGAATAGCTTCAATTATAAGAATATGCATTACAAAATTATCACTTCGGGCCCTACTGCTTCATGACTATATTTTCAGTTTATATTCTCTACCTACTGCCACGGATCCTACGGATATTGTTCCACACAATTACGTATCGCTACGCATTGTACCACCATTGATCCCTCCGCCTAGACGACATAGCCTCGATAACTCGCCTTTTAGGAAGCTGCCTCTAGAGCTTGTAGGATAGATAGCTAAATTCCTGCCTCAGTCAGCTGCTGCATCGTTCACTTTGACCTGCAAGCCTATATGGTTTATCTTAGGAAACCAATATCTCGACCGGCTTTGGGCAAGAAAATGTGAGCCTAGTAGGCGCATATTCCTAAAGCTCCTCGACAGGGATCTACCTTACCACGTTATGTGCTTGCACTGTAACCAACTCCACCGTGGCGATACAAAACAACATTATAGCCTACTATTATCGCTTTGCGGCAAGAGGCAACAGTGTGAAGTTACTGGTAGAAAGCAAGAAGTGCATCGATATATCAACCCAAACTTCAACTATGTCTCATTCCAATCGATTATGAAACTACGTCGCTCCAACTATTATCAAGACTACATATTACAAAAAAAAAAAGATCCAATTTAAGGGCAACCTACTTGGTTGTAATATGTGGTTTAATTACAATACAGACGTCCATCAAAAAAAGTCTTACATCTTACCACTCAAAAGTCGTTTCCTATATCGCGGACAAGACTGGCTTCAATTTCGCCATCAGGGTTGTTTTATATTTACAAACAAAGGCTGCATGCACTGTGGAGGTAGTAAAGGCATAGTTTCAACTATTTTGTTGTCTCTAGTGGTTTGCCCGCATTTACAACACCCACTTAAGAAAGGCGCCACCAAAACCAAATTTGAGGATATAATGACATGTCGAGCAAGACATTGGGACAACATCTGGCGTAATAGAACCTGTTCAACATGCTCAGGCCTGCACCAATGCGAAATCTGCCCAACAGAGGCTGGAAACTTGGCTCTAGTTAGGGAGGTGGTTATCTATCACCTTATTGAACAGCCGGAAGTGAAATTGTCATGTAGAAACAAAATATAATCCCTCACACTATAGTCTGGGTGACAAACGGCCCCGCCTGTCAGGTGGACGGCACGGGGAAGATCAATGTGTTGGGGAAAGGCAGGCACGCCCGTGGGATACGGTGGGTTTTTACACCCAAAATTGGCCGTTCTTCTCCAAGGGGCCGTCCAACTCCTAAGTGGGCTCAGAACCAGATAACGGCACCAGACTACTGGGGGCTACTGACTCAGGGTTCGAAAAACTCAGTTCGTTAGGGTTTTGAGAGGGTTTCCCCAGGGCTACAAATAGCGTACGTAGGCCCGTAGAATAGTGTAACAATTCAATTGATCTATATACTGTATTCTACTGTGTTCTACTGTGAAGCCTCTGCTCCGTTTGCCGAAGAGACTGATTACGGTTATCGGGGATTGCCACACGAATCTGTGTGTAGTTCTCCGTATTCCGGAATTACCTCCAACACAATGTCTTTTTCCGCGTTTTAAGCCTGCTGTAAGGCATCATGTGAGGCCGCCCTGAACTCAGGGGCTGCCTGGCAGTGGAGCCACTAGGGCTCGGTAAACTAGGGCATGTAGGAACGTAGGATATAAGGAGCTGGAAGCCTCAGAAGGAGGCCTCCAGCCGATAGTCGCTGTATTTACGTAGACCTATTGTCCTTACAAATACGATACCCCTTTCCTGCCTCTTGACCTGGTTCCCTGGACTCCTGTGAGACCTTGGGCTTACGCGTTACACCTGCGGTACCAGGTATCCCCTGATCAGCGTGGGAATGTCCTTTCCATGCACCAACATAGATGCCGGTATAAAAGGAATTGATGCAGGGTGTGTCTCGCTGATGCTGAGCTGGCTTTCACTGTCACCCAGCTCTTACATGAGTGGGAATTTTAGAGATTCCTTCTTATATAAAGTGCCAAATTCCTACTCTGTCTTTCTTCCGTCCTATCCACAGATCTACAGTTCTCATTACTGATTCGACGTCTCAACAAAACTCTATCCTCCCAGATATTGCGTCAACACACTTCGCCTCCAAGCACACAACAGCCAGTACCTCTGAAAACATCTCTTCGCTCTATTCTGGTAGACTTGTACGCTTGCATACTACATTTTGCTCGTTTTGGAACCATACTGACTCCCTATAGGTCTCCGCTATTCGCCGATTCCAATGTGTATACAAAAAGTTAGAAAATGGGCGAACTGCGGCTGCGTGGTTAAAGTTGGCGGGGTCGAATCTTGCAAGGATAAAGGGACAGCCGATTAAGGGTGTCACGGAGGAGCCGATTTCATATTGGTCGGGTTGGTGCAGTGACCATAAACCTTAGGACAGAGAGGGAGCGGAATATTATATTGGGGCCGCGTATCTACCAAATGCTTCCAAATCAGAATTAGTTCCATATATACCGTCCGCATAGACCCAACTTGGAAAAAAAGACGGGACTTCACTTCCTATTCGGCCTGCAAAGCTAAAGTCAATCAAGATAATATGGCCACCCGCGTCTTTCATGATGTTGCTGGGACTAAAGTCCCCATGGCTGAAGCCTGCAGAATGGAGCCGATCCAGTGTTTGCTTGATGTCATCCGTTCGCGAACGTAGCTCAGATAGTTCTACTTTGAATAGCTTGTTCATTCGGTAGCCGCAAATGACTCCATTGTCTCGGATTGGCTGCTGGTCGAATTCAACAACGGGAAGTCCGAGCTTCGCCAAGTCAGCGAGAACGTCGAGTTCATGTTGAATGAGCTTGATAGACAGCTCATCTTGGTGGGCAAGCTTGAGAATAGGAAATCGACCGTCCTCGATGACTCGAATGGACGCATAAGCACCGTAATCAATTATCGTCGAGTCTCTCCAGATTGCAGCTATTCGGGAATTTTGATGTACTGAATGAACGCTGACATTCTTAAGGTCGGGAAACCTTGCAAGATCGGGGTACTCAGGCGAACCCGACCAAGTGATAGAAAACGCCTGGTGATCGTAGTCGACGATGCATTCATACGACCCGCGGACTCCCCCGCTTTGAGGTGGTGTTATCGGCTTGGCCTCCTGAGGGGGCCGCGTTGAGGTTTGTCGAGGAGGTCTGAGTCGTGATATCTGCTGATTGCTAGAGCACAATCTGTTCTTCTGCGGATGCTTTCCTGATATCAGTTAATTGGTGGTTGGTTAGCACCTACTTGGTCCATACCTTGGGCGTGTCTCCGCACTTTAGTGCGAGCCATGTCGACGTGAGGACATCCGCGCCGGATAATTGATTTGGGCTAGGATACACCCCGCGCGTTGACCAAACTGCGGGATGTCTCGTCGAGATATTAGATTTTGTAGCACCATAAATCGACGGCATGAAGGACGTACAGGTGTCACCGTTGAGGTGCAATGATGAATGGCGACCGACTTCGTCGTCGTCGTGGATAGGTAGTGAATCGCCAGCGATGGTTCCGCGGAGAGAGAGAAGTTGAATGTAGCAGCCCAAGGAAGGGTGGACTGAAGATTTGTACTCATCTTCCGAAGTGTTTTGCCAGGCACCTATTGAGACGTTGTCCGACTGATCAGGATCGATATGTGCTTAGTCATGCAGACGATATGCACCTAGCACGATTCCGTTTACGTTTACGAAGGCTTGGTGCGCCTAATCTTATGTGCATAGCAACGATACTCAACGAATATCTATATCTATCAAATGCCTTCATAGCCGGATCGGAAATTCAGCAGTTGACGCAAGTACTGAAGCAGACAGAGGAGCAGGCGTGCACCTCATTCAAATTAAGCGAACCATGATCCTTACCAGGGCGACAACACATGCCTCTCCTCATCATACAACACATCACAACAGCCTCTTGTAGCCTTGAGGCATGCCGACGCGACAGAGAGTTAACGACATCAACAGCGACGAATCCCGTAATGATATCAATTGCAGGATCGGCCTGCGCGACAATCGCAAGCGGAAAGGCGAGTTTAGGCCGCCATTAGGCACTGTTGACAACGAATCCACATACAAGTGCCGGCCGCCATCATCGAAACGTCTAAGAGTGGCTATCGGCGATAGCTATCCCAGAACCACAGTCGCTCCTCGGCCAGATACCATTCTAAGGGCTCTGCGGTGCGCTCTCTTCGTACGTCTCCGACTTCCAGAATAAGAATAGCTGAACCAGTTCGGACTTGGAATTGCGCACTAATGAGGGAACGACAGCATACATCCGACAGCATATGTACGCGACAACCACATCATCATTCCCTCTGTATCTACACGAATATACGAGTGCGCTAGATTGCAAATTCCCGACATCACAGGCTCGAAACACATCCGTCTGGAACATTCATCGTCGAAAGCTTCCTTAAAAAAAGGCGAGCTTATCATCACGATGCTAACGCAGATCCACGAAATCATGAAGGCGTTTGCATCGGACATAAAAGACCAGATGTTTGCACCAGACTCTTCTGGTCGAGCATTTGTACCTCATTCGTGGCAAGAGGTTCGAGTTCTTGAGACGGGATCGTCAAGTCAGTCGTGCCATACTTACCTCTCTTGATAAAGGGCTGACTGGTGGTTACGAACACAGCTTTATCTTTAGCCTACGACGGGAGAACACTTAAATTCGAACCTGATTCATCGTTACCATTCGAGCCGAATAATCCATTCCTCGTGCTTGAAGTAGCAGTCACGCAAGATCCGGAAGCTGTGAAAAAGTAAGGCCCAGGATTATATCCGAGGGTCTCGTGGAAAGGTTGCTTTTGTGGTGGGATCATAGTCAGGCGTCTGAGACGGCGCAGAGAAGAGCAGGCCGGAGACCAGAGCAATGCAAATATTATGGATGGGCATAACGATTTCACTGGCCAAGCTACGAATGCGAGGCTTAAAGTCAGGCAACATGGGAACGACGAACAAAGCGAGCCCCCCGATTATAACCAAGCACGAGAATCAACGAGCCCAATATCCACACTCACGGATCCCCCATCCGATTTGTCCAGATGGAGTGTCTTCCCCGAAAGAAATCTGCCAGCCAATCAAGTCAGCCTTCCCAGTACTAGTTTACATGGCACAGAAAACTCAAGCGTCTCACTCCCACCCCTCCTGTACAAATGTCTCGACACCAACGATATTTTAAACCCCAACGATACTGTGCACGTTAACGTTTTCAAATCCGCCACCGTCCCGTCTGGCACACCAGCTACTACCCAGCAGACATTTTGCACAGTGCAGCCACTGATTGAAGAAGTCGAAGTCTATCCACACAACACAAACGCTTCATTTACTCTTGCATGGGCTGATATCGCGAAGACTGCACCTTCCGGGGGGAGGCCAAGTCTGCATATCAGCCTCAAACCCTTGAGCCGCCTGGCGCGGAGACTGGGTGGGGATGGCCGCGTTGAATGGGGTGATGACGGGTTCAGCCCACTGTCTAGCGGGGTAAAGGAGTATCTTGTCACTAGCTCGAGCGTTGAGATTGATCATGAGAGAAGTGGTGGGACGGTGCCTTCTTCGGTGGAGAAGCGTCAGGACCCCGACTTCAGTCTATGAGGTATGGTCTTCCAGGCTTTCGAATCTGATAATCCAACAATATACTAACTAACATACAGCCGTGTTGCGGGTCTGAAAGCTGTTTATTGAAATAAAAACATATTATTTCCGAAGATAAGAAACTGTGTCTGAAGCGAGGATAACAATTACGTAGAGTACATGGCACTATTTTATAATTCGTCTACATCATATAATAATATTAAGCGTTAAAAGATGGTGTTTCCATAAGTCCATTCTTCTCCTTTGGAACCATACCACATACTTCGAAGCCTTTCAAGTGATTCCTTAGCAAAGTTTCCATAGTCTGGTATGAACCTGAACACGCGCGTCGTTTCGCAAGCAACCTCACGCCGACCCTCTAAAATGGCATTACTACAGATCTCTTCAAGTACACGTACTGTTTCGGTAGCATCCTGCCACCGATCCTCTGAAATGGCACCACTGCAGATCTTTTCAAGTATTCGTATTAAACCATGCATGTCCGCATTAAGCTCCACCAGTTGAAATACTTGATTAGAGGTTCCTGGACAGCAAGATTGAGCGTTGCGTGAAGCACTTCAGCCAGGTCGTCGTTAAGCTTCTTCGTTCTTTTGAAATGCTTCGCTTCAAGATGCTGGAAATTCTCCCTCTTCCTCCTTTCACGATGCTTCTCCAGTTCATAATACCTTTGTAACTGATTTAACACAAGGTAGGCCGTTTAGAAACAGCTCCATGCCGTATCCTTTTGATCATCTTTATAGTGTCATCATTTCGATATTCCTCGTGTAAGAAATCTGCTGCTGTAAACGCAGCTGCCCAGGTGTCCCATGAAGTTTCTAGAACAATGTCATCATACATGGTTCGCAGTGACAGTAGCACTGTGTCGAAATCCTCTTCATCTAGTCCGTGACCAAGGCGGTTTAGGAAAGAAACAGCACCTTTCAACTGCCCTTCACGGATCATGCCTTTCCAAGTGACTTCAAAAATCATCAGAGCCGCCTCTTGATGTTGTTTTATGTGTTTGGAAATGGTGTCAATCGCATTATCGGGTGTATACTCTCCCCGTCTAACTTCCTCGGTGTAGGCAGAACGGAAAGCGTCCATGTTGATGCCCTTGAAAGGCTTCACTCGGCAAACACTCAAAAGGGTCGTTCGGTCCATAATTTCGGATATAATTTGGAAAATTATTTCGGCAGGTAATCGGGACAAGGGGCCATCGATGTGTGAGGAAAGGCGTGGCTTCTTTCGTGGCAAATTGTCATCCCAAGTAAGGTTTTCTATGCGTTGTTAGCACGGCCCAGTATGCAAACGTTGATATTCTTACCTTGATAAACACAGTATGGCCTCTTGCGTTGTGCAGCTTCCTTGGGACAAGACCGGTCGTCGCCTTTAGTATCTGATACCAAGATATATGGCATGTGCTGCAATGATAGTCCAACGAAATTTGTTAGGAGTGTAGAATCTCAGCTACCTGTTCGGGATTTAGAAGGGCAATGTAGATTGTTGTATAATCGCGGTAAATCCGATCAAGTTGCTCAGAGAACCTGGGGTGAGACTATGCTGAGTCGATGGGTGGCACGACAGTATTTAGGGAACCAGTCAACAGTTTTCGCGCCTCTTAGGTTGCTGTTGGCCGCTGTCGTAATCGAAGATACAGGATGCGGCCATTTGAGAGGCCCGAGGCAGATTTGGGAAATCGACCAACCATACCCCGTTTCCATGAAGCTTTTGTTATAATCGAAGACGCAGGATCCGGTCTTTCGAAAGGCCTCAGGCAGATTTCTGAAGCCAGCCAACCATCTTCCGTTTCTGTGAAGCCGTCGTCATGATCAAAGACACAGGATGCAGCCTTTTGGAAGGCCCGAGGCGATTTCAGAAATCGACCAACCGTTTCGCGTTTCCAGGAAGCCGCTGTCGTGATCGCAGACACAGGATGCGGCCTGTTGGAAGGCCAGAGGCAGATTTCAGAAATCGACCAACAGTTTCCCGTGGAAGTTTCCATGAAGCCGTTGTCGTGACCAAAGACACAGGATCCGGCCTTTTGAGAGGCCCGAGGCAGATTTGGGATATCGACCAACCATCCCCCGTTTCCAGGCAGACATCACAATCGACCAACCGTCCCCCGTTTCCATGAAGCTGTCGCCGTGATCAAAGACACAGGATGCGGCCTTTGGAAAAGCCCGAGACAGGATTGGGAAATCAACCAAGCATCCCCCGTTTCCACGAAGCTGTTGTCGTGATCCCAGACAAAAGGCCACTTCAGCAGCTGCTACACTCGCGAGTGTAGCAGCTGCGATGTGGTGTAGCTTTAGCCTAGAGTAGTTAGCTGCTGTATATAGCGTAATATACGATAATTTGAAGCCGGAGATGTCGTCGTATATAGGTACATATTGTAAGGATCGTAAGCCTAAGGGTCTCACGGGAGTCCAGGGAACCAGGTCAAGAGGCAGGAAGGTATCGTATTCTGTAAGCACAATAGGTCTACGTAGATACATCGACTATTGACTGGAGGCCTCCTTCCGAGGTCTCCAACCCCTTTTATCCAGGAACCCCCTTGCCCTCGGTAAACCAGGGTTTCTCCACAGTAGGGCAACGCCTTGGGTCGTCCACGTGAGGGCACGTGACGGCCCTGCCTTACACATATGGTGATCCGCCTGTGATTCCGCCTATAAAAGTGATACTTATAATGCCAGGAAGCCAGAGCCAAGCCAGAGGCCGAAGCCGGAGACAGAGAACGAGGATGATATCGTTGTCGGGTCTTCTTGTCATCGTCGCAAGTATAGTAGAGGACGAAGAAGAAGAGCACCGAATATGGGCTCGCCGTCGTCAGTATCATCATCGCCGTCATATTCAGCAATGCCGGTGCATCTCATTTGAGAGTTTGGACGATGTCCAAGCACGGCAACTACTACGGTAAGCACTCCTCTTCTTTGCCCCTTTTCATTTATAATAACTAATTAACTATGTAAATAGGTTCTCGATGAGTGAGATCCAGCAACTTACTATACTCTTTCAGCTCCATAATGTGCCATGGAGCGGTAGAGTACAGCTAGCGCCATGGATGGCACTTTTGTCATACTGACATTCGTTGCACTCAGTTTGCTATCAAACTCAAGAGCAAACTTGGAAATCTCCTCCTCAAACCTACAAGTCACTATACATATTTTGGCTTATCACACCAACAACAAGAGCAATACTACTCAACGTTTGCTACAACCATCTATGATTCATTACACATCATCGCTCCTTAGTTACTGGGCCGATATTACCACATAGCATATCTCTACAACCCTCTATGATTCATTACATGACATCACTCATACTACCACATGACATATCTCTACCAACTAGAGGCCTAGGAGCATGAACGATAGCTCTAAAAGCTCCTATCACTCTTTAGTTACCCACAAGATTGGTTAAGTTATGACATAATTTGTCTATGACATAATTTGTCTATGACATAATTTGTCTATAGGGGTACTCTGATCTTGGACCTCCTTTTACTTCCTATAGGCTACGAACCTAAGAGATGGTTCTATGGGATTCTCTTACGTCGACTACAGTTACCAAGCCTGGTAAGTCATGGAAAGTCTTGGAAAATGAGAGAACTACACTCCTTTAGCATAAATAGGATTGCCCTTTCCTTAAGAAAGGGCAAGCAGACAATACAGTAAATCGACTATCACATACTTCCACGTCTTTTCCAAGCTTCCAAGCATTCATCTTGTTACTCCTTGTTTCTGAAAAGTCAGTGAGGTGTTAACCTCTGACTTACCCCCGAGTTCCCAGACTCAACATTTGTTGCAACTTGTCTGAACCACTCCACTACATCACACACCTGATTGCTGCGTTGTGGAATAGTCTAAGCTATGACCCTTTGGCTCTGTTTTCTAAGACAGTGTGTTGTCTTAGTAAATTCATCCCTTCCTTGGATGGCTAGATTCTCACATCTGATGCACCCACCATTACAATTCTCTTTCGTGGCTTCGGCATCCTTGGGTTTCTGAGATTTGGTGCTGAGCTCTCATCCCATAACCCGGTAGTCCTCGGCAGTATGCTTAGACTTCTTTGGCTGTTGAGCTTGTCTCGTCCGTTTGGTGACGAAGCTTATCATGTTCTGCTTCGGAGTAGGAACCGTTTGAAGGGTAACCTGACATGGGGCTGTGATGCGATCTGTGATCACGTGCATTTGGGTTTAGCGTGGAGGTAAAAGGGTGGGTAAAGCAGCAACCGCGCCCTGCCAAATCCAGCAGCTCCGACCCCGAGAAGTGGCTTTATTCTATAAAATATCCAACTTTTAATAGTACAGTAGAAGCGCAATATAAGAATGCCCGATAGAAAGCTGAAGACCTAATGGCTGAGATTGATATAAGTGAGCAGATAAATGAGGAAACGCTCAGCATAGCTGACCGCCTTGCATCTCGTAAAAGGCTGAAAGGAAGGAGGGAGAGTGCGGATAGAGGAGCGAGGGGCATCGACTACTTATACTTGCGAGGTTGAGGAAAAGGAAAAGCGGCGCGGTGTAGATCGGCAGGCAGTTATGCCTAAACCGAGCACGCCAAACTAGATGCGCCCCCTTGCTTTGTTGCTGGGGGTGCATCGCCTTACCTCGCCTTACATTCCCCTGCTTATCATCTGCTTATCATGAGTCGGATGACTGTCCCACCCCCATCTCATTCTGATGCTCTTACATCCCAACCGCCATCCCATTCTGATCCTCATTCTAGATCTCGGCCTCATTCCCATCTCTCACCGCCAGGAGAGAAAGAGGGAGGGTTTGTTTGCAGGACCAGTGTTTGGTTGGATGGAGGGAGGGAAGGTGTGTCGATGTGTATTTGTCGATCAGGAAACATCGATTCGTGAATGGCTGGCTGGCTGTCGGTTTGGCTGTCGGTCTCGCACCGGCCTATTTACCGCCTTTCAAAACAAAAGACAGGGCTCAGAACGGTGGCAGAGCCGGAGCGGTAGACGGACGGGGGCGTGACGGGGAGAGCGGGAGTGGTGGATCGTGCGTGCGGGTCGGGTAGAGGGACGGGGGGGGGAGGGTTAGGTTAGGGTACCGAGTGTGCGGAGGTTGGGAGAGGGATTCGATCCAACGGTGCGTGTGAGTGCGTGGGGTGCTGGGGAACTGGGGAAAAGGGAAAAAGAAAAAAAAGGAAAAAAGGGAAAAAAGGAAAAAAGGGAAAAAAGAAAAAAAGGAAAAAGGAAAAAGGAAAAAGGAAAAGAAAAAGGAAAAAGGAAAAAGGAAAAAGGAAAAAGGAATTGGGAAGGCAATCCCCCATGGCGGCCCTTGATACCTACCTACCCAAACCAAACCAAGCCAAGCCAAGCCAAGCCAAGCCAAGCCAAGCCAAGCTCCGGTAAGATCCTTGACGATTGCACCAATAAGAACCTCCAACGACGGCTCTGGGCGGACAAGGCGAGGTTGGGCAGCATTGGCGCTACATGCAGGCCTAGCGGCCGTCCAGCTTGGGCAAACGGGGATAGGAGGGTCTGTGGCATCTGTGGCATCTGTGGCATCTGTGGCATCTGTGGCATCTGTGGCATCTGTGGCATCTGTCACTGGTGGTCACGGTGTGGTCACTGGTGCGAGACCAGTGGGCGCGGGATCAGGCGTCGGTGCGGGATCAGGCGTCGGTGCGGGCGTCGTGCGGGATCAGGCGTCGTGCGGGATCAGGCGTCGTGCGGGATCAGGCGTCGTGCGGGATCAGGCGTCGTGCGGGATCAGCGTCGGTGCGGGATAGGCGTCGGTGCGTGATAGGCGTCGGTGTATTGTGTGTGTAGAGGGTAGAGGAGGTAGAATGATTGTATGATTGTATGATTGTATGTTGGTATGTTTGTATGTTTGTATGATAGTATCACGCCGACTGTGCATCTCTGTGCATCCCTGTGCATCTCTCTGATCTCTGATCTCTGATCTCTCTGATCTCTGATCTCTGATCTCTGATCTCTCTGATCTCTGATCTCTGATCTCTGATCTCTGATCTCTCTGATCTCTCTCCTGTGCATCTCTTTATCCTGTATATCTTCCATCTGCATCTCAGCTGTCTCCATCCTGCCTCTCTCCGTCCGTCCCTGCCTGCCGTCCCTGCCTGCCGTCCCTGCCTGCCGTCTCTCCTGCGGTCTCTCCTGCGGTCTCTCCTGCGGTCTCTCCTGGTCTCTCCTGGTCTCTCCTGGTCTCTCCTGTGGTCATCATTGACCCTCTCATGAGTCCCCGATCACCGCCCATCTCTCACTTCCTCCTCCCATCTCGTCCTAATCTCTAATCTCCACCCCCCTCACCCCGCCGTCCTCTCATACTCCTCCCCTCATCACTTACTTGCTCTTCATCAGACCCATCCTCGCCCAACAATTCCCAACACTCTACGCCCATCTCCATCTCCATCTCCCTCTTCCCATCTCCCTTCCATCTACATCCGCCGTCCCTTCCCGTTGCAATAAATAAATACACACTACCCTCCCACCTCTTATCCCACCTCCCTCTTATCCCACCTCCCTCTTATCCCACCTCCCTCTCATCCACCTCCCCATCCCATCATATCATCATACCAACTGTTTATATTCCCCCCACACCCAACATCCACCCTTGCTGCATCGATAGCCTATTATTACAATTACTACCCTACTCTACTCCACTACTACCCTACTCTACTCTACTCTACTACTCTACTCTACTACTCTACTCTACTACTCTACTCTACTACTCTACTCTACTACTCTACTCTACTACTCTACTACTCTACTCCTACTTCATCCTTCCCTCCCTCCCTCCCTACCTCACTCACATCACCGATCGATCACATATCATTATTACTCCCACTACACAACTGTTTACCTACTTCTCCTCGCCCCCTAGCACCGGCAACAGGCATTCCTCTTCCGCTGCGCGTACTTTCAAGACATCGACTCAACAACATCCCGGTCGCAACTTCCAAATTCGCTTCACCGCCATTATCGTCCCCCACACCCTACCTCTTCCCTGCCTCGCTTCTCCCACCGGAACATCAAACCAACAACGAACTACAACTACTACAACAACCCTTCCTCCTCCCACCCCAAGGCCAAAAATATGGCGGGGTTTCAGATGAACAATTTCTACAGACCATCACAACTCTCCGTCGATGCACAAAACGAGAGGTTTTTCGACGACGACGACGCCAGCATCCTCGACGAGAACATCTTGGACGGTAGCGCTCTCGATTCCGGCCTCGACATGTCCCCCTCCATGAGCAGGCGGGACTCCTACGCCCTATTTTCCCCAAAGACAGAAGACTGGCAACACGTCGAGATGCAGCCCAGCAACTCGAATAACCCGTTCGGCGAGCACAACCCGAACAACCCGTTTCTCAACATGGGCCAGGCGAGCAATAACTACCCGCAACAACAACCCCACAACGGCTGGTCGCTACCGAACACTTCAGGGTCCTGCACCTCGATGCAGACCTTTGACGGCCTACCTGCAGAGTTTCAGAGCAACCCCGGCTTCAGGACAGCGCCCGTACACACTCTCTTCGGCAATGGAGCGACGCAACCGTCGCTGTTCTCGCCTGCCAGCACCGTCGTGGAGTCCATGCCAGCGTCACCCCAGAAGGACTGGGCCGTACCGGAGAGCATGGAGCACCGCGCGATGCCTAAGCGCATGCGACCAGGCAGTCCAGGGCTGCGCTCGCATTCGCCGTTGATGCGACGGGACGGTATTCGCAAGAAGAACGCCCGCTTCGATATCCCGGCCGAGCGCAACCTCTTGAACATCGATCACCTGATCCAGCAATCGACCGACGAGGGCGAGATCAAGGAGCTCAAGCAACAGAAGCGCCTCCTGAGGAATAGGCAAGCAGCGTAAGCCCTCCTCACCCCACCCCACACCTCCCATTCTAGTGGTACATCAACTAATTACATCAGTCTCGACTCGCGGCAACGCAAGAAGCAGCACACCGAGCGTCTGGAAGACGAGAAGAAGCACTACACCGCCCTTCTCACCGAGCTCGAAGAGGAACTCGCAGACGTCAAGATTGCGCTCGATGCCTGCACGCGCAAGGAGGCTCAGTACCAGCAGTACATCGAGAACCTCCGTATGGAGAAGGAGGAGATGCTGCGCGCACACACGATCGAGACGGGCGAGTTACGCAAGAAGGTCAGCGTGCTGAGTGACCATGTCACCAAGCTTGAGGGTGCTGCGCTTGCACAACCCCAGCAACAGCAGGCCTTCCCGAGCGACTTTGCCGACATCGACGCGCTCACCATGGATGGAGCGTGGGACGGAATCTCCTTCCTGCACGACTTCCCCGCCTCGCCTACCATCAAGGCCGAAAACCCGTCGCAGGCCCTCACCGTCTCCAAGTCAGGCGACTCACCCACCGTCCTGTCCGACGCCGATAAGCCTGCTGCACAAGGCCTCCTCCTCATGCTTCTCCTCTTCGGTGCCTTTGTGGCATCGAAGGGCTCTTCGCCGGCTATCCCGCGCATGTCTGACGACGTTCGTGCTGCCTCTGCCACCATCCTCTCCGACATCCTCCACGATGCCGGCGTATCCGCTTCTGCCGTCATGCCTGCCGGTGCCATGTCCTCTGTCGCTGCATCCGCACAGGCACACGCGCAGGGACACGCAGACTGGACACAGCCATCGCACGTCTCACTCGCCGACCTCGATCCATCGCCACTCGCCGCATACGCAGACTCTCTCACCGCCCCGTCCGCACAACAACAGCACGAGCAACTATTCTCGTTGTCTGCCGCACAGTACAACGCCGCGGCCTCTCCGTCCTTCTCCGCCGCCCCGGCGCCGAGTAGTAGCGCCGGCCGCCGCAATCTCGCTGACAGCTTGGCTGCCATGCGAGAGGGTGCGCGGGCGGGGAAGACGGAGGTGTATACGCGTAGCTTACTGTGGGAGCAGGTGCCGCGAGATGTTGTGAGGCGGTTTGCAAGGCTGGTAGAGGAATGCGAGGCTGGAGGTGGCGAGGAGTGCGAGACTCTCGGTTGAGCGGTGATGCACTCACCCATAGGCTCGACTATATCGGCCAAACTCCCAACTCTTCTTCTTTTGTTACACACCACCACGACACGATATGATCACGAAGATAAACGCCCACGCACACGCCCCTCATGTCCTCGGTCTCTGAACCGACAGTTCTTTTACTCTTTATGTTATCCAGCGAAACCAGCGAGCGCGCGTTGATTTTTTGAATTTTGCCATCGAGCACCAAATTGTCCAGAAATAGTTTTACTCATTTGAATTTTCCTCCATTTTCCTTGCCTGCACAAATTGTCCACCCATAACATCTTGTCACACCCAATCATGTCTTTAGCTATGGATATCTGAGTTTCTGTTTTAGTTAGTTTACTGCATTTAGCGCATAGGCCGGTTTTGGTTTTTTGGAGATTAACCCTTACTTTTTTCCCCGTTGGTTACGGAACGGGCGGTTGGGTAGGGAAGGGAAACGGCGGGAATGGCACACGGGAAATAGGCCGGGGGGTTGGGATGGGGGGAATCACGAAATGGACTGGAATGGAATGAAATGAAATGAAAAGATTTACACGAGCATATCACGGCCTCACAGCACACCACACACAAACACACGCAAATACCATTTTCTTCCGTCCCGTCGTCTACGAAGTTTCAACAAACATTCTACTTTTTCCAAAACTCTCTTCTCTTTTCTAACGAAACGAACCCCCTTTTTATTTACGATGATGAACGAAATGAAAAGATGATGACGATTATGCCACGAGTACAGTACAGCCTGGGATTTTGAACAGAAACAGGAGGAGGTATGGGATGAATTTATGACGTGATGAATGAATCATCATGGGCGATGACTGCATGAAGAGAGACGCAGTTTTCTTGGGAGGGAGAGGGTGCTTCCTTCCCTGGCGAGTTTGAGGGGGGTTGGCTTGCCTCCTCGGGAGAAGGTGAGGAGGGCAGGAGAGTTGTGGATGAGAAGGAGTTGTGACACGAGGCACGGAAGAGATGATGGTAACGGTGATATTATCAATATCTCAATCTACTCCTAACATATCTAATTTCAAACACCACTTTTTACACACACACACACACATTCAAAATCATCCGCGTGGTTTCTTCAGAAGTGTGAGATTTTGTGAGATTTGCTTATTTGGCGTGCCACCCAGCAGCTGACTTAGCTACCAGAGCCAAAAATAGAAAGAATCCTTGGTGGTGAAGAAATATAAGCAGAGCGAGCGAGTGAGCGGGGATCCCACGCGTTCCACCCACCCACGCACTCAACTCACTGTTGTGACAATGCAACGAGCATACCATAACCACACCTAAACACACTACACACATCACAACATAGCAGAGTACACACACACAGCACACAGCACAGTAGGGGAAGCTCACCCCCACCATACCCTTACGACAAAAAAACCGAACATCCGAGTCCCGTGAATAAAATTACACCGCCTTGCGTGCGAGCTTGTCTATCTATTGCCTCCTATCCCATCCAACCTATCCTAGACTATGTAATGTACGATTCATTGCACTGCGTTATCCGGCCTATCCAACCTATCCTATCCTATGTTTTCAAAACGGCACATATCCAGCGACTACTCCAATCCCATCAGCAGTAGAAGTAGAAGAAGCAGTTCAGCGCAGCCTAACCCAGTAGCCCGGCTCAGGCTGCGGAGGTGCATGTCGGTACCCAACCTACGCTCCTCCGACCCCTACCGCGCGCGCGGACTGTAACTACGACGTCGTGGAGCCAACCAACCGTCAATTGTGAGGAGGTACGCATACTGCGGTAGGTTGTGTATGCATGAACCCACCCACGCCCACGACCAGACCCCGCATCAACATACCGTCCCGTTCGTGGTATCCATCCATCCATACAGAGAGGAGGGGTACGCGGGGTGGAGGAGAGGCCAGTAAGCGCGCGTTAGGAGGGGGTGGTGGAGGGGGGGTCGTATTTGGGTTTCCAGATCCTAAGGGGCGTTGTTAGCTTGCTGGTTGTTTGGTTGACGGGGTACTAGGGGGGGGGTGTCTGGGGAGTTTGAGGGGCAGGGGCGCTGGGTGGTATCATGAAGTGGTGGTTTCTGGTGGTGGTGCCTTGGTGGATGACAGGATAGATGGCAGTATCTAGACTCTGCCTGCGCAGCACACGCCAACACCAAGCGTAACTCCGCACCGCATACCACCACCACACCGCACACAGCACACACCAGCGCACCGCACCCACCCCCAAACCAAGACAAGGACGAAACGGAGGGGCAGGGCAGGGCAGGGTAAAGGAAAAAATAGCAACACGGCAGGAAAACAGGGTAGACTCACCATCCATTCCCAATGAGTTTATTACCGCCTTTCTCGGCGAGACGGTAGTACTTTGCTGACTCCATCTGTGGTGGCTGTGTAAGCGCGGTTCTGCTCGGATCTTCGGGGTTTGGGGAGTTCGCCTTGTCTGGGATGCGTGGGTGGGAGGAGAGGGGAGGAGGGGGTTGGTGCCTGATGGCTTGGTGGGAGGGTGTGGCGGCGGGGGGATAGAGTCGTCTGAGATATGTGGAAGGGGGATTGGGGGTGTTCGAGATGCAGATGCTGGGTAATAAGGCGGGAATTGGTAGGGGACAGGTAAGGGCGGATGGGATTGAGAAGGGGAGTCGACGCACCTTATCTTTCTTACACCCGAACCCCTCCAGATAGCACCACCCTGCCTCGTTCATCGCGTCTAGAATCCCCACCGTTAGCTGGCTGCGCATCGAGGCGGGGGCGGCCAAGAGCATGGGAGGGTCGCACCTGTGTCCCCTAGATTCGCGGCGGTTTCGTAATACTGCGTTTCGTCAGCTCCTTGTGCTACCCAACGGTCTTCCCCTCGCTATCGCCATTTATCGCTCGTGATCGCGAGGAGCACGCCACTTACTTGCTTAGCTGCTACGGGGTCCTTCTTGACCCCCCAACCATGCCTGAAGGAATTCGCCAGCTCGAAAATCGCTAGTACTAGCTCGCCCTTCGCGGCGCCTCCTTTGGCGGAGCCGGCGCGCAGAGCGGCCTCTTCGATGGAGGCGGCGTTTGAAGCAGCGGCGGTGAGATATTGCATCGCCTGCGCTGGATCCGCTGTGCAGCCCCATCCGTGCCTGTTCAATTGTGTCAGTAAGATGTTACGTATATGAACCATGTAGCTGATGAACCAAGGACTAGCAAGAAATTAAGTGAGGATAGAATCCCATACCTTAGCGCAAGCCCATAAAGCACCTGACTCAACGCATTATTCTCCCCCCCCGGATCCGCCAACCGGCCAAACATGCGTGTCGCCTCCTCCAAGCTCCCCGACTCATGCAGCCGAATAGCCTCCTGTATATTATCATCCGCCTTCTTATCCCCCACCACGCCCACGCTCTCCCTCAGCTCCTGTCCCAGCGTCTGTCCCATCCCCACCCCCGCGGTGGCCAGCAGGCTTCCCACGGCTCTCTCTGGACTCCCGCTCGCGCTGCGGATGATAGCGCCGTTGCTCCTCGCGAGCAGCGTAGCGCGCTTCTCCCACTGGCGCTCGCGCTCTGTTTGGCCGCCCTCGGCGGCATCGTCGGCTACGTCGATGGCGGGGAGGTCGGTGGGGATGTTGGAGGAGCTGACGCCGCGGCGGAGGTGGAGGCGGGCGGAGACGCGGCGGCGGGTGCGGTTGTCGGGGTCGGTGGCGGAAGAGGCGGGGTTGGAGGATGTAGCGGAGTTGGCGCGGGGGCACGAGAAGGGCGAGAGGGAGAGGCGGTTGCGGCGGGGTTCGGGGGGAGGGGAGGGGGTGCGGGCGTTGGTGTTGGTGTAGTCTGGGGGCGGGGAGGTGGGGCGATGGAAGGCGAATTCGGGGTTTGAAGGGTTTGAAGGGGAGGAGACGGGGGGGGGGGGCGCTTTTCTTTGTCTTTCCTCTTGAGGAGGTCGCCGAGGGGCATTTTGGGCGGTGGGTAAGGTGATGACGGATGTGTCGGGTTACGAGGGTGCGCACGTGCGGGGTTGGGTGAGGTTGTAGCCACGAGGGGGAGCGAGAGGGGATGAAGATGGGATTAAGAGGGTATTGGAGTGATTAATGTGGTCGCGACGGTGGCATAGTAGCTTGAGATGATTCTATTTCGGTGTTTTCATGGCTGAGCATTGGCGCGCACGAGGCGCCGAGGCTGTGTGCTCAGCCTCGTCGTTTCTAGCGACAGAGGGCAATTTCTGACCCCATTATGTGACCCATGGCGATGCAGATCGATAGAAGGAGCATACGAGCTCCACCGGCCCCGAATAAGGAATCACAGTTGAACAGACATCGCTCCTTGATGGCTGCTACAGGGGCAATGGCAAGCCCCAGGCCACGGGCGGACTCTACCCCGCCATCGGGACCAAAATACCCTGACGATGATGAACGCGAGCGCCAATGCTTTGCGCGCAGCAACACATGCGGACATCGCATCTAGAAGACGGAGATCTGAGATTCCACAGGGCGGAGCGACTCCAGTGACTAACATGGGGAAGGAAATGTAAAACTCACACCCATCCCAACTCTCGGAGGCCGACCAGGAACAGAAGGAGGATAGCATGCACGCCTCAGCGATCGCAATGGCCCAGCAGATGTATAAGATTATTGAGAAGCGCGAGAAGTAAACCGGAGAGGCCGGCTATGCCGCGACTGCGGCGCATGGAAGATGATAGTCTACTTCTATGAGCTGACGCCCATGAAATATGGCAATCTTCAAGAAGCTGCACAACGGCTTGCTCAAGAGCGCCTGGCGAAGCTTCACGATGAAAACTTCAAGAACGCGAGTACCTCGACTACTACGTCAGCCCCCAGCCATCCCAGAGGATTTCCAAAGGGCGCTTCCGTCGTCGCGCTTCGAGCGATACAGCAGTGAGCCGAGACCGGAGAGGAAACGTCCGGTTTCAAACAGCAGCACCGCTATACTCATCCAACCTCTCACAAATTGACGCCAAAACGAGGCAAAGGGATGGCGATATGCTACTTGCCGCGGCTTAGCGCAACGTTCAAAGAAGTCTCCAAGGAATCGATGAGCGCGTCTATGCTCAAACAGGACGACCTACCCCGTCAATGATGGGCCAGGAGACATTGCCAATGGCGATTGCCCAGCAGCGCGTGCAACAGCAACAGGGCCCTCCACAACGAGGTGATAAGGTATCTATTGGACATGGAGCCCTTGTTGATAGTAGTTCCGTCGATGCATTAGCATTCAGGAACGTCCAGCCGGTGCTGTTAATACTAAGTCTGATGCCGAGCAAGCATGCCGGACTGAGATAAGCTGGACGAGGAGGAGGCAAAGCGGCAGATTGAGAGGGAAAGGGGGCGTGAGCAGGAGCTCAAGGAAATCGACAAGCAGTTGAAGGGTAAGTCGAGGACCCCACCCCGTGATAAAGTACTTTGTTAACTGGTGTAAGAACATGACAAGCAGGAGAAGGAGGGAAGGAAAAGCCACGAAACATTCTTCAAGGGGCAGAGCAAGCGCTGGTCGAAACAGAGCAGCAAGAGCAAGAGCACCCAAAGCAGGGAATCCTACGTGCCGGAGCCCATGGCGATGAGTGGAGCAGTTGGTGGTGGAGGTGTCTCTGAATATGATCGAGTCGCCACCGCTGAATATGAACCGCCTGTCTAGCGTTATGAACCACCTGTCGAGCGTGCTGAGCCAACTTATGTTGCCGCTCCAGCCGTTCGGCCAGTCCTGCAGGCTCCAATTATACCACCTATCCAGTACGTTCGAGCCCATTAGGCCTGCCCAACCTCCCGAGCCTATCGAAGAGGAGGATGTCCCCGAGATCCCCGTCTCCGAGTACACCGACAAAGGCAAGAGTTCACAGCCGTTTACGCGCCTCCAAAAGAGCACGCGGCCATGCCAGACGTCGGCGACCTCACAGCAAGGAGTCAAGTCATGGCTGAAGACGGCATTCCGCCGGACGAGCAAGGGCCAGAAAGAGGAGCAAGAGAATCAGAACGGTGCTGGTAGCCTGTTTGTCGGGGGAGCTTCTCTTGCTCAGCAGCCTGATGGGACGCCGCAGCAGGTAGCTACCAAGACGATGTATGGTGGCGATGAGAATGAGGTTCCTGTATCAAGGTACTTGACAGGCACGGATGGGTCCAAGTACTCCCAGGAGCAAGAGGAGTCGGCTGCGGGTGGTGTGTTGGCGTCGAACCCGGTGAAAGAAACGGCGGCGCCGAGGGAGGAGGGGTATGAGTCGGAGGAGGCGAGGGATCAGTTCAATGATGCGGATGTTGCGATGCCGATTTTTTAGAGTTCGAGGCCGCTGAGTCCGGCGCGCGATTCGAGGTTTAAGGAGGTGATATAGGAAACAATTGTTGGGTTTATATAGCAAATGAATGCATGTAATTGTATGCTGCTGAGATAAATAAGTTGCACTTCAGTGGGTGGAAATCGTACTTCAGATACTGTGGTCTCTTCAACTTTACTATCGAAATTATTTTCAAATGGGTTTGCTTAGTAAAGTTGAAGAGGGCAGTAATCGGCATTTTTCATTTTTGCAGGGTATATTTTAGTGTTCTACAATTATTTTAGTATTCTGATTATCATTTTCTTCTTCGTCGTTCTTGTTGTCACTCGAGTTGTGCAGTTTCGCGTTTAAATTCTACATCAACCGCATTTCAGACGCGGAACTGCACAACTTTTCGCAAAAACATCTGGTGTGCATATTAATTTATTCAGGCATTAGCGAAAGTTTGCTTCTACAGGCACTCTACCCCATAAACAATTTACTCAGGTATTGAACAGCTCTTGTCCCCCCGTCTTACACAGCTCTCCTCATCCCCGCCATCTCCCATCACATAGCCCTCCCCTCATCCCCGCTGTCTCCTGTCTCCTCCACATCCCCAACGGAGATCAAGTCTCCCAGATCGTTGACATACTTGTAAACAACGAATTCTCCCCAGACTTCCTCACTGATATCTCTGCCTTTAGCCATCAGAATGGCACGCGGGACACTGCTATAATGGATCGAATTGATGCACTGACGCTGACCGAAAATAACAAAGGAAGTCTGATAGGGGATCTGCTCCTTCGGTACCACATAACCAATTGCGTCTATCTCGATTTCTGTATTGCTTAAAGCTATTCGGACATCGATCTGTACCCTAGTCGCATCTTTGTTCCGATAGGGGTCGTGTGCAGGTTGCGCAAGGTATTTTGTAAAGTCGTCTGATAAGAGATCCTCTGATATGATTGTGCTCTGCGCACCAGTGTCCCAGAGCATCCCGATATTCGGCATCTCCTGAGCCATTATCGAGTCATCATGACCCACGCCGCGGAGGACAAGAGATGCCTTTACCATTGGTAAAGTTCTTTCGTTGGCCGATGCCGTCAAGATGACTGGATATGGGCTGGTATATTCCTCTGCGGGAAATATATACTCTTTACGAGTCCTCGACGTTGACGGCTTTGGGAGTGCGATCGAGTCTGTGTTATAGCGGGTGCTGATAAATTTGCCTGGGGCGAAAACGCCTGATGTTGTAGTTGGCTTCGCATCTGTCCAGCTCGCAGCACCCTGGAGCGCGATCTCCCGGAAGTGTTTTCTCTGGGCCTCAGTTCGAGACTGCCTTAAAACAATAGAGTCATCTTCAGTCTTATCCGCCAATGCGGCCTCCGTTTCGTGCATTATATGTCTCCATGTTGTCTTTCTTGGAATCGTAATCGTCACGTCTTTGAACTGGCTTGATAGGTGCGTTGCGACCTGTCTCATCAGTTCGCCTGGGGTCTCCGTTACAGAGGTGTCCATCTTTCAGTGCAGATAGTTCTCTTGTATTTATAAAGGGTAACTTTGTAGTGATGGTGCTCTTGTAGAGATGATGATCTTGTAGAGATGTCCTTAGTTGGATATTTCCGATATGGACTATTTAGTCACATGACTAGTATAAGTGACTCGTAGTGTTGGAACTGCGTTCCTAGTAGTACGCTATACAGCGTAGATTGTATACAACTACTGGTATATATAGGGCTTTGCATCCATAGTTACTCAATCAAGTCGTCAAACTCCAGATTTGTGCTCAACAGTAGCTCTTGTCGCATAAATCTCGATAGTAAACCACGCTATGCGATAGTAAACCACGCTATGACTAAAACAGATTAGACTGTCCAAACCGTCAAAGTTCCTATTTCTGTGTTTCGATCTGAAATCTGTCTCCTCGAAGTTTATTACTTATTCAATCTCGCGCCTACTACGGCTTGCAAGCGATGTATGTAGCGAGATTGAATAAGTCTTCACCCAAAACAAATTAGCAAGTTATAAAAACACGTTATGTTAGTAAACAGACTCTTCATTCTTATCTACTTGATGCTCTTTGATTGCATCTTCGAGTTTGATGATGCATGCTTGAACCCTCTTGTCATCTGGATCCTTAGAAAGCATGCGACGTTTTATGCGGAGACAGACTTGGAGTATTTCGATATCATTATGAATTTCCACTTGTTCTTGGTTCATTTAGGGTGGGAGATACTACTTGCTTTGGCGCAGCAGGACAGAAACTTCAACAGTATAATATGGTAAAAGAATAATATAATCAATTGAATTGCTAACTAATATACGGACCTACGTACACTATTTATAGGCCTAGGCCCCCAAGACCCTACCTAACAAGCTAAGCTTTTCAGCCTAGCTGGAAAGCAGACATTAGCCTAGCGCCACTATCTAGTACATTACCAAGCGGGGAGCTAGATCACACGGCGGGAGGGGCAACTAAAAGTTGTTGGAACTGCGTTCCTAGTAGTACGCTATACAGCGTACATTGTATACTGCTACCGGTATATATAGGGCTTTGCAACCATAGTTACTCAATCAAGTCGTCAAGCTCCAAATTTGTGCTCAACAAAAGTGATATTGCAAACTGAGGAATGATACAATACTAGCAAACAATGAATTTATATTTGTATTCGTTCATAGTAATGTGATAAGAAACGGAATCGCGAGACTTTATAAATTCAAGTTATGGCGGTTACTACAAGAATGGGCTCACTCAGCCTTTAGGGGGCAAGTATGGTTGTACTGGATTTGCCCAGGGGTGAATACGCCACCAAAAACTGTAGTGATTGATTTCCGCGCACTCTCGGAGAGGTTTATGGACTGCGTACTATATGCAACACAAAATTTGGCTCCTACCCGTCCACCTGGAATTCTCTAAGCACCCGAACAACCATCCTTTATAATAGAATGTGATATCTACGCAAAGACCTTCCATAGCACTACAAGGCTTCAACACTACATAAAATTAACAACCGGTGAGCAAAGAAAGAAATTAATTAACAGGGGTGTATTTAGTCGCTCTGTTACATCTGCTAACTTTTGAATATATCACTTTGTAGGTGTGTTTAACACTATACGGGCTTCAAGAATAGTAGAGAGTATTATATTTGCTTTTCGTGGTGTTGTAAAGTCAGGTGGGCTACTATTTTGAAAGACAGTATCAAAAATATTATGTTGTTGTGGTGTTTGAGGCTGTTGTTCAATAACTCCTTAAAGTGTCACTTTATGGATAATTCGTTGTGGTTCAAATGGTTGTAGTCCTGCTCCTCTCTATGCTAAAGTGATATTTTGAGTTGAAAATGCTAACTCTCTTGCTGTTATATATGCAGATAGCCACTCTGCTTTTTGCACACATAGGAGTTGTGCTTCATTTAAATGTGAAAGAGCTGTTGTAAGCCTCCTTTTCAATGGTCTAAAAATTGCAATATCAAGTGGCTGTAACACATATGAAGTATGTGGCAGTAATATAAGGATTGATATGCGATTTTGTATACAGTAAGAAATGAAATTCCCACTTATATGACTGTCATAGCCGTCACAAATAAGAAGGCGTTGTTGTTGTCCTCCATTTGCTTTTGCACATGTTATAGGCTCAAATACACGCTTAAGCCACTTGTAACGCTGAACTTCTAAACAATAGAAGACACAGAAGTTTCTTGCGTAAGGTTGACTTGACAGAAGAGGCAGGGGATTAGACACAAAGGCTTTCCAAGTAACACGTTACAGTATTGTAAAGAATACTATATTGAGTTGAGCACGAAGCTCCTATCTAAGGAAATACTATCTACTTATATAGTGGCGTCGTGTCAAAGGGATATCCGTGGATAACATGGATAACATAATATCCATGATATCCAATGTTATCCATCACCTGGTATTCGGTGGATCCCCGTGGATAACATGGATAACATAATATCCAAGATATCCAATGTTATCCATCACATGACATTCCGTGGATTGCCGTGGATAACATGGATAACATAATATCCATGATATCCAATATTATCCATCACGTGAGGTTGCAGCTGTAATGTCATACTGACATTCGTTGCACTCAGTTTGCTATCAAACTCAAGAGCAAACTTGGAAATCTCCTCCTCAAACCTACAAGTCACTATACATATTTTGGCTTATCACACCAACAACAAGAGCAATACTACTCAACGTTTGCTACAACCATCTATGATTCATTACACGTCATCACTCCTTAGTTACTGGGCCGATATTACCACATAGCATATCTCTACAACCCTCTATGATTCATTACATGACATCACTCATACTACCACATGACATATCTCTACCAACTAGAGGCCTAGGAGCATGAACGATAGCTCTAAAAGCTCCTACGAACCTCTATGATTCATTACATGTCATCGCTCTTTAGTTACCCACAAGATTGGTTAAGTTATGACATAATTTGTCTATGACATAATTTGTCTATGACATAATTTGTCTATAGGGGTACTCTGACCTTGGACCTCCTTTTACTTCCTATAGGCTACGAACCTAAGAGATGGTTCTATGGGATTCTCTTACGTCGACTACAGTTACCAAGCCTGGTAAGTCATGGAAAGTCTTGGAAAATGAGAGAACTACACTCCTTTAGCATAAATAGGATTGCCCTTTCCTTAAGAAAGGGCAAGCAGACAATACAGTAAATCGACTATCACATACTTCCACGTCTTTTCCAAGCTTCCAAGCATTCATCTTGTTACTCCTTGTTTCTGAAAAGTCAGTGAGGTGTTAACCTCTGACTTACCCCTGAGTTCCCAGACTCAACATTTGTTGCAACTTGTCTGAACCACTTCACTACATCACACACCTGATTGCTGCATTGTGGAATAGTCTTGTTACGATATCAAGTGCGCCTTGCAGCTCGAGTGGGGGTTCAGGGGTGTGGGGAGCTTTCCGGGGTTGGAGCGAAGTTTTCAGTTGTGGAGTGAATTCTCAGAACTGGTCTCGCTAAAGAGAATTCACTCCACAATAGCTGTATATAGATCGAGCCACTGCTCGAGTGCTCCTCTTCTCTTTCCTTTCTTCTCTAGATTGAGTTTAATTCATAATATCCAACTGGCGCCCTATGCCTTGGTGAACCGTGACAAGTCTAAGCTACGACCCTTTGGCTCTTTTTCCTAAGACAGTGTGTTGTCTTAGTAAATTCATCCCTTCCTTGGGTGGCTAGATTCTCACATCTGGTGCACCCACCATTACACTTAGCTAGCTTAGGTGTTGCATTTTCCTTCAAACGTTCGATGGGATATGTAGTCGGCAAGGTAATTAGAGATCTATTCTAAGGCTAGTCCTTGTAGGAGGGCCACAGCCTATAGGATCTGTTCTACTTCTTAGGCGAAGTGTTTGGCGTTAAACGCCATCTATAGCTCTGTCTAGATGAGGAAACTTACAACACAGATCATTTTTCATTGTGTCACGTGGTTAATACGGGCTCCGTATCTGTTGGAGAGTAGGCCGTGGGCGTGGGATACGGTGGTATTTGGCCCTATAATCCACTACGGCATCCCAGGATCTCCGACCGGTGCTGGAAACCACCACAGTCTCAACTGGGGTTTCAGCTCTGAAGCCACCAGAATAGGGGGCTTTTGGGGGGTCGAAGCAGAACCTCCGAAAGGCCTACAAATAGCCACGTAGGCCCATTAGATAGTGTAGTTAATCAATCGATCTTATTTTGCTATAGTAAGCTATATACTGTGTGAGAATTCCTGCCCCGTTGCACCCGTGAGAAGTCCCGACCACTGGAGAAACCACATGATTTGTGTGTGATCCCGTACCACGGTACTTCCTGTTCCAACAGGTTATGAGCCCGGCAACGCCAAGGAAATTCTCATATTCAACGACGAATTGATTCCGAGGTCTCACATCGAAAAAGTGAGAGCCTGAGCTATCCGCCGCCGATACTCAGCCCCAAAAAAAAAAAAAAAAAAAAGGAAGTGATAGCTGCCCTCCACGATGGAGACCGAATCTATCACCGAGCGGCCCCGGATCCAGAAGCTCACGGGGCCCAATTACCGGAATTGGGGCAAGCAGCTCAAGGTCATACTCCAGGACCGAAGAGTCTGGAGTGCCGTTGATCTGACATATACGCTCGACGACGATCTGGAGCCCGAGCTCGAGACGAAAAAGGAACCCAGCGAAGCAGCTGCGGCCCGGTCCAAAGCTCTAAAAGATCATAAGGCCAAAAGACGAGATCTACGGGCAAGGAATATGATAATGGAGGCCTGTACCCAGAGTATCATTGACAAGATACTCAAGTTCGATAGTGCCAAGGAGATGTGGGATTACCTCAAGAAAACCTATGCTAGGGACGGAATACAACAGTTGACTTCGAGGAGCGAAGCTTTCAACACGTACTCGCCGTCGGCGACGACTTCGGTGAGCGATATTGTCACCCAGCTCGACTACCTCCAGGAGGATATCGGCCGAATTGATCCTAATGAGCAGCCATCCGACAAGGGGAAGGCCGGTCGCCTTATCACGATTATGATAAGTCGGGGGGGCAAATACGACATCGCTGCTACCCAGATCCGAGCAGCGAACATTACGGACTACGAGAGTATTGTTGAGCACTTCGTCGACATCGAAGAGCAGCTCACAAAGTCGAAGACAGTCACTGAGTCTGCCCGGCAAGCCTCTACGGATACTGGAAATACGAGGGGCAAAAGGGGTGGGCAGGGCGGTGGGGGCAGGTCCTACCACAAGGATACCCGTACCTGTTATC